TTTATTTTTATTATTTATTTTTACCTACGTGACTTTACCGAAAAAAACCTAAGAGTATGAATCCTTGCAGTCACGAAAGCTTCAAATCTAGAATATATTCAATGGGGTTTTTCTGAGTAAACAAGCGTAACAATAATAATTTAAAGAAACATTTAAGGCATTTGACTTCAATTTAATTTTTTATCCAATTACACAAAGTGGACACATCAGGAAGGGCACTAACCGGATGGGTTATCATTACATATTTTTTTATTTTTGCCATCGCTATAACAATGTACCCTTAAAACAAAGCGGAATATAAATGAGTGTTCAGTTTACTACTAAAGAGGAAAAGACCTGTACACATTGAACGTTGAATCCGAATTGGACCAAAGTTTTCAACCACACACCATCGTTTGCCTAATGTTAAATGTTCACTGGGGAAGGCCTTGGAGCCTGATCAAATGTAACTACAATGACCAAGTTTAATAACACTGTACTGGACTTACAATGTTATATATTTAGCCACAAGAACCTCAGCTCAATGAGCCTTCAAGTGTTTTTCTCAGCAGAGTTCCAAACGCCATGAAGCATAAAATAATTTCCAACACTTGTGTTTTTGCAGTGCCCAGGGAAAACCATACACTATTACGAGGATAATAATTTGATGATGCTGCTGTAATGGTAGTGGTACAGGCACACATCATCAATAAAACTGTTTTATTGATAAATGTGTTGTTGTTTTTTACAGGATGCTCAAAACGCCACGTAAAAAAAACAAATATTAAATTATAACCAAAATTAGCAGATGTAAGCGAAGCCCTGACCATTTCTCCTCCAACCTTGGCATTTGAAGTGTGTGCTACGTGACGTGTGGGCCATGTGAAGTGTGTGCTACTGGTCTCTTTTTTTTTCAAGTGAACAGGGGTAATGAGATGCATGTGAAGCGAAGCTTTGCATCGAGTGGGAACGTGGATGTCGAGGAAGGGCGAAGTGAAATGGCTTCCACAGTAAACGTGGAACGTTACGCCAACGTTGGTCCAACCACGTCCCGTTGGCCTAGGCAAGATGTTAACTCCCTCGCCCTGGTATGCAGGAGGTCGTGGGATCCCAACCCTGACACCTGCATTTTGGAGTTTGTGTGTACATCACGCGGTTGCGTGGATTTTTCTCCAGGTCCTCCAGTTTTTCCCTCCACATTTAGAATCAACATGCGTTGAGTATTGGGCTTCAATAAATTTCCACATGACAAGCCACTTCGTTGAGCTATCATTTGTGGCCAGGTCGTTTCTGAAAAATAGCTATATAGCTCAGTGGGCCTTACCTGGTAAAATAAAAAAATCTTTTTTCTTTTTATGAATCAAATCCGTTTTAACAACACAACTATAAGTCAATCTTTTTTGCTCTGTGCTGAAGGGGCATGAGCCTCTCTGAATAGAGCCCTTACATGTTCTGTGTTAAGAATGAAAAAAGTTAGATCCATATTCTTCAGTCTCATCTCGACATTTCAGAGAGACAGACAGACAGGAGTTGTCCGGGTCTGTTACCAACATCCACAGCAGGTGTCTTAATTTCTCTAAGACAAAACGACTGCATTTTATTTACAAGGTAAAGGCTACGGAGCTTTCGGCTCTTTTGCAGAGGCGACCTGGTCACACGTGGCGGCTCATCCAAGTGGTTGATATCGTCACACGTGGGGTTTTATAGTCAAACGATCTAAAAGCATGTCGATTATACATGCGAACCCCACCACGCTACACCCTTGGGCAGCGATCACGCGAATTCCAAAAATCACAGCGGGCATCGTCGTCGTCGTCAGGGTCTGGGATGGAACCCACCCACGGCTTCCCCTCGCCACCGGAAAGGAAGAGGCACCCAACAAAGCCGTGGTCCTCTTCCCGCTCGTCAGTGTCGTGCGTGGGACGAAGTGGCCCCACGTCGACAAGGCGCGCAGCTGACAAAGCGCGTCTTGTAATCGGGGCTGTAACAGCACCAACTCTAATGGCTTAATTCTAGATTTGAAGCTTACGCTTATGGCTTATGCAACAACGTTTGGACGTTAACTATGATTGTGAACTGCAATTATCGTTATTTTCACAAATGCATTATTCTGTCAGGGAAATGTACTATAGGACGGATAGAAAAGGTGAACGAGGCACTTAAATCACGATGTTATGAAAAACGGATCGATACGAGTATCGTGTATCCGATGTCGTACTGCGATATATCGTGATATATCGCATGTGCGACATATCGATACATCGCGGCGACCATTACGGCGACTTCGAACACTCTTCCCCGACGCGGGAGGCAACAGAAGCACCCCTCGGCTTAGAAAGAGTCTCCACGCGTCACGGCGGGAGCCACAAAGTCACCGAAAGTTCCTCCAACTCATTGATGACGGAGCTTTTAGGGTTTAGAGTCTTCTCGCCATCACTCCCCACCTCCTCCTCCTCCTCGCTTCTCCACCACGCCAAGCTCGCTCGCCCCCTGTGCTGGATGAACTCATTACCTCACAGAGCGTCGTCGTCGTGGTTGTTGTTGTTAACCCCTCGAAACCACAGCCAGCACGAGGGGTCCCTGCCCCCGTTGTGGCGCTTTGCGCAACCTGTGGGGCGAGCGCTGTCCGCGAGGTCGCACCTCACGAAGGCCCCGCCGCCTTTGTCTCCCCAGCCTTAAGTGAATAGCAGCAGCTATTCACTTAATGCTGAGTCGACCTAGCCGCAGCACGCACACACGCAGCTGTGGGCGCCATTAAAGTCGCTTCACCTGCCCGAGGACGCGAAGCCGCCGTGGCGGCGGCGACGACGACGCGGCTCTGGCCCGAGGTCTCCTCCTCCTCCTCGAAGAGAAAGTCGCGCGAATTCCCCGTGGGGAATGGCGACGACTTCACCGGTAACTCTAACGAAAATAAAACGTTCCCACAACAGCGCTCACGCTGTTGACGCTGCTGCTGATGATGGTGGTGGTGGCGGCGGCGAGGGTGGAGCGGGCTTCTTCGCTGCGGGCCGGGCCGTCGTCTCCTAGGCAACAGGGGACGCGCCGTGTGGGCGTCACGGCGTGGGGGGAGGGGCGTCACGGCGTGGGGGGGGGGGCGTCATGGGAGGGGGGCGTCATGGGGGGGGGGTCATGGGGGGGTCATGGGGGGGGGGGTCATGGGGGGGGGGGTCATGGGGGGGAGGGGTCATGGGGGGGGGGTCATGGGGGGGAGGGGTCATGGGGGGGAGGGGTCATGGGGGGGGGGCGTCATGGGGGGGAGGGGTCATGGTGGGGGGGTCATGGGGGGGAGGGGTCATGGGGGGGGGGGTCATGGGGGGGAGGGGTCATGGGGGGGGGTCATGGCATGGAGGGGGAGGGGCGTCATGGCATGGGGGGGGGGCGTCATGGGGGGGGGGGTCATGGGGGGGGGTCATGGGGGGGGGTCATGGGGGGGAGGGGTCATGGGGGGGGGGGTCATGGCATGGAGGGGGAGGGGCGTCATGGCATGGGGGGGGGCGTCATGGGGGGGGTTCATGGGGGGGGGTCATGGGGGGGGGTCATGGGGGGGGTCATGGGGGGGGGTCATGGGGGGGAGGGGTCATGGGGGGGGGTCATGGCATGGAGGGGGAGGGGCGTCATGGCATGGGGGGGGGGGCGTCATGGGGGGGGGGTCATGGGGGGGGTCATGGGGGGTCATGGGGGGGGTCATGGGGGGGTCATGGCATGGAGGGGGAGGGGCGTCATGGCATGGGGGGGGGCGTCATGGGGGGGGGTTCATGGGGGGGGGTCATGGGGGGGGGTCATGGGGGGGGTCATGGGGGGGGGTCATGGCATGGAGGGGGAGGGGCGTCACGTCATGGGGGGGGCGTCATGGGGGGGGGGGGTCATGGGGGGGGTCATGGCATGGGGGGGGGGCGTCATGGCATGGGGGGGGGGCCCTCGGTCAAAACAAATTCACCAAAAACGAGTTGGTGGTGTAAGGCGTAGCGGGGCTTTCACGGCCAATTATCATCCACAATAATGGCGTGGGTTTTTTTTTATCTTTTGGGGTTAAATCACAATTCTGGCTGTCGTCCGATGAAGCTGGTTGTGATCACCAACGAACTGTAAATGTGGGTTTACTCTCCAAAACACGGGTGTGATGAACGTCCTAATTGGCACGTTCTGTTTACGTGACAAACGGGTTGAACGACACATTCATAATTACGCGATCTAACCCGAAACGAATTTTATTTAGGAAGAAGAAATACTATTCTTAGGTTTTTTCGGTAAAGTCACGTAGGTAAAACATCAAAATTAATAAAAAATAAAATAAAGACCACGACGTTTCGGAGGCAACACAAGTCTCCGTCATTAGCTGTGACGGTCCCACCTGATGACGGAGACTTGTGTTGCCTCCGAAACGTCGTGATCTTTATTTTATTTTATTTTTATAAATTTTGATGTTTTACCTACGTGACTTTACCGAAAAAACCTAAGAATATGAATCATTGCAGTCACGAAAGCTTCAAATCTAGAAGAAATACTATTTTTATTTTACCAGATAAAGCCCGCTGAGCTATGTAGCTCTTTTTAATAAGCGACCTGGCCACAAATGAGAGCTCAGCGAAGTGGATTACCATGTGGAAAATGTATTCGCAGCTCAATACTTTCAACGCATGTCTTAATGCTAAATGTGGAGGGAAACACCATCGGACCCGGAGAAGAGTCCAGGCGACCACGGGGAGATCCTTGGAAACCACAAATATCACGGTGTTAATATCTCGCCGCCGTGGGTTAAAAAAAAACTCAAACCCACGCACGCGGTCACTACTCCTCCAGCTCGAGTGGAATTTCACTCAATCTTTGGCTTGTTTACACAACTGCTGAGCACACACTGTACCCAAAAGGGCACGTCTAACGGCCAGCACACACAGCACTTTTATCATCATAATAGTTGACAAGGCAACACGTTTTTGTGTTGAATTGAGCAAGATAACAGTATTTATTGAGCTTTGAAAAAAATAAGACGAAGATAAGAGTGAATTGCAGAAAGTGAAGTGCTGTGACCTTCCGCGTGGTGAATGAGTGTGGTGGGTGAGTGCTGTTGTGACCTGCACTGTGGCGACTGGGCAAGTCGTCTGGGTGACCTGCAGAGTGGTGGCTGGACAGCAGCGCTGGTGAATGGAGATGCTGGCCCATTTGGGGGCCCAGCGGTAGCGCGTTCTCTGCTTATTGGAGATTCGCAGTTCGAAACCGGAAGGCCGCCCTGATTCATGCACTGCCCTATGGGTACCTGTCCAGATCAAACGGGACAGGTGACAACCCTAATATACTGCGCACATAATTGGTAAGCATACAAAACGTATCCTTCAAAGACTGCTGAAATGATGCACTCACAGAAGGCTGTGGGGCCAATGGGTTGTGTAAAATATATTGTCTGCCGATCTATGTTCGATTCCCCACGACAAACATGACTATTGCGTTACGTATTATAACACCCACAAAATTTTAAAGAACAATTTCAGATTTTAAGAACCCAACCCGTCTGAGAATTGACATCTGTGCTGACCAAGGAACGGATTTCTACCGATATCTGATGGTTTTGTGTTGAACTTCATTACAGAATACTGCAGTTTTGTGTCTAGGTTTGTAATGTAGTTTTCTCATGTGTGCGCAGTAAACCTTTGCTCAATGGGAGATTGATAAATGCCCCCTGCTGACCCAATAGATCGCAGTTGGAATCCTGCAGACAGTAAAAGTGAACGTTTAAGATGCCACTCAAGGATAGGAATCTGCCCCAGCTCTCAGATTCATAGCAACGCAGACATTCGACCCAAGTACTTCACTTTCATTCTCTTCCCTCCAAAAGTGATGTCATCAGGTGACGTCACTTTGAAAATCACGAAGGCACATTACAGTATGCAAATACATACATCTGAAGACGATAAAAAAAACACAATTCTAAATGTTTGAACCTGAAACGCATCCCCGGCTGCAGCACGGTGGCAACACTGGATCGCTCCGCGACTACAAAGCGCCACCGTGTGGACACTTTGAGTTGTCCACTCGCGCGGCAAAGACCATCCAAGCGCCCGCGAGCAATGTTGGTCGTGAACGCAACTCGCTTGTTTCTATCCTCGCGTCTTCAATGACTCATCGACACAAGAGCAGCAGTTGCATACCAATCTCGAGTGGGGTGACCACCGCCGTGTCTCTAGTCATTTCGATGGTCCAAGTTGCCCCATGCTCAAACCTTAACACAGTGAATCGAGTGGGCAATTTTTTTTTTTGCTATTAGCTCCACCATTTGGAATTTTTACAAAGTTGACTCCAAAGTTCATATCTCGTCCTTGACAGGACACAATGAAATAATTTTTACGGCTCAATAATAAGAAATGTATTGTCAATCAGCTGTGCAGTGATATCACAACCGTGGCTGTTGATATCGTGGGTGGAGCAAGCGGTTGGCAGACTTATCTTCAGGCTCACACCACACTTAGAATGGTGACCAGAACAGATTGTTCACGTTCAAGAGTGACAACTTGAAGCGTCAACTTCACAATAATACTGTGCGAGCCCCTGGGGGGCAGGGGTCGGTAACAGACGGCTCTGGAGCCGCAAGCAGCTCAAGGGCCACCTTCTCGTATTCACAACTGTTGAATTATATGGATTCTTGTACCGAACTGGAAAACTATGTCTCTTCTCGTTAGTTTGGTTGCATTCCCTTGCCCCGGAGTAACGGTTATGATTGTGCAATATATTTTTCTTTCGTTACTCTCAAGACTGACTTTTTCAAAAAACGTTTAAAAAACAAAAGTAGCTTAAGTTAGCAATATTTTACTCTTAAAAAAACATTTCCAAACAATTAGAAGTATACATCCATAATATACAAAATGGTATTCTTCATAGGTCAATTGAACACAATTTACAAAAATATGACAGTGTTATGTACAAAAATCATGAAAATATTGCATCAAAATCTTGAGGATAATAAAACTGTAAATGCAACGAGCACAAACTTATTATTGATGTTAACATCATCCAATTGTGATGAAAATGCCAGAGTATGCAAAATATGAAGCAATCGTTTTTTGTTATAATATAAAAATTTGACTAGAACAGCAAAGGCTTTTATTCTCATTATCAGCCAGGTAATTCAGATGGAGAGTGAGTGGCTCGCAATCGGAAGGCCCCGAGGTCAATTCTAGTTCAGAGGTCGACTCAACTCAACATCCTTCCTGGGTCTTTAAAAGAGTATCCACTTTGTGGGGAAGTCAACAGTGGTTGTCTAATGGAGAAACTCGGCCCCACCAGGTGAATGTGACATTTCCACCACTGGCTCAGGGTTGTAACAGGTGATGAGCAACGCTTCATTGCTAATTTGAGCTGGAAAATACTTGGGCTTTCAGAGCAAAATGACAGGATGTAGACATCCCAGGCTCACACCCATTGGTCTTGAACCAGCGTAGCCAATCGCACACCAAACAGAGTCAGCAAATAAAGAAGACATCCTCCAGCAGCCGCGTTTCCTCATAGTTGTCCCCTGAGGTCCCCGGCACTGCACTTGGATGGAAGGGCTCCGGCGCAGGTCCGCGTCGTCTCGTTGGCTTGAAGAAACACTCACCGATGACACGACTCGGAGAGGTAGTCAGCGACTCGCCCAGCGAGTACACCGACCCCTCGTACCTGTCACGCAGCAATGGAAAAACAAATCAGCCACAACGTAGACTAGACACAATCTTGTGCAACAATAATCACGTACTACCACTCTTTAGTATTTAAGAAACCCTATAACTTGAACCAGTTGCCAATACCAAATGTACTAAAATTACTATTGATTGGGGATATTTTTACGTAATAAATTTTTTTTCATATTTTTTCAAAATGTATAGCTTTGATGCCTGTCCGTATATCGGACAGTTGGCCACTTGGTATGTTATGCGAATCGTACCTTTGGGGTGAAGGAGAGCTCGTTAGCACTGGCAGAAAACTGGGAACGTGGGAACTTGCAGCCATCTCTTCACTGTTGGTAAATATGAAGCAGCACAGACGATGGTGATTGGGACATGGAGGCAGGGCAACAAGTGAGCATTCATGGGAGGGTGGCCATGGGGTAGGTGCTAATAGCCTTCTATAGTCTGCTTATAGATTATGAAGACAATAATAACGTAGAACATTTGGTATGTGTACTATTTATATAGAGCAAGGCTATCATGAAGAAAGGTGATACGTTTCACATAGTCTGCAGAGGCTTCACAGTTGGGGACGATATTGCTATGTAAACACATTTGACAAATGTGGACAATGATGCCAGCACAGAGAGGCCTAACTGTTAAATTTAATGTACCGACCACCTACAAAATGAAAACGTAGTTATCGTAATGAAGTGTAAAATGTCATGTTTTGTAAACGGATAACACTGGCAACAAAACAGATGGACAAAGTAAATCCCGCCACGTCATCACATGGTGCTTAACCTCCAATAATGCGAGTTCAACCCCGATGAAGCTTGGAGAGCTGAATGGAGTTCAAAAGAGCTCACAAACACCTTGTTGTGAAAGACCCAACACAGAAGACCCCCGAGTTTCATCTTCCACGAAGCTCAGGGTCCACCCTAACCCACATCTGCACAAACCATGGCGGATGCAGATACCTGATGCACAATTGTAAAATTAAAAACTCTCCAGTAGTGTGCGACTGTGGTCATCCAGAACAGACCGTACAACATATAACGACGCAATGCCCGATTTACAATTACGAAGGAGACATCACAGCAATACACTCCGCTGCTCCTGCTGCGGTTATCTGGCTTGACCACCTGAATGTGAAATTGTAGTTCTTGCTCTGCATCTACATCAGCCGTACGGAAGGAGGAGACCACATGGTACGCGCAAGCACTCACCACGAGTGAGGGGGTGCTCCATGTCGCTTTCGTGCAGCTGCCAATCGCGCCTCCTGCTGCGCCAGCAGCTGGCTCAGCCGCTCCCTCTCCCATTCAAGCTCCCGCCGCTGCTTCTCCACGTCCGCCTTGGTTGCGCGTGCGGACCCAACGGCTCCACGACCATCGCACCCCTCTTGCACCTCCCTCGCACGATTCCGCACCCCGTCACTTGTACCACCTTCACCTCCCACCTCAACTTGCCTCCTCTCATCCAACTCCAGCCGTTGTCTTTGCACTGCAGGTCTTGCCTCTTCGAGTTCGCTCACATTTTCTCTCCCGGCATTTCTCTCACATTCCTGCAGCACCTTCATCCTGCCATTCCTCTCAATGCCGCCCCTTCCCTGACTGACGTCCGCTAATCGCTCGTATTCTCGTCGCGATCTGCTCTCAAGCATGTCCTCGGGGACCCTCGCCATCTCTCCCTGCTCATGAACATTTCTCCGGACAGTTGCTGTTGGAATGGCAGAGTGCTCAGCAGGAACACACTCCCCCTGCTCCTCATTCTGTCCGTTAACTCCACCCTCCTCACACTGCCACCCTGAGTCTGTGTCGCTCCTCCTACCTCTACTCTGCCTCATCATCCCTTCATCTCTAGCATGATTCCTGCTGTCGCTGTTTAACATCCCAGCGTCACTTCTTACAAGGGTTCCTTTATTTCCTACTTCTGGTACCAGTCCCCCATCTGTAGTCCCTTGTCTTGGCACTGGGGAAGAAACAACACTCACCGACCCCGGCGGTTGGAAGCCCCCCTTTTGTGTCTCCGTTCTGACAGGACCTGCCTCGGGGCCAAACCTCGGATTGCCATCTTGTCCAATCCCCCCGTTTCGTGCATGGCTGCGTGTCGGTCTCTGCAGGGGGCTATGTGCTGCTGAATTACGTTGGGGTGCATTATGGACGGTGTGCACCGACAGCTGTTGGGAGTTGGGTCGTGCTACGTGGTGGTGGGAACTCTGCGAGGGAGATAAAGAAAGCGGCAGTGTGAACCCATTTGGTGGGTGTCTGGCAAGCATCCTGCTCTCTATCTCACCACCCTGTGCTGATGGTGCCTCATGGTAAGAACTGTTTGCCTGCCCCTGTCCCACTGATAAAGACACATGATGAGGGGGACACAACTGTGATGTGATTCCCTGTGCATTCCCAGACCGCATTCCAGCAGGAACTACCGGATTAATTACAGCTGGAGCACCTGTGCGGTTCCCATAGGCAACTCCATATTCCCTCGGGGAGTAAAAGCCACGTGCCATTGCTGCCTGACTTCCCATCGACGTCTCAGTTTGCCTGTCTGTGTCTCGAGCCGGGTGAAGCGCAATACGTGGCCTGACCGAGGGAGGGCTGCCAAAATCAGCAGCACCAAGAAAGGGCTGGGCCCCTGGAGTTGTCTGGAAGAGAACAGAACAAACGCTGAGACTGGTTTCAGGCTTGCTGAAACCAATGCCAGTGAACTGCCGGATGTGATCGGCAAAAGGATGGAGTTCATTTAAACAGCTGTTTTAAGATGAAGTTGATCAGGAACCTGAATTCATGTTCAAACTCTATTTTTTACATTTATCGTTATCCATAATATGCAATAATTTTACTATATAAACAAATGTGTTGGTGCATGTATGGTTGTACGTATGAATTCTATTTCATTTTTTTTCCACTTGCTTATTTAAAATTACATTTAGATCTAATTCTCAAGCACAAAACTCGTGCTCCATAGCAACCTCATCTCACGTGGCAGTGACATGGCCCAGTAGTAACGTGTTTGTCACTTGTTCAGAGGTTCGAGGTTTGATTCTTGCAGGCCGCCCTGGTTAGTCCCGATCCTCACTGCCTCCCCAACTCCGAATAACAGGCGTAAGCCACTTCAGCTCGGCAAATGACGATGCCATTTGCCGCGTGTGAATACTGACCGCGTGATTTTCTGCACGGGCCTGCATGCCGATCAAGTGTGTGCGCGTAGAAAGCTCTTCCTGGTACGCAAGCAGCAGCTGCTGGCACTCCGAGTACTGCAATCGCAAGGGTGGGATGGCTGTCAAGGAGAAGACACTACCACAAAACTGAACAACCTTCGCCCAAATGACTGTGGTGTCATCTCACGGAATCTTTAGCACCACGTGAATACGACATTCATATATTCATATACATTTTCACAATACGGTTATATGGCAATGCGCATCTGGCTTTAAAGTACGGCCGAAGGATTTTCATTTATGGTGCGATAAATGCTTCGATATCTCAAAGCGCTTCACATCACATTTCACCTCAACCAATCCATTTCCCTGTGGCGGTCTTGCCTAGGAGATCTCTGCTGGCAATTGTTCCACCATGGCACAAAGTGTACGCAGCAACTGCCTGCAAATGGGTACAGTTTGCCTTCAAAATGCAATATCACCGTGTGTTTTCTCCCAATGAACAAATTTGCGTGTCATTTTTTTATTTCAACCGTGACAAAGGCAGACATGACCTACTCTTTTTTAAATCATGTCACGAGATCTTTAACGTCCACTGTAAAGGTAGATTTGGAGTGTAAATGTTGTTAATACGCCCACGTTATTAACTAGGACGGTTGGGGGGCTCGAACCGCCAACTCCTGCAACAAGCAGCAAATACGCTACCACTCGGCCATGTCACTGCCCAATGGGAATGTTTCTTGAGAGATGCCAATAGGGAACAGATAATATGACACTGTGGCATGCCCAAACGGGACATCGTAGGACTTCGGTGGTTATCCTCGAAGGATCTATCTTATCTAGATGAAGCTATATTAAAGGTATTTGATATGCCTGCCAAAAAAACCTAAATCATATTTTTTCACCATTGGGAAATAGGCCGAGATCGTGTTAACTGCAGCTTGTAAGATGTTAGTTTTACCAGATCCATGTGCTAGTCTAGACCTCTCATGGGTGTGGACAGCACAGTTTGGCAGTTGTCAACTGAGCGGCATTGCAGAAAGGATATCCTCCCTCTCCTTCAGAATGAGTTCCTGCCTCTCCTCCACCTGCTGGAGCTTCTGCTGATACGAAAGTGTCTCCGCTGAGAGACGGTCCTCACATAGCTCCTTCTCCTCACTCAACCTGCAGCCACACGTGCACACACACACACACACATAACGCTCACACAGATGTACACGCACAAAATTCACACCAACTTTTCCCATACAGAGACATAAACACACACACAACGTTCACACCCATAAAGAAATTCGTTATATTACCGATGCAATATAAATGTAAGTTGCCGTTGTTGTTTGCCGACCTGGCTAGCTCTCGAACGAGATTGGCGACGCGACGCTTATCTTCGGGACACAAGTCTTTCAAGCAGGCCGCTCCACTCATCGTGCCCACCGCACCACTGCTTGTGCCCACCGCTCCACTGCTGGCACCCGCCCTCTCTGCGGGTCTCCGCTCCGCCCCAACTGCCCCTGACGCCTCCTCGCAGTCTGCGCCTGACTCGAGCTTCGTTCCTTGTCTTGCACTCTGCAGTAGAGACAATACAGCCCGTGCGCGCGAGTGAATGAGCAAATAAAACGCATTTCGTGTTAGTGTTGTTAAAAGAGATTTTTTTTTTGCATTACCTGCAACCAAGTGAAAAATAACGATTACCGAATTGCGCACATATAGAAATGTATAAAACAAACGTGGCATTTTGACCTTATCGACTGAGAGATGAAAGGAACTGGCATGGTGTAATGATTAGCATATTGGACTTGTAAATCCAACATCGAAGAGTAGACCAAATACTGTACCCTCTAGAGCTCACTCTAGTGGAGGCCCTTCCGCCAGCAGTGGTATCAGTAAGAAGGCAACTGCAGTGCTGCACCTTTACCTTTTCACTGAGAAATTATGGCCAATGTGGCACGTGGTTTGTACGTTCTCACGGGCCCATCAGTGCATTCATTACGAACATTCCACTGCAGATGCTCACCACTTCCTGACTTTCAGAACCAGGAATTGATTGTAAAAACGGTTACCGGTTTACGGGTTGTCGTTTTACAACCCTAGTACAAAACAGGAAATATAATCGTCGAAAAAAATCAAGGATTAGGTGAAGATGCAATTACATATAATATATCCTCTGATTAGGACTTAGGATGCAGAAACACACGTGTTCATGGCGAAGGCCTACAACTCACAACAGCCTACGCATGGTGTGATACTGAGCTATTCACCGGATTAGAAGACGCGCAATTCCCCACTGTAATTTAAAACTAATGTTGGGTGTGTTTTCTCATCCAATGTATGTACACAAGTACACTGAATGCAATATTGACATTCGCAGCAGATACATTTAACATGCAGGCTTTCGTGACCAATTATTGATTGATAACGGATTTTTGGGTCACATCGTTCGAGTAACATGCTAATGATTTTTACAATTCTGGAAATCGCCTGATTATGCTGGTTGCAACTACCAGTAAAACGTCGTATCAAATTGTTGAATATTGTGGATTATTGCTCTTCACACTGCTGTGCCGAATCAGTAATAAATTGGCACATTTGTTCACGTGACATTTATCCGACTTTGTCGGCTGGAGGAGGGTGTACCACACACATTGGCATATTACTCACGAGATCTGACCACAAATAAATCATGAATCAGCGGATACTTTTGTTGCGTTGCGCGCGTGGCATTGCGTGTGCCTGCACTCACACGTGGCGCTGTTGCTGCCGTCGCTCCGCTCGTTGCGCCGCCTCTCTTTTCCTTCCGTCTCGCGCCCTGCGCCAGCATCAACGCCGCCTGGGCCTGCGAGTGGGAAGCTCCGAGGCCAGGGGTCCTGGCCTCCACCTCGGACACGCGCCGTGCCCAGGCTGGCGCCAGGGAGCTCGATGACCGCTGGGCAGCGCGCATGTTGCCCTCCACTTCCAGCCCTGCCACAACAATGCGCAGAGAACAGTGGTCAACAGTCGAGTGGCGGCAGGGGGGTGCAATAGAGGCACCTGTGTCTCGCAGCAAGAAGGGCCTGGGTTCCATTTCCGACTGTGTAGAGTTTGTATGTTCTCCCCCAGTCCTGCATGGATTTCATCCAGTTTCTCCAGTTTCCTCCGATAGCTAAAAATAAAATGTAACTGGTATTGGCCAAACTTCCCAATGCAGCCATCCCTCATTAAATGCAAACTCAATATTTGGAATTCGGCTGAAACGTAACCAAGAAATTAGGGAACGAATTTTATATACGCCATATTAAATATGCATTTACTGACTTTTGAATCTTTAAATTATAACGTTTGTCCGAGCATGCATTTCACAACACTGATCCGGGTGGTTTGCACGCAATGCATTTCAGACTGTGTTGGTTTGCCGCACTCTTCATGCCACCCAAGCTTGGCTGGTTTTGGTTCAACCCCTTGTGCTGATCACTGTGCAGGAATTCACCATTTTTCAACGTTCTTATTTCAGTAAAAGTCAAGATGTCTGGAAAGACGCCATGGAGTGCAAGTGTTAGCAGAACTACAACAATAGGCCATAAGAACTGTCCAGATCTTTTTTCGCGACTTATTTCGAGTATTTTTTATCAATATTTTATCATAAAATGATCGATTTTCTATTAAATATGTGCTTTAAAAAGGTTTACTGCATTCTAAAGCGTGATTTTATTATGATGCATTCCGTAGCAATGCACCTCCAATGATAGAATGGAAGCCAATTAGAACATAGGGCTTGATAAACGGAATTTTGCTTTAGGGACACGTTCTCGGTAAAGTATTCCGTATATCGATGGTTGCCCGTACCGACAAATGACTCAATTGGGATGACACGTTGCAACATCGCCCCCTCTCGAGACATCTTGGCAGGACCCTCCTGAAAAATGAGGCGCAAGGCTTGCCTGGGTAAACAAGTTGATAATGCCAATTATAAATGTCATTGGGTCAGCATGTCTGTTGAACTTCTTTCGCATCGTACATAGCCAACCGTGCTAATCTGTGCAGCTGCGTGAGCCACAGTCCTGAATCTCACCAATTCCCCCTCGACATCAGGAGGGGGGAGGGTGGATAATGCCAACAACCCCAGCTGCAAGCGATGCAACTTTCATCGGATAGACGAGAGAGACCACGGTGGGTTTGAATGGGGTTCTAGATGGGCACCCACCACCGCAGTGGAAGATTGGTTGGTGCATTGTATAGCCAAGCGCCATGTGGGTCACACATTAAATATAATCGGTAATCCGACAGTGACGTAGCCATGTAAACATCTGGATGGACAGGGGGGGTCTCTCAACGCCCAGCTCACGGCCCACGTTACCCCCCCCCCCCCTCTCGCAGCAGCAGCGTCTCTGCTTCTCTGCAAGTGACGCCGCTCTGTCGGTGGCGCACAAACGAAGACCCGCGGGCGAGGACACCCAACGACGCAGACTCGTCATCACTCCAAGGCGACAGACTCCTCATCACTCCAAGGCGACAGACTTGTCGACACGTTTCGCTCAACTTGTTGAACTTGGCTCTCGAGCAGCACTTGACCTTGGCTCCGCGCCGCCTCGGTCACGGTCACGCTTTGTCCGTGGAACATTGTGCGCCTCACAATTTACATTCTTCATACTTTAGCCACCTTTTGCCATTATTCTATTTAACTGCAGCGCCGGTAGACCGATTCGATTACCAGACGATTCCATCCGCTAATTACGACCACGGCAGCTCCATTCATTATTCACTTCAAAAACTAAATGCAACGTTTGTTGAGATACATTTCTATGTGTGCGACAATTCGGTAATGGGTTTTGCCCTTTCGGTGACCGTTAATACAAAACATTGTTTTAACAACCCGAACTGCGACACGGCAGCAAGAATCGACCTCGGCGTCTAACCGAGAATAGCGGAGTCGATTCCCTCGCTCGCGCCACTCAGCCCGCGCTGCCGTCTGCGCGTCTCTCACCGGGGCCCGCCTCGTCGCGGCGCCTCGGGGCCGTGGGCGCGCCGCGCGATGGTGGCTGCTGCTGCTGCGGCTGCTGCTGCTGCTGAGGCTGAGGCAGGAGCGCGGTAGCGGAGGCCGCAGCGGGGCGGCGTCGTGGTGCGCGGCTCGCCCGCTCCATCCCGCGCGCCGAGCGACTCGCTGCTGCTGCTGCTCGGGGCAGCTGAGCGCGTGACGTCCCCGGCCGACGCGATGGCGTCATCGTGCGGGAGACGGCGACAGTCATGACGTCATGGCGTCATTCGCCGTGAGGGAGACGGCGAAACTTGTCATGACGTCATGGCGTCATTCGTCGTGCAGGAGACGGCGACAGTCATGACGTCATGGCGTCATTCGCCGTGCGGGAGACGGCGAAACTTGTCATGACGTCATGGCGTCATTCGTCGTGCGGGAGACGGCGACAGTCATGACGTCATGGCGTCATTCGTCGTGTGGGGGACGGCGAAAGTCGTCATGACGTCATGGCGTCATTCGCCGTGCGGGAGACGGCGAAAGTCGTCATGACGTCATGGCGTCATTCGCCGTGAGGGAGATGGCGACAGATGTCGTGACGTCATCGCGTCCACAAGGAAATGGCCCCTCCCCTCCCCCCACCTCTTTGGCTGTCGGGGCCCCTAGCACCGCCCCCAACCTCCCCGTTTATTGGAGGCATATTTTCATCGCGCAGACTCCGACCAAATCCTTCCAAAACCACCACAAATGCTATCCACCTGAACAATCATGCGACAGATGCCGCCCTTCAGGTGTCCTTTTGTGGTGGCCTCGTGGCCTGTGACACCGCTCCCAGACATCTCGTGGTTATCACGGACAGAAGCCTGACCCACAAGCCCCGTATACAACAGATCTGTGACAATAAACTAATCAAGAATCGCCTGCTCCAGAAACTTGCAGGGACAAGCCGGGGCACCTCAGGTGATGTGCTGCCCTCTCACTGATCTACTCAGACAACATTGCCAAGATGTACAATTAAATAACGAAAATGCGAATCATAACTGGAACGCTGAAACAGATATAAATCCCCTGGCTCCCTATTCTGGTGAACAATTTGACACAAAATATCTGCAGATACACGCAAACTACAAAGGAATTTGCACGTTTTCTTGCCAATGACGATCTGCCCATGATCAACCAAGACCTCATCAATGTGCTTCGCTGCTGCCGACTCAAGTCCTGATCCCCCTTCTGGGATGATCGTGTCACCATCCTAGAACCTCGCACAGACACGGAAACACGCGGCCGAACGGAGTGGAACAACGCGGACGTTCAGAATAAACATCTCATTCGAGATCCAAACATCGCATCAGGACATCAACATGGCGCTGCTCACATCCCCTTCACAAATGGAAGAGTAAAGACACAAGGCACCGCAGTGCGACTGTGGCCATGCAACCCAAACTATGGACCAGATAGCAAATTACTGTGCTCTGCGTTCCTTCAGTCGAGGGGTAGAAATCAACACTCCACAGAAACTGTCTCCCCCCGAATCCCTCTCGTGGCGAGCAGACCTCGACCTTTTCCATTAGCTTCTGAACGTATAGCTGCCATACGCAAGCATATACTATTATCTATTATTCCCATTATTTCGCTGCTATTAATTTCCACATGATGGGCCACTTCGTTGGGATGTCATTTGGGGACAGGTCGCTTCTGAAAAGGAGCTACAGCTCAGTGGACTTGATAAAAAAAATGTTTTAAGTGATTTGCACTCCGAGTATGTTTTGTATTGTTGTTGTAAAGTTCTAACCTCCCCCTAAGGGACATCTGTGAAAAAGAGCTTCATAGCTCATCGGATTCCTCCTGCAGCATAAATATTCTGGTTCTGAAAATAGCCTCGCCCCGAATTCCTCAACGTAGCCCCGCCCCAAGCCCCGCCCCTAACCCCTCGCCCCGCCCCCTAGCCCCGCCCCTAGCACCACCCCTAGCCCCGCCCCTAACTCCTAGCCCCGCCCCTAGCCCCGCCCCTAACCCTTCGCCCCGCCCCTAGCCCCGCCCCAAGCCCCGCCCTTAGCCCCGCCCCTAACTCCTAGCCCCGCCCCTAGCCCCGCCCCTAGCCCGCCCCTAGCCCCGCCTCAAATCTCTGACCCCGCCCCCTGCCCTCCGCCAGTGGCGCGTGGCGCCCACGTGACCGCGCCGCACTTCGCCATGTTCCATTGAGAGGCGCGGCGTCTCCACTCCACTGTCGCACTGTACGAGGTAATGCTGCTCCTCATCCTCCTCGTTGTTGTTGTTGTTGTGGTTGTTGTTGTTGCCACTGCGTTATTACGAATGCGATGACAGATCAGTGTAGCCGTGACCTGCGGGCACTGTCAGAGCCGTTGTGTTGTTTATTCCGGGAAGGTGCCGCGAGTCGAGGTCCCGGGTTGGGTGACGGCGGCGGCGGCGGTCGACTTCTGGGCCCCCACATCATCATCATCACCATCACCTCCGGGGTGGATAAATCGAGTACCCACTTTGTTGGGGAAGTCAGCAGCCGGCTGTGCTCTGTGGAGAGAGTCTCCGGGACAAATGTCCGCCTCTGGGCCGGGGCTGCTGCTTGGGGAATGCTCCAAGCAGGAAATCACTTTGTTGACAGCTACTAGCCCCATTATAACAACGCCGACTGTAACACACGCTGCAGCATTTAGTTTAACATCCTGCAGTCGTGTTGCTGGCCGTTTGGCGTTTTGAGCATCTGCTCGGCAGCTGTGTAACAATACACAGCGCTGTAGACAATATCTATTGTAACATTACAGATCCTCTACAGCGTACCGGCTCGTGTGTCGTGTGTTGCAGCATGTTATAACATTGCGATGTAACACGCATAACAACTGCTATTGTAATATCAATTACAACGTAGTAGCTGTTATAATATTACACTATTTAACATTTTAGATATGGTGACGGATATAATTGCAATGTAACAGCTACAGTAACCGTGACACATCTGTTACAACAGCTGTAATAACACGTATAGCTATGTTAACATGTATTGACTTGCATCTGTTGCAGCGAGACGGGTATTGTAACGTGTTATAACATACATGGAATGTGCTATCACGAATGGTATAACAACCACGTATTGTAACGCGTTTCAACAGCCACGTGACGTGTTCTAACACGTTACAATAGCCGCATCACGTGTTATAATGTATCAGCTATGTAACATGTTATAGTACACACTGTATCAGCTATGTAACGTGCTATAATACACACTGTAACAACTATGTAACGTGCTATAATACACACTGTAATGCACGTAACAAGCATTTGTGTGCAGAGCGCACGCTAATCAGAGAGGGCCTCCGCTGTCATCCCGCATGTGTCACCTCCTCACGCAGTTCCCGGGAGGCGGCCGCACCATGAGCACCACTCCGTACAACGAGGACAAGGGCTCCTCGTCCACAGGGGAGCCCGAGTATGGGCACGACCCGGCCAGCGGGGGCATCTTCACTGCCGACTACAAGAAGTGAGTCTCGGGGGGGGGTGGGAGCCGGGGAGGTTGGGGGAGCGACCGGTAGTCGTGGTCTCGAAACCATGGTTTGGTTCTTGGAGTGAGCGTTTTGGGGCGAGGATTCAGATCGGGTGTTATTGGTGTTTTGTACTTGGGAGTCAGAGTCCGTGGGTTAGCGTTGGGGTCATTTTTTGAGACCAGGGTTGGAGTCGAGGTCTTGGGGCCATGGCTACAGGCTGAGAGTCGGGGTCTAAGGATCCGTGTTGTGGAGTCTTGAACTTGGGGTCGGGGTCTAAGGATCCGTGTTGTGGAGTCTTGAACTTGGGGTCGGGGTCTAAGGATCCGTGTTGTGGAGTCTTGAACTTGGGGTCGGGGTCTAAGGATCCGTGTTGTGGAGTCTTGAACTTGGGGTCGGGGTCTAAGGATCCGTGTTGTGGAGTCTTGAACTTGGGGTCGGGGTCTAAGGATCCGTGTTGTGGAGTCTTGAACTTGGGGTCGGGGTCTAAGGATCCGTGTTGTGGAGTCTTGAACTTGGGGTCGGGGTCTAAGGATCCGTGTTGTGGAGTCTTGAACTTGGGGTCGGGGTCTAAGGATCCGTGTTGTGGAGTCTTGAACTTGGGGTCGGGGTCTAAGGATCCGTGTTGTGGAGTCTTGAACTTGGGGTCGGGGTCTAAGGATCCGTGTTGTGGAGTCTTGAACTTGGGGTCGGGGTCTAAGGATCCGTGTTGTGGAGTCTTGAACTTGGTCGGAGTCTAAGGATCCGTGTTGTGGAGTCTTGAACTTGGGGTCGGGGTCTAAGGATCCGTGTTGTGGAGTCTTGAACTTGGGGTCGGAGTCTAAGGATCCGTGTTGTGGAGTCTTGAACTTGGGGTCGGGGTCTAAGGATCCGTGTTGTGGAGTCTTGAACTTTGGGTCGGGGTCTCGAATCGGCATCGCAGCAGGAAGAGCCATCCGTGTTCAGCGCCTGGAAGCAGCAGTCGGGATTGGATGGGTGTGACTGATCAACCTAATTATAAAATACACTGTAGTTGTTAACATCTCCCCGTTTGGTGATATCAAATCCGGCAGCGTGCCCTGGTAGTTATTATTAAGCGTGCCTTCTGCTTCATTGAGGATGTACAAGATTCAGTGACGTCGTCTGAAAACGGGAGGACGTTGTTGTGTGTCGGCACCATGGTCCAAATTGATAATTTTGAAAAAATTCCCGGAGATTACTCATTTGGGATAGCATCCATCAACTTTACTCCCCACTGGCAGACTATATCAGGCTGTCAAAAATAGCGCCTTTGTGATTGCCCTGCCGTATGAGAATGGTGAGAGGGCCAAATGTGCAACATAATTGCCAGTTATTATTATGTTTGAGTACCCTGAACACAAGATCATTACTGCACTGTCTCGTTTGTGTTGTGTGCTGCTTTGCAACGTTAAGTAATGTTCATCGTTTTTTTCAGACACGATGACTTGAAGGAAATGCTGGACAGCAACAAAGACTCGTTGAAGCTGGAGGCCATGAAGAGGATTGTCGCGGTACGATGAACTGGTTTACTGGATCCTGCTTTGTAAATAAGTCATCATGTGAATTTGCAATGTGTATGATTTGAAATACTGTTCAAAGCAAACTAAATAACTGCATTGCCAGTGGTACACAAGCAAGAATCGGTACAGCTCACTACATTGATAACTGACACCACATTGCAACAGATACGGTGGGATGACATTTCAGGCAATGACGCTTCAACACAGAAACGTAAAAAAGCACACAGCCTGTGACGTCATGACGACTCATCAGCAAGGTATTGGACAAAACCGGTCAACAATTGTCCATCACTGCATCGCTGCTGCTAGCAGCTAGTCCCATTTGCTCACATGTATTGTGATGCTGGCCCCAGGCAAGAGAACCACAATGCATTTCTTCAGGAAATTATTATGATTTTTTGCATAATGAACAAAGGCTGTATGCTTTTTACAAACTTCTGTGTGATGTTGTTTGAAACTCATGGTTTTCAGGCCTATTAAATTATCCATTTGTGCGGTTATTTTCGTCATTCGCAGACGTGATTAATTACCCTTCACGGGAGCTTTCTGCTATGTAGAATGTGCTGCAGTTTGATAAATGACGGAAATAACAAAAACAATTCGAACACAACCAAAGAGGCAATTAAAATCAAACATGGGATGCATTATAAAGGCTGTAATTTCATCAACCTGTCAATGTTTAATCTCATTATAAGTGGTTTTATCGTATCGACCAGATGGTGGCCAGAGGAAAAAATGCATCGGAACTCTTCCCAGCTGTTGTAAAGAACGTGGCTTGTAAGAACTTAGAGGTGAGTTCTTGTGTACATCTCATGCTTGACATTTAATTTTTTTACGGATGACCTGGGTGGGTTGTAAAACAAAAGGGAATTGTATCTGTGTGTATGTAAAAAATAAACACCGCTTAAATGAACACGAAAGATTGAAGTTATTGTCTTCGCAGGAAATAGTTTGAACTTTGTCCTTTGACGTGCTTTGCCTTCTGTGCCCCCGTGTATTCCGCTGGGTGTCTTCTCCTGGGTGTTGCCCTCTCCAGTGTAGGGAAACACGAGTCCCCAACCTGTTCCACTTCACGATCAAATCGCAAATAGATTATACTGGCATCCTGTCCCATTGGCTCTCGTTGTTTCTGGTCAATTGCCAGAGCCTTTGCAAACAGTTTTCTGCTAAATGTAATTTCCACCAATTACTGATGAATCTGGTTCCGTAATTCTTGGCACAAAAGACAAGGCCAGCCTCTCTTAGGCTCATATTTTGCAGTAAATTTTCACTGACAAAAATAAAACGTTACCTAGAACGATGCCTTCTAACAGTCGGATAGAACAACTAAGATTCATATTGCATGCTCTGATAATCTTAGCTGATGAAAGCTTAGTTTAACCTTAGTTGTTTCATCTGACTGTTGGGTACTATCCAAACGTAATGCTGCTGCATTAGTACTGGTGCTCAAGCACAACTAAAACAATCTCAATACATTTGTCAATAACACTGTGACCTTAAAAAGGAAACATGTAATAGGTGACGTTTTGGGAATAGCACGTAAAAATAATTGTTTTTTTTTAAGGCAATGTTATTCACGAATGTGTTTGGATTTTTTGTTCATACTTATCAGGCTGTACTCCGCAACTGTGATAAAAAATTTAAGATTCCCGCAAAGCCCATTGCAACACACTCACCGGCCCACGGTGTGTGAAAAACTGTCCCTCTGAGACATGTTGTGTTCCACATTTAAGCTTCCACTGATCACACAGCCTTGTTTGTCCTTGTGTCCAAACGGACCTTGGCGTGCTTCACGTTCGCGCTATTTCATGTGAAGTGCATCTGCTGTACATTTGTTTTGTCTGCATTGTAGGTGAAGTGGGGGGGTGGATGATATGATTTGTGAGTCTCGGTGTATTTTCAGTAAACACGTGTTGCCCTGTCTGGAGGTTGTTGTCGTGCATACAGAGCTGGTTCTCGAACCTTCCTAAGGGGAGGGTGGTCCTGAAATCTCGAACTTAAAAAAATATGGCCCGGCATTAATGTTTAGAAAAAAATTCAATACATTTTCTCTATATATCAATGAAATACCACTTTTTGTGGTCTCAGGGGGGCCGGGGGGTGATTGCCCCCATTGGATTTGCCATCGAGTGAATGTTGTTTGGAACTTTCAAAATCAGGCCACGGCTTAAAGGATGTCCTTTTGGGCTTCTCATTTGATATTTGGTTAAAGCTCACATCCGTTCATCATAATTAATGCAATTTAACTTGCCCATTGCAATCAATCAGGCCCTATGCATCATCTACACGTGTCATTGTTTAATCACTTGCAGTTGAGTTAGTTGATGCGCTTAATTTCCTTGAGTGTCTTTCTTTTCACAATGAGACAAGTAGTCTCTAACTCTGAAACTTGAGCGGCCCAGTGAGAGTGAGCGTGTGAGCGTTACGCAGTCCTGCCGAGAACTGAATGGGAACGAGTATTGTGTTGCTATCGCTGCAACCCGGAATGCGATACGGATGCACCTGCGTGTGACGTTCTCTGCACCTGGACGCGGTATTTGCCTTAATAATCTTAACTTGTAACACGGCGCCATGCAATATTCGCTCGCTGTCGAAGAAAGAGAACAACTCGGAGGCGCGAGGAACCACAGACGAGAGGGAAGGTGGCAGCCAAGCGATGACGTGGCGCCAAATTCGTTCACGTCGTTTTCCTTCCACGTGTCTACACTCACTTTGTATCACGCGGAGCGGGGGGAGGGTGAGTTAATCTGGGATGGGAGTAATAACATTGGTGATCGAGAACTTCTCTTGCTGTGTTTCTCAGGTGAAGAAGCTGGTCTACGTATACCTCGTGCGTTACGCAGAGGAGCAGCAGGACTTGGCCCTTCTGTCCATCAGCACGTTCCAAAGGGCTTTAAAGGTAATCGTGATATGGACTTTGGTGCTTTTCATTACAGAATATTACTGGAACCCCAACTGTCTGGTGACGTTTATTCGTCCCACCCCATTAATAATGTAGGAAGCGTGTACACGGGGCCAGACCGTGTTTCAGTCTAAACTGGATACGTTGATTGGCGACGCTGCTGCTGCCTTGCCAGTGGTGCACAAGCACAACTAACAAACAACTCGAACGCGTTCGTCGGTAACACCGTGGCCCTGAAGGAAAAGAATGAACATGTGACGTTTCACGCGTTGGGCCTTCTTCGAGTGGTCTGTAGAAAGGCGTTCTGAGAAACATCGCCGACTATATATAATTTTCTTTTAAGACCACGGAGTTATTTAAAGATGTGAGTTTGTTCGTCTTAACTTGGATTGATAAACTAATTTTTTTGTGTTACCGGTGACCGCATGAAAATAACGGTGTGAACTGGTTTCCCGCGCACAGACATGTCTGGAAATAAACAAAGTTCCTATCTTTTTAACTGAAAAACCGAGAGAGTTGCCACATTAGTGTGATGGCGGAGCATGGTTTGCACACTGGACTTGTGGTCCAACGTAGAAGAGTAGGCCAAGTATTCTCCACAGGTCCCTGTAATGGAGGCCCTTCCCCCCCCCCCCCCCCCCCCCCCCCCCCATGAGTGGCATAGGAGTGAGCAGGCAAGAGGATTGCAACTTCGGTTCCATCTGCAGAGACGCAAAACAACGTGGACCGTTCTTAAAATCACGTTCCCCTCCCCCCACCTTTGTCCCACCCATCGGTGTAAATGGGTACATCACATTTCATCAAACGACAGGTCACGTTGTGGGGTAAAGTGTGGGCATGACCTACCCCTTCCAATATGTCTGGTCAGCGTGGAAGAGCAGATCAAATACCCTCTAGAGCTGCCTCTAGTGGAGGCCCTTCTGCCAGCAGTGGTGTCAGCAAGAAGGCAAGCAATTGCAGAGCTGCACCTTTACCTTTTGACTGAGAAACGAGGGCCAATGTAACACGTGGTTTGTACGTTCTCACGGGCCAATCGGTGCATTCATTACGAACATTCCACTGGAGACTGTCACCAGTTCCTGAATTTCAGAATCGAAAAACGGTTACGGGTTGTCGTTTCACAACGCTGGTTTTTACAGTTGAAGCTCGGCACTGAGAGACACGGAGATAGACACACAGACTCGGACCAAGACACGTACGCATTTCTGTCACCAAAACTGTTCCTGAATTATCTCTTAAATATGTGAATAGTCACGAGTAACAAGAGTTGTCTTCACTGAAAATGCAGTCACCAGCTAAGACCAGTCAAACATTACAGCTGCCCTCTCTCTGCGCTCTAAAGAAGTGGCCATTGTGTAAACGTCATCCAACTGATTATAAATCGGTGTCGGTCACGACTGTGGAGGCGTTTATAATCTGCTCGCGTCCATGAATGATTGTTGGGTTTGGCCATGTAATGATCTCGCCAAATTTGGGTCGTTAAGACCGTCTACCACCCGACACGGCCAAACACATTTAATCGTCAGGTGTACAAGCATTTAACAGTTCCGCCAATTGTGATGAATTTTTTTTTCAGCTCACTCACCGGTGACCTGGATAATTATTTTTTATAGCCGGCGATTGGCTACGACGTTTCGTTTCAAACGGCATCAGGACAAGATCCGGGATAGAACAAAATCCAGGACGACACACAGTTGGCCTAACACCACAATCTCTCATGAATCAAGATATACGTTTTCTTACAACCGTTTATTTATTTATTTAAAGTGTCCTACGTTGTTGCCATGCTATTGCTCGCAGGACCCGAACCAGTTGATCCGAGCGAGCGCGCTGCGCGTGCTGTCCAGCATCCGGGTGCCCATCATTGTGCCAATCATGATGCTCTCCATCAAGGAGGCGGCCTCTGACATGTCGCCGTACGTGCGAAAGACAGCGGCACACGCCATCCCCAAACTCTACGGGTAAGAATAGCAGTGGCAGTATTACCGGCAATAATGTTAATGACAATAAGGTTTTATATCGTAGTGTCATTTATGCAGCTGCATCGCACACAAACACTGGGCAATTTGCAGCACATGGAGGCGCATACATTTTATGTTTATATTAGAAACTGCTGCAACACAGTGTGATTTGTGCCTCAGAGAGGTCTCGGGGCGGCTGTGAAGGCGTCCGAGTGAGAGATTTCCCTTCATTCATTGCGATTAGCTTCGCATTTTAGCCACGCCGTTCGAGACCCATTCAGGGGGGTGAAAAGGGCGCCCGTTGCTGTAATGACGATGTCTCAACGCGAGGTTGCACTGTGCAAATATAGCAGATCACGGCCTACACCCTGTAGGCTTTTGGCAGTGTCAAAGGGGTTGTGTAGTGTGGACTTGAGGGTCATGGGGACAGCATTTGAGTGCTTTGTTGTTTTGTTTATAAATGCATAGCGTTGGTAGATAAGACGGTTATATCACTTTCACGGGAAGGCCAATAACATGACAAGGTTTTTATTTCTTAGTTCACTCACAACAGCCCCACCTTGTGGAAATGTCACGAGCCGCCACTGCTTGTGCACGTGACGGTTTCATCCGTTTGGTTGCCGAGTGGTGGAGCGTTCTTACAGACACAACTTTGACCGGATCATTATGTAACCTAATCAAAAAATGTAATTTGAAATCATCTCTCTATGCAACCGCAAGTTCCAAACCAATACTCTGGAGTATGTAACCGGTGTATATTTTTTACGTTTTGTAACCATGGAGTGTCTGCAGAAAGCTGGAAGGTGGTGGAATGTTTGAATGCGTGTTTTGTTATTGTGCCTGCAGTCTCGATCCAGATCAGAAGGATCAGCTGATAGAAGTCATCGAGAGGCTGTTGGCGGATAAAACGACGGTAGGTGGCTGTGCTGAATGTTTTATCTCGCTCGTTCAAACCGAAACAAACAGTCCTGGCCAAATGACCCAAGTAGGATGGTGGGGACCCTCTTTGTTTCCAAGATAAACGACATTTCCTTAAAATGCATAGCCATATAATCCTTGTTCTTCACAAATCTAATCTCATTCTGTATCAATATAGCGCCTTTAGTCAAGGCGCTTGACGTAGTTTGAAAAAACGGTGACAGAATGGAATAGTTTAGATGGCGGGGGGTTTGCATGGGTGACCGCAATCGAGGGGTACTTATGGTTCACGAAAGGGTCGGGGAGAGATGGGAAGGAGTGGAGGGGTGAGGGGATGGAAGATGAAGAGAATGGGCGATAGGTGAGGCTTTAAGGGAGGAATGGAGGGAGGTTAAGGAGGGGGACTTCATGTACAGGGGAAGTTTATTCCAGTGGAGGGAAGTCCAGTTTATATTTTTTTATCTCACATTATCTGCCTCGGACCATTTAACAATTTTATGCAGGGATGATTTCCTTAATGCAGCTTAATGACAGCATCCAAACCTGTGAAGGAAAGAGGGCTTGGGCAAGACGTGCCGCCACTGCAGGGGATGATGGACGAGGGTGAAGAATAATAGAATGTTTCCTCTGGTGATTGTTCTGTGCACGATTCACCGTGTGTATGTGTGCGCGTTATGTTTCCATTACTGCGTGCCTGTGTATTTAACACACGTTTTCACGAACAATGCCACAAGCCAAACATCTTTTTCTAGTTAGATTGCATGTGTTTTGTGTGTATGTGTGTGCTTCTCGTAGTTGGTTGGGAGCGATAGTGTCGTGGTTAGAGCACTGCGCTATGGAACTAGCGACCAAAGTTTAATTCCCGCTCGTGGCCGGCACCATTGATGAATATCTAAACTGGTCCTGGGCTCTCCCCTAGGTCGGCTCAGCCTCAGATATGTGCCTGGTGCGGTGTGTAAACATCAGCATTGAGACGAAGGCAGCCGGGCGTCGTGTTGGCCACCCACCCCATTGTGTGCCGTGCCGGCCTTAAAAGGTGCCCGTTAACAGCGCTGTTAAAGGCTATGCGGGTGATCTTTGTCGTGTAGTTGGTGGCAGGGAGTGTGGTGATGGCCTTTGAGGAGGTTTGCCCCGAGCGCATTGACCTGATCCACAAGAACTACCGCAAGCTGTGCAACCTGCTGGTGGACGTGGAGGAGTGGGGCCAGGTGGTCATCATCAACATGCTGACCCGCTACGCTCGCACGCAGTTCCTCAACCCCAATCAAAACGTGAGTCCCTCCGACAGACGACGCTGCTAAGGGATGAAGTGGCCGAGCGGTCCGCGTTCGCCGCTTGCTGCAGGGCTTTGCGGTTCCAATCCGGCGGGCCGCCCTGGTTCATACTCGGGGCGCATTGACGGTAGATGACCGCCCGCTTCTCGGTGGACGTTCAAGATCCCGTGCTGTCACTCGAAACGAGTCGGCCATTGTGTGTCTGAAGTTTTATTATTATATCGCTGTACATTGAGTTAACATATATAAAGCTGTCAGTCTTAATTTAGAATGTAAAATAACAAATGAGCAACACTCTGTTCTGTCTCTAATAATAAATGAATAAATAGTTTCGTCCACCAGGCTCTCGGCTTGCCAAACCAATATTGTCCAAGAGTATTTGTTTACGCGAGCGTACACGGGACCCATTTCGATCATCGGGGTCTCCTGAGCAGAATAGTCATGTTGGCAAGAGCACTCCATATCACGCAAAAATCAATATGGTACACACTCATGCGTTGTGGAGCATTATGGATAAAAACACATGTCGGAAAAACTCCATTGTGTGTCCACATTTAAACATAATATGTTATAGTCCAACACTCTCTTGGCTTTGCAGACCAATATTAGTTTTGAATTAAATGTTTAATAGGTGACTTTTCAGGCAAGGGCCCTTCATCATAGCACACGGTGTGGTACAGTCTGTTCTCCTGTAACGCCGCGTGTTTTCAAAACGCAAATTGGACATAGCGCTGAATCTTTAAAGAAGCACATTTTTTTTAGATGCGAATTCGATATAATGCGATTGAGTGAACAGGACTACGTCGCGCGAGTCGGAATAAGCAGTTGCGTGGCTGCCTTGGCGTAGTCTAACACAAGGCAGGGGGGATGCTGCTGGATGCTTCGAGATGCTACCCACGCGCCTCCATCTTTGCTCAGCCTGCGTACGCATCTCACGTGTTATTTCGGACTGTGCGGTACCCTTGATCAGGCGAAAAATATATTTCAAAACTTCTCTTAAAAACATAACATATACATACGTAAATACGAAGATATTGTGAAGGCCCGGTGGGCCGTTTGTCCATTTTTCCACCAAAAAAATTATAAGAGGCTTGCAGAAGTCCATAAAGTTATAGATAGTGGGGGGTAAATAGTTGATATTAAAGGTTTCCGAAAATTATCGACCCCCCCCCTCAAAAAATATTTGTACCCCCGCGTAGGTATATATACCTACACACCCTACATACAACAGAGTGAGTAGTATCTAGTGACTCTACAGTAGTATCTGGCGCTACAGGAGTATCTACTGACTTTACAGTCGTATATATTGACTCTGTAGTTGTTTCTACTAACTGCTGCTCCTCCTGCAGGAGTCGCTGCTGGAAGAGAACAGCGAGAAGGCGTTCTACGGCTCGGACGACGAAGCGGCTGAAGAGAAAGCGAGCGACTCCCCCCTCCCCAAGAGCAAGCCCTACATGATGGACCCCGACCACCGGCTGCTGCTCAGGAACACCAAGCCCCTGCTGCAGAGCCGCAACACGGCCGTGAGTTTGGACCGCGCTGGCAGCAGCACGCCTTTGTGTCTTTGACCGCAGCGATTTGGTGCGTTTGGTAGAGCCGCCCCCTCCTTCACGAGGCGACGAGCGACTTTTGCGTCGCATCTCGTCTCCGATTAGAACGGTTGGCTACGTACGGTGGGAAAGAAGTTTGGCGTACATATAAAGCCTCCGCCGAGACGGCTGTCCCCGTGTCGTACAGGGTGACTCGGCACCTGGCCTGAAAGCAGGAATTGGTCTGCTGGTAGGGGGTGATGGTTGCTGCTGATCGCTGCTGTGTTATGCCAATTGAGTAATTAGTGGGTAATCTTTCACATTTCACTAATTAGGAACATGACGCTGGCACGCAATGGCCTGCTTGTTGCGAATGACATCAGGAAATCTTTTTAACGTCCACCATGAGAAGCAGACTGCATGTCGTGTTTGTACGATTAATACCACCGCTGTAATAACCAGGGTGACCACCGAGCTCAAACTGCGAACCTCTACAACAAGTGGCGAGCGCGGTCCAGCTGAGCCCCATCACCACCTTTGTGGATGACCCCTGGAGTCCGTGTGGTGGTGATGGTGGTGGAGGTATGGGGAGCGGTAGTGTAGCGGTTAGCGCGCTGCGCTACGAACCCGGCGACCCGAGTTCGATTACTGCTCATGGCCAATACCAGTGACGATTATCTGAACCGGTCTTGGGCCTCCCCTAGGTCGACTCAGCCTCAAATGAGTATGTGAACGTTGTCGCTGGGGAGACAAAAGCACCCGGGCGTGGTGTTGGCCACCCACCCTCTCGTGTGCAGTGCCGGCCTTCATAGGTGCTCGCTAACAGCGCTTGCCCCAACAGTGTGTTAAGGCTGTATGGGGGCTGTTTGTCATTGGTGGTGGTGATGGTGGTGTTGTTTCAGGTGGTGATGGCCGTGGCTCAGCTGTACTTTCATTTGTCACCGAAAGCTGAGCTTGGTGTAATCGCCAAGCCCTTGGTGAGGCTTTTGCGGAGCCACAGGTGAGCTGCCCTTTGGCTTGGAAAGCTTTCTTATTGGTATTAATATTATTATGTTCACACACTATTTGCCCAGGAAAGCCTTGCTGACTCTCAACACTTTTTCAGGAGGGTCCTGACAATTTTTTTTGCATTAAGGGGCGACAGTGCAATATGCAATACCAATTCACCCACTCCAAGACGTCTGTAAGTTGCAGGGCGGGTGTCCCATTCACCGCTGAATCTCGGAACGTTCAAGCAGTTGGCGCTAAATTTTATTTAGAGAGGCCGTGCGGAAGGGCGTGTGGTACACTTCTGTGCCACATGCCCTTCCGCACGGCCTTTTACTTCCAATTCCGTTCGGAATGGATTCGATGACGTACACGCACACGTACGTCATCAGAACGGGAAAGGGTTAAATTATTTGCATGTAATTCTTCAGCATTGGGATGTTTTGGTCAAGAATCAAATCCAGGCCCTTCTTGCTATCGGTCACAAGTGATACCACTGCACCACCTTGCCGCCAATGTTGATTCTAAATGTTACGACAACACGGATGGGCTGCAGCTAATGTATTGTTGAAAGCAATACGGCCCTGATTTAGTGTCCATCTCTAAAATATTCCCGAGACGGAGCTCAGATTTGAACAACGGTATTGTTCGATGATTTGTCAGTGGATGACACACGTCGATTGTCTTCTTACTCAGTTCTTTGCATTGTATATGTTAATATATTCTTTAAGTTAACACGTGTTTGTTGTTTGTGTTGTTCATAAAAGGTGCAACAGTGCATACTCTCATATAATAAAATGTTTGCTCATTGTATACTGACCTGTAGTTTTACAATGTTTATTTCTATAATTCTCCTTTGAAAGACTAAACCTTGGTGGGATTTCACCTTGTTTTTAAAATAGAAAATGTGGTGAGGTTCTAAAAGCCCTTTGTGGCATTCGCCAATTTGACAGCTCGGAAATGTGTGAATGTATCTTGTGATTACATTTAAATATAGAATCTCTGCTCTTGGTATGCAGCTCGGTGAAGTAGCCAGAGGGCCGCACTCTCACTCGGTAGGACACGAGTACAAACCAGAGGTCGCAAACGGGTTTTGATTCCTTACCCGTACCCGGCCGCACCAGGGTCGCAAACGGGTACCCATACCCGGCCGGGTATGGGTAGCCGGGTATCGGGTAGGGTACGGGTGTCGGGTACCCGGTTGCGACCTCTGGTACAAATCCAGGTTGGAGGTTGACTGAGCCCATCATCATCCCTGGCGGGATCCGCTTGGCTGAACTGCAGCAAGGCAATAGAATGGTTGAGATGAGATGTGATGCCAGGCGGTATGGGACTCGGAGGCAAATTAAGTAAGTGCCCTGTACATGCAAATGAAGAGATTTCTTGCTAAACTGAGCATTGAGGCAAAGTGTTAATCTCAAGTTTACATTTCTGAGCCGGTGGAAATTCCACATTTCTATGGGGGGGTGAGTATCCATAGGGAAACTGTTGTTGACTACCCCCATATGACGCCGAAGTGATGATGGGCTGAGTCAACCCCCAACTCGGATTTAAAATCAAAACCTTCCCATTGCGAGACGCTGGCTCTCCCGCTGAGCCACCAATAGAGGTGATCAGCAACCTACTTTCTGTACTGTTATTTGCTGGCCGTTCTCATCGGTTGGTGTGTCTAATGTTCCACCACCATCGTCTCCACTGGCATACACCACCTCGCGGTCATCCCATTGTCTTTGACACGTGTGGGATATTGTTGGCTCGCACTGTCACTCAGCCTTTCCCTTGTATCCTCACAGGGAGGTGCAATACGTCGTATTGCACAACATTGCTACCATGACCATTCGAAGAAGGGTAAGCTCCTTTGTTTCATAGTGAATTATATTCTGTGCAATACAAAGCTCTACTCTAATGAATGTCATTGCCTGGTGGTGCTCCACAGCAAAGCATCGTGGTTTTTTCGTACACTTTTGCATTGAACGGGGTCCCATTGTTTATATGGAATGCTCTTGCCAATAACATCCGGAAGCCCAGCAGCATTTCTTTGAACAATGCTGAGTCCACTGATGAGACCCAGAAGGTCGAAACTTGTCCAGCGTTTCCTTGCTTACATACAAATGGTGCTGGATAATATTGGTCTGTAAAGCCACTTGGCCAATGGATTATAGTAATATATGTTTATCTTTTTGCAGACAGACCAAACAGAGCCCTGCATACATTCGCATTTACCAATAATGAATGTTTAGAGTTTTAATGCTTTTTATATAAATTTATCGCCAAATGTTTTTTCTTTGATAACTCTTGGTTATATTGAAACACACTGGCTGTAAAATGGACGTGTGTGGCTTGGTTGCAGGGTATGTTCGAGCCTTACCTCAAGAACTTTTACATCCGCTCTACAGACCCAACACAGATCAAAACTCTGAAGGTACCAACGCCATCCTCGTCATCATGAACAGTAGGGAGCAGTGAACCGTAGGTTCCCCATTCCTCTCTCTGATCCAGATCCAACTGGATTTTAAGGTCACTGATCCTAAGCAGTTGGCCGAGTGCCAAACACTTTGAGCAGACTGCAGTACCACGACTACTCGTGGCCCAGCTGTCCCCCACTTGTGGCGGAGATTTTTCGCTGTTCGACTCCAGCAGGCCGCCCTGGTCATTGCTGCGGGTGGATGAACCAACGAATATACGCGGCGTCCGCTTCGCAGCGGACGTTAAATATCTCGTTGACATCGCACGAATAAAGTGGGCCCGTCGCGTGCCGGCATCACGGTCCACATTTGGGCAAATTTGAAAAAATGACACTGCAGATTACTCAATTAGAATTACATACAGCAACATCGCCCCCTTCATTCATGATAGCTTTGCGCTATAAGGATGCTAGATTATAGATAGATTTCATAGGTATCCTGCAATGAAAGTGTAAATATGATATATAATTTTTTGCTTTTAATTGTACTGTGATTTCACCTCCGTATTTGTTGGCCGCCTGTGTCCATCTCCAGCTTGAAATTCTCACCAACCTCGCAAGTGAGACCAGCATCTCGATCATCCTGCGAGAATTCCAGGTGGGTTACTGCATTGGCAATCCACACAATGACTGGGCTTCTATAGGAGTATGTTAGGCAGGTAATGTTACGTTGTCATTCCATGATTTTTTTTAAACTTACAATTGTTCTTCAACAGAAATAAATCGGCTCTAGCATCCTGTAAATCACCGGACTTGTGTGTGGCCACACTCTGAATCCCTCCCCTCTCCCTGCCGCCTGGGAAAACAGACGCCGCTCCGTGCAGCTCACTTCTGCTTACTCCGTATCTCTTCTCCATCTCTTCCCTACCCTCCCATCGTCCTCTCTCATCGACTTCTCTTCGCTTGGCCCCATCATTCCACCTTTCTCCCTGCTGCTCATCTTGAGCCGTGCCCTTTGTGTCCGCCTTGCGTCCCGGCATTCCTTCCCTCTCCTCCCTTTCCCGTGGTGTGCCATGGGTAGACTTTTTTGTTTGTACTATCTGGTCCATTTTTTGTCATTATTTATTTGACCATAAACAACCACGGCTTCATAAAGACGTTGCGTTTTTTCCTGCGCAAGTTCTTATCCTTGCCGCTGGTTGTGGGGGACACCATCACCACTGCCCCGTGCTGCCGCGTCTCATTTTAAAATTACGTCCATTGCTCCATCGTTCCACGGTCCTCGCGTTGACACTGCCCAAACGTGTGACGGCCTCGGCCCTGTGCTTGAAGATGCTTTTGCTGGGGGCATGGATAATGTTCCAGTTTGTGAAGATTGGACATTGTGCAGCTGGATGGCACGTTGAGTTTGTTCCAATAAAAAAAATACCCGCAAATGTCACTTGCTGACCCGTCCATACCGGAAATCTGAAAAACAGTTTCATGGCTTATCGGATTTCTCCTGCAGTCTAAATCAAGATTCTGATAAAGATTCCGAATTGGGATTATGCCTCGTAATCATTGCCTCCTCCTGGCTGACTAATGCATGAGGTCGCTTATGCAAATGAGAAGGATCCTGGTCTCTTGACTTATCACCTGGTTAAGCAAAATAAACTTGAAAATAGAATGTTCAAATATGTTATTCACTTTAGCAAGGGTTTATTACTTTCTATGAAATGTTATATTCTGTTGGCTGAATGGAATTGTGTTTTGACGTTATTTTGAGTTCATTCAGCTTGAAGACTCAAGCTCTCTTGGTTGCTTCTTCATTTTGGCAGACTTACGTGAAGAGTCAGGACAAGGCTTTCGTGGCTGCCACCATCCACGCGATTGGCCGATGTGCGACCAACATCTCCGAAGTGACGGACACGTGCCTGAATGGCCTCGTGGGTCTCCTCTCCAACAGGGATGGTGAGATGCCTCTGCTCTTCTACTCGAAGCATAACAACAACGATTATCTGTTTGATAGAGCGAGCCTCCTTTAAAACTATAAAACTAAACTATTTTTTTTAACTCACCAGGTGAGGCCCACTGAGCTATGTAGCTCTCTATCAGAAGCAACCTGGTCACAAATGATAGCCCAACGAAGTGGCTTATTGTGTGGAAAGTTCTAGCAGCCAAACGCTCTAAAGACATGTTAATTCTCAATGGGGAGGGAAACAACTGGAGGACCCGGAGAAAAATCTACGCGCCCATGGGGAGAACATGATCTCACAGGAACAACCAGTCAGATTTTCGATATTAACCATTAAAAATTCCTGTTTTCTAATTTGATTCTAAATAATCTGGGCCATTGAGTAACATTATTTACATTTTGACTTAAAACTTTTGTGACTGCACGGATTCATATTCTTTGGTTCTTTCGGTAAAGTCACGTAGACAGACGATAGGAAAAAAACACAAATAATTTGTGTTTTTTCTTTTACCGAAAGAATATTATATACATTATTCAGCGTGTTTCACTGCTGCTATTAGCATCGTCACCATAAACAGCAGTGACGCTTATGTGCTCTCCCTCTCTCTGCAGAGTCTGTTGTGGCCGAGAGCGTGGTGGTGATTAAGAAGCTGTTGCAGCTCCAGCCGTCCAAACACACCGAGATCATCAAGCACATGGCCAAGCTCCTGGACACCATCACGGTCAGGATGGCCCCGCAACAAGCGTGCACTACCTGCGTTGATTATAATTACATTCGTGCGTCTCTGCTGGGTGCGTACGCGCGTGTAGTGAGCGACTTCCGAGACACGTCGAGTAGAAGGCTTCTTATTTATCAAGAGCACGCGGGGCGATACGCTTGGTAACGCGGCTACACATAGGCTGTGCAAACACGCAGCCCATCTCCGTCGTACATTACGCGAGCTGTCGACTAGCGTAGCGGCGTCGACGGAGCTGCTCTAGCAGAAGAACAGCCACGTGGTGGAAGATGAAGAGATAACAACGGCAGCGACGCAGCCAGGACCCAGGACCCGCAGAACAGCCCCGACGCTCTGGTTCGGTCCCCCTTATATCTGCCCGGCGAGGCCAAGCTCCACCTCTGGCCACGCCCCCTTTCCAGAACCTTCTAGACCCTTCGGGATGGTTCCCGGAGCTTCTCGACTGACTCCGCCCTTCACCTTTGCCCCAGACACGCCCCCCTTTTAATAAGGCATTATGTCATGCAGCCATAACCGTAATTACCCCTACAGGCCGGCAGGTGTCACCCTGTCATTACACGTGTATATATGATATGTATATGCTTAATTTTCCAGTTATATTTGAGTTGTGTTATTGTTACGTAAATGCATTCACCAAATGAATTGTTACATCATAAAGTGAAGACAGTTTAAATTGAGAAGTCACACCCCGTGTCAGAGAATGGCAGTGGGAGGTGATGTGGTTGCAGAACTTCTTCTGGGGCACGTAACGTGGCCTCTGATCCACGCAGCACCTTGCTAATGCCCTGCAGAGAGTGTTCATCTCATGTCAATCAAACCAATCGATTTTAATTTGCTCAGGTTCATTATAATATTTGTGTGTGCATTCGTTACCGGACTTCTACAGTCCAACCAACTCGCTCCACTTGAGAATGAGGTTTTAATAAATGTCACAACGTAACGGGTGAGCATAGTTGTAGAGAATGTTGATCGTAATGCCTCCTTCCCAAATTGTGCTAGTTTCTAAATAAAAATATAAATTTACACATCCCATCAGCTGCACTGCCTTCGAGGAGTGCATCTTATCAGCAGCAGTAGTTCAGTACAAGAAAACTATGAACCGATTTCGATATTCATTGTCTCATCAGCAGATTTAGGCCGGCTTAATCCAATGCTGGTGCACTGCACCTGACGCTCATGGGCAAGGAACCCTTTCAGAAAGAAATGGGGTTACTTGTGGGTGGCTTCAACCTGAATGTGAACCCAGGATGCCAGTGGTACCGGCTTCCTGCTCCAATGGACAAACAACAGAGAGCCCGAATGGACGGACAGCTTCCGATTTAGTATCTATCGCCCCTCTTTCCCAGTGTGCTGGAAACTAAAGACAGCATCTCCCGTACCCCTGTGACCCGTCACAGGTGCCCATGGCTCGGGCGAGCATCCTGTGGCTGATTGGAGAGTACTGTGAGCACGTCCCCAAGATCGCTCCCGACGTTCTCAGGAAGGTCGCCAAATCCTTCATCGGCGAGGAAGATATTGTGAAGCTGCAGGTGCTGAACCTGGCAGCCAAGCTTTACCTCACCAACTCGAAGCAGGTGAGGCTGTGCTGGGAGAACCGCTGCACGTCTTACTTTTTTTAACCGAGTTATGGTAATGCAAACTAAGCCCAGTGTTTGACGATGCCGTAATTTTTTTTGGCCGGTGATGTGGCCGAGCTGTCGCGTGTTCGCCGCTCGCTGCGGAGGTTGGCGGTTGCGAATCCGGCAGTCCGCCCTGGTTCACGCCGCTTGTGTAATCGACGGTAGAAAAAAATACACGGCCGGCTGGTTCGCAGTGAACGTTAACGACCGAGTGACGAAACAGAGCAGTCATCGTGTGCTGGTGACCTGCTGGATTCGAACCACGAACCTCTCAACAGGTGGCCAAGTTCGCCAGCGCAGGGCGTGTCACCGCCCCACGTGTGTGGAGGGTGTGGGTGTGTAAAATGAAATGTTCAAAAAGTTAAATCTGTAGTTTTAACAACTCCCGCAGCATAGAGAACCACGTTGGTATATTAAACTGCTTTCATTTTAACCTTTGACTTGACTTAATAGTTAAAGTATACAACAGGAGACGTTTCAGGCATTGGCCCTTCTTTACGGCACCTAGAGAGCCCAGAGAGGTATCACCTTTCTTATATCCTCTTAGAGCCACGGTGTTAATGATAACTTGTGCACAACATCCGAAGCAGCAGCAGCAGCATCAACAGATACTTTGTTTAACCTGACACCATTGCCTTTCAGACTAAATTGCTGACTCAGTACGTACTGAACCTGGCCAAGTACGACCAGAATTACGACATCCGGGATCGGGCACGGTTCATCCGTCAGCTCATCGTCCCGACGGAGAAAACGGGAGCCCTGAGCAAGTACGCCAAAAAGATATTCCTGGCTCAGAAGCCTGCGCCGGTGTTGGAGTCGCCGTTCAAAGGTACGAGGCAACGGTCGTCGGCGACTGACTCTCTGTGTTCTCTGAGTTTTAGGAGGGGGTGTGCGTGTTATCATCTGGACAATCCAGTTGTTTTCGGGAAGACGTGTTTTAATCTAGTTGTTCAGAATGTCCTTCGAGTCAGACGAGTATTCATAGCCGACACGTCGCCGCCCAGAGGATGCGCGACACCGCCAGCCATTCAGAATCCTCTTCCAGAAGACGTCCATCCTGAAGCGGCGTGTTCATCATCATCTTCCACAAGGCGGCTCTCCACACTACCATTAATCTACCGATTATAAAAAACTTGTTTTTTATTACCCCAACATTTTGGGGTGTATCTTTCTCTCTGGAGGGCCCTTGAATCCGAAGAAGATGGTGAAATATCAATGTATAGATGTGATAGCGAGCATACACTTTGAACTTCTTTGGACTATAGGGTCTCTTTATCGGATGGTAGCAATAAATATTGATGTTTCTTCTCCCCCGTTGTTATAGAAGTGGAGTTGGATGGTAATAACTATCATGAAGCCTGGTATTTGGGTGTCAAGACACTTGTCCCGGATGGCCCTGCCACATTGTGATGTGTGTCCAATTCACTTACCCAGAGTTTGGTTTTTCATTTTGCCGATGATGATGAGAGGTGGAAATTATCCCAAAATTCTAAAAAAGATTCTAAACCATCCTTAAAAATGTGAAAATCTGACTTTTTGTTACCCGACTCACCCCTAGCGCATTGCCGTTTTCAGACCGTGATCACTACCAGCTGGGCTCGCTGTCCCACATCCTGAACCTGAAGGCCACGGGCTATCAGGAGCTGCCCAATTGGCCCGAGACGGCACCGGACCCCTCCGTGAGGAACGTGGAGGTAACGTCACGTCGAAAACAACAGCTTGGCGAGCGGGTTATCGTTTGAGTTGTTAAATAATAATATTGATAGAAGCTTAGGACATTTGTTGACACAATCTTTCTTACAGCGCAAGGCTATCACAAAGGAAGGCGCTGCTGCTGCTGCTGCTGTGTTTCACAGACACAGTCTGCAGTAGTTTCACAGTAGGGGCGAGGTTGCTGTGTGCACGATCCCGATTGAGTGATGTGCAGGTACACAATGGCTCTCTCTTTTTATACGACGTCACGGCATTTTTAACGTCCCCTGTGAAGCAGATAGCACTTAAAATTGTACAGTAAAACACACCATGCAGTATTAACCTGGGCGGCCTGGCGGATTTAGAAGCAGGAACCTCTGAAAAAAATCGATAAAACTCGCTACGGCCGGGCCAGGTCACCGCCCCAGCGAAATGGATCAATAGACTTAAAAAAAATTGACAATTAACAAAGCTGCTGGCTTGGAAAAATTGTAACCACAAATAGGGGAAGTGCCTAAATAGCTTGGTGATATGACCTTGTGGGATACATTGGTTCATGAGCACATGTGTGATTCAATGCCTTGTGCGGAGTGGGGAGTGGTAGCGGGAGTGCAGCAGTTAGCGTGCTGCGCTATGAACCCGGCGACCTGAGTTCGATTCCCGCTTACGGCCAATACCAGTCACGATTATCTGAACTGGTCCCCCTGGGCATTCCCTAGGTTGATTCAGCCTCAAGTAAGTACCTGCTGTGGTGTATAAACATCGCCACTGGGGATACAAAGGCGCTCGGGCATGGTGCTGGCCACCCACCCCCTCGTGTGCCCTACCGGCCTTCATACCCCAGCAGTCTGTTCCAGGCGACACATGGGGGGGTCTTTGTTTTGTGGATGGTTCTCCGTCGTAATCAACGATGACATCCCATTCCATGTGCTCTGTGTGCTCTCGGATTCTTGTCATATTCACGGCGTAGGAGTCGGGCGTTGTCCTTCGGGTTTGTTCCTGTCATGTGGGTTCTCATAGGAACCGTGTAGTCCAATTATGGGCCTGCAGACCCCATAATATTCTATCCCTCCGGCCTCTCCTATTGATGTGCTATGAAACAGGGGCCATTGCTCAAAACGTCGCTTGTATATCTCTTTTCCTCCAAGAGCCACGGTGTTATGAACGAATATATGTTGCATTCTTTAGTTTTCCTACTTGTTCTTGTGCACCATTGTAGCAGCAATCGCCAAGTAATTCGATAACATTCTGGGCATTCCACACTCAGTGGGCAGCATTGGCGAGAGGTGAACCCGTGATCGTGCCACCGCTATCGGGGCCTCTGCTGTCCGCTCACCATCTGCGCGTTGCACAAATCGAACGTGGAACCACTCGTAATATTTCGGCAACGCTCGCGTTTGAGAACGCGCGTGGATACTTTGCTGCAGGTTTGAGTCTCCGAAAATGGCAACTGTGGCTGGATTTTGTGCGCAGGTTCCCGAGTGGTCTAAAGCATCAACGAAGGAGAAGAAGAAGGAAAAGAAGGAAAAGTCGTTCTACTCGGAGTCGGAGTCTGAGGCTACGGAATCAGCCGACACCAGTGAGCAAAACAAAATGCGAACGTCTCCACGCGTTGTGTGTATGCTGAACTTCTTTTGCACCATACGTAGCCGACCGTGCTATTCGGAGGTGCGGGTGAGCGGGAGGAGACACTCCGGCCTGACACTGACTTGACGTTTGGAGACGGGTGCCCCGAACGTGGCACGGCAGGTTGTCGTCCTACAGCAGCCTCGATCGTCGTGGGTTGTGCATCCCCGGTGGGAAACGCCCGCGTTGTTTGTTGTGCGCAGGTGAGGATTCGGAGAGCGAGTCCGGTAGCGGATCTGGCAGCGGCTCCAGCAGCGAGGAAGGGGAAAGCAACGAGTCTGAGTCCGAGTCCGATAAGGAAGACGCCAAGACCATCAAGGTCAAGGCACACCACACTGACAGGTCTGTATTGCATGCATCTCTTCAGTTGTGCATTTGAACGGTGAATTGCATTTGACTTGTGTGTACGTGTGTTGAACTTATTTCGCACCGTACGTAGCCAACCGAGCTAATCGGAGGTGCGGGGGAAGGACGACAAACTAAACACTCAAACATTTGGTCTGCGGGTTCTGTCGTCGTCATCCAGATAGCTGGAGCTATGCACTTTTAGATTTAAATTGAAAAGTCATTTCTTTAGAACTACATTATTTGTTTAGTTTGTTGTTAATCCCCCGTGATGAATTGAAGGTTGATGGGGTCGCAGGTCCAGAAAGGTTGGGAACTGCTGCTCTAGACTTTGGATCCAGAGCTCGTAATGAAGCCTTAGATAGAAAAAAACAAGTCCAGGTTTTCAATCTAATTCACGTATTGCGTTTCCATGCCACTTATAATGACGATACAAATGTTTAACATTTTCTTTCGGGGGTTCTACATTTTCTGATATCATGCTTGAATGTGCACCTTGTAGTGACAAAAGTGAAGAGGAAACAAAGAAAGTTGCCGGTAAAACGGACGATTCTTCAGAAGAGAGTTCATCAGAAGAAAGTTCCTCCGAGATTTCGTCAAAAAGCGATTCCGAATCGGACGAAGCCCCCGTCAAACCGGAGAAGAAGCAGGTACGGCGACGCTGAGGGGTGGCAGGGCAGCGCCGTGGCAACACGTGGGGTCCTCCCACTGCTTTGCTCGCGTTTCCTGGAGGTTCTCCAGTTTCCTCCCAAAGCTGAAACAACAAGATGCAATGTACCTGGTGTGGGGCAAACATCACAATGGCCGATGAATGACTCTATGGGGATTACACAAAGTAACATTGCCCTCCCCTCTACTGTGAAACCGGTGCAGACGACACCGTCCCTTTCTGATAGCCGTGCGCTATTAGAATGGCGCCCACACTAAATGCACGAAGTTATCAAAGTGTTGCGAACACGTGAACGAGCACGGGACGTCGTGGGGTGATGTGTGTGTGTGTGTGTGCGCACACAGGCCGAAGTGAAGAAAGTGAAGAAGCGAAGTGGCTCGTCGAAGCAGGAGGTGTCGCTGCTGGACCTGGACGACTGTAAGCAGACTTTCGCCCCCGTTTTGCTCTCACGACGTGAATGATCGTCCCACAATCGTAGCCCTGCGCGGGACGTTATGGAAAATCTAAAAAAAATAAAAATAATTCCCCGCATCGAAGCTCCCGGGTGGGGTTCAAATTCACGTGTTGACAAAAGTCAGTTTTGGCGGCAACATTGCCAGCATCTGGCAAAAAAAAAAACTGACGTCAAATTATCGCCTCTCCCCTGCCACTCGCAGACATCACCTGACGCTGGATCTCTTGGGCTGATGGGTTTTGTCTATGTGATTAATATGTTTCTATATCTAAATCCGCTCAGGCCTCCCGTATACCATGTGGCTGCCGTGTGGCCACCCCCCACTCTAAACCGCTTACCACGACCCCCTGCCCCCACCTCCGAAAACGGATGCTGCCCCTCTGTGCAGCAACATCGAGGCCCTTTGCTGCTATTTTTCCCATTACTCTTACATCGTTTTCCTCTTATTTTCCATTCTCTCTCTTCCTTGTTCCTTGTTATTTTTCCACGCGTTATATCCCTGTCTGTACCCCCCTTCCCAATGTGTGCCACGGGTAAATAATGAAAGTTGTATTGTTACTCATCTTTCCAATGGGGGTGACTCTTAATCACATTAACTACGACCGTACCGTTGGGGGTGGCGTTTAACCACGTTCACAACCTCCGTACCATTGTTTGGTGGCGTTTAATCACATTAACTATGAGCGGTACCCTTGGGGGTGGCATTTAACCACATTCACAACCACCGTACCATTGTTGGGTGGCATTTAACCACATTCACAACCTCCGTACCATTGTTGGATGGCGTTTAATCACATTAACTATGAGCGGTACCCTTGGGGGTGGCATTTAACCACATTCACAACCTCCGTACCATTGTTGGGTGGCGTTTAACCACATTCACAACATCCGTGCTTTTGTTGGATGGAGTTTAATCACATTAACTATGAGCGGTACTGTTGGGGGTGGCGTTTAACCACATTCACAACCACCGTACTATTGTTTGGTGGTGTTTAACCACATTCACAACCACCGTAATGCCTGTTGCCGTTCCGCAGTCGGCACGAGTCCCTCTGAGCCGGCGACTCCGGTCAGCCTCCTGCCCACGCACCTCGCCACTGACCTGCAGGGCCTGAGCATGGCCGAGAACTCGCCAACGATCGACGTGAGCTCGCTCGGACATCCGCACGCACAGGGCAGGGGTGGCTGGGGTGGGCCCTGCACCACCAAATGCCCCTTTGGGCCCTCTCAAGTTGGCTCCTCCTTGACGCTGTCCGTCCCCGTGGTGGTGCCTCCTCGACCCCCATGAGATAGCTCCCCCGGCCCCTTGCGTCCAAAAGGAGCCGGACCTGTTCCAAACACTCGGGGATGTGCTCTGGGGTCCTATGTTGATTCGTTTGCCCAAGCATCTGAAGATTCTGCATAAGGCAACCATATACACACGCACAGTGCGCGCAAAATGCGAGGGCCTCTCTGCAGTGACAGACGTGACCGAGATGCGTGTGTTGTTCGCGAGTGGTCGCCCGCCAGAGCTATTTGAAGGTCCTGTGCGACTATTTGGACGGAACCAGAATCTTTGTTTAGACTGGGGGAGGAATCCGATGAGCTATGAAGTTCTTCTTCAGAGATGTCCAGTATGGGCAGGGCAGCAAGGAATCGTTTCCCTTCCTGGTTTTGGCGACTGACCTGTACCACCCCCACCACCACCCCGCGTGGCCCCTGCCGCAGGTGTCCAGCCCCATGTTCGTGCCCAGCAAGTCGCACGAGCTGCTGCACCGGCTGAGCGGGGAGGGGCTGGCCGCCGAGTACCGCTTCCCGCGCCAGGCCTGCATCTACAACGCCAAGATGGTGTCGGTGCAGATCACCTTCACCAACTGCGGCGACGCCACCGTCGAGAGCGTGCACATCGGGGAGACCAAACTGCAGCCGGGCATGAGCATCCACAAGTTCAAGGAGATCGGTGCGGCAACGATAGGGTTCACAAAAAAAATATTGTGACTTGTAGAAACATCGAAACGGACAAATCATTATTTGCGATTGTGAACCCTGTTTAAACTTTACTATTTCAATTTTACCAGGTAAGGCCCACTGAGCTATTTCACTCTTTTTCAGAAACTACCTCACTTAGTATACAGGAGGTCGTGGGTTCGATCCCAACCTGTATATTTTGAGTTTGCGTGTCTCTCTCCCCGTGGTCATGTGAATTATTCTCCGAGTCCTCAAATTTTTCCCTCCACATTTAGAAACGTGCGTTTAGAGTATTTGGTTGCAATTAATTTCTACATGACAAGCCACTTTGTTGAGCTATTATTTGTGGCCAGGTCGCTTCTGAAAAAGAACTGTATAGCTCAGTGGGCCTTAACTGGCAAAATAATTACATTCTTCAAATAGTTTGGCTCATGGCTCAGAGCCAAGCCGTAACGAAGAAGTCGGGGCCTACGTGTTCTTTTTTCAGATGCCCTCCCTCCTGGCGAGACGGTGACTGCTTCTTTGGGCATTGACTTCTGCGACTCCACTCAGCCTGCAAACATTCACCTGTGGTGAGCCAGAACGCCGTGCTACGGCGTCACGGGCACGCATCACGCAGTGCAATGCACAAGATCCACGAGAATCGTGCTAAGGCCAAGATGTAGGGTCCACAGAGATCGTATCATCCGTCTTCTAAATATCGTCATATCGTGATTATCGCTGGTTGTTTTCTTTTTAGTTTTTTGCAATAACATTTACGAGATAATGACAGTTAAAAGTAAAAAATAACAGCTACATTCACTTGAAAAAATAGCAAATGCCTATTTATGCTTTGTAAAACTGTTTTCAGAGTAAGTGACTGTACGATGGTTACGTGACCTCACCGTTGGTTTTATACGCGGTGTAGAATTAGGTGTAACATGTTTACTCTGCCACGCTGCCACCCCATACAATCATGAGTGGCGGGGTGGCGCCTCGCAGCAAGAGAAGGTGCCTGGTTGCCATTCCTGACTCGGGCACCTCTCTGCGTGGAGTTCTTTGTTCTCCACTCCACCCCCCCCTCCATCGCACCCGCCCCCCCTCCATTCTCCATGGGTTTCCTCCCATAGTTTTTGTTTTTTAGTTTTTCAAGAGCCAAGGACACAGTGAGGAATATCAAAGGGAGGGGGGCAAGACGGCACGTTGTTACAAGAGAGCGTCCAATAGTAACGGCGAGTCGCGACACCGCCGTGGTTAGGGAGCGGCCGAGAGCACCTGGGCTCGCCGCCCTGCCATGGCAGGGGCAACCATCAGGGACAAAGTATTCCATAGGGGCAGGGGGGGGGGTCCTCCTATGGTTCAAAATAAAACCACCCATACAATGTCATTGGTATTGGTCAGAACATCCCCATGCTGAAGTATCCCTGCAGATGACTCGGCTGGGAGTTACGGACAGCAACATCATCATCAAGCGCCCCCCCCCTCCTCCTCACTGCCAAAGCTTGTCAGGACCCTCCTGAAAAAGTGTCTTGAGACTCCGCAAAGCTCTGGGGCGTAAACTAGCATCACAATGAAATGTACATTTATGAAAGAAAGTAACACGGTCGTTGTGTTTCATTTCAGTACAAAAAATAAAAAGTTTCCTGTGAGCATCCAGACTCCTGTGGGTGAGCTGCTGCTGCCCGTCACCATGACTGAGAGTGACTTCAAGAAGGAACAAGGTTCACACGTCACTGCTGCTTCTTGCTGCTGCTGCCGAGTCGTGTTTACTCGTTTTGCTTGTAAATTGAAAACGCATTTCTTTAGAGCTGCTCTTTGTGTTTAGTTTGTGGTCTTTCCCCCGCAACTCCGATTCGCACGATTTGCTACGTACAGTGCGAAATACGTTCAACGTACGTCCATACGTATTGTACCGACCGCTGATTTGTGTTTGGAGCGCTTTTTAAAAACCTGATTTTCATAATGAACTGCAGCTCGCTGACCGAGATGCCTAACTGGATCGTTTACTTGGTGCGTATCACCCGCTGTCTTAAAAGGAATAATCTATAAATACGTGACACACGTCAAGATGCATTGCCCATTACATATTTATCGTGTTAAAGCTACACGCATGGTGTTGCTGACGAATGTGAGTTTTTATTATTATTATTATTGGTGCTTGTGCACCACTGCCAACACGTAGCAGTAGCAGAATCGCCAAGTAATCCGCTTTGACGTGGATCGTCACAAACACGCACGATGGCAGAGAAGATGGTACAAAGGATGAAGAGAGCACAGAGAAGGATGGAGAGGCGCATGCTTGGATCTTGACCAAGAGACAGGAAGGAGGAGGGGAACCTGTGGATGAGAGAACGTATGCAAGTTGCAGATAGAAACTAAACGAGCAGGCGTGGGCAAGGCCCATCGCCCCAAGTGTTGACGGCCCGGCGGTGGAGACTAACGACAGAGTCGCAGCCAAAGGAGGAAACGCTCCTGAGAGGCCGATTTAAAAAAATAACAATAGGCTTTACCCCTTCTGGCAATAAAACAGGAGTTGTGTTAAGATGTTAAACACCAGATATAAACCTTTTGCAAGGCATCAAGTCTGCATTAACCACATGCACCTGTGGCCAAACAAGCTTTGTCTTGGAAACTGATTGGCCAACACCAGAGACGGCCTTCTTTACAAGTCATGAAATTGCCTTGTGTGTGCAGGAGCTGTAGGGATGGTCACGTCCCCAGACCGTGTGCGAGATGCAGACACCTTGGAGGCCTTCATCCAGCATTGGATAGATCATGGCTGATTATGAAATAAATTCTATGAAAACCGAGTGTTAAATATTGTGTAAGGTAGTCATCTTGACACTTGGTTCCCATTTTGACGTTGAATTGTACAAGACTGTAACGCTATCATGGTAAATAGTGGTATAATTAAAGTAGCGTAAATAAAAAATTACACTTGTTTAAATATATTCAGTACGAGAGCATTTGTCCTTATTTTATGTTTGTAACGTTCTATTTGTTCTTAATTTGCCTGTTTTTTTCTTTTCCTTCCAGGAAAACTGTCTGGCATGAATGAGACTTCCGCGAAGGTTGAGATGCCGGCTCACAACTTAACGAGCCAAGTTATTCGCCAGAAAGTGGCGTCTGTCGCGAATGTGGGCAGCGTGCCTTCGGGACAGAACAACCTACACAGGTGCGTGCGCTGCCGTGACACACTGCACCTCGCAACCAATCGCGACGCTTCGTCGTTCCGTGCTTTCTGCATTACACGACTCGCTTTCTCCCCCGGTGTTTCAAAGCACGTGACCCAAAACCATTTGTTTTCCACTCGTTTACCCAGGAATTTAATCTCAAGGCTCCTTTTCAGGAGGGTCCTGGCCAAGTTGTATGCAGTCGAGGGGCGACGTAATGCCAATTGAGTAATTTACAGGGAATGTTTCAGCATTGAGATGTTTGACCAATACCTGTTGCATTGTGTATACGGTAAAAACTCGTTATTTGGTAATTGGGAATAATTCTGCACGGCTGCACTTTGGGTATTTATACGGTGTACTAGTAATTCGCCATGAGTCGAATCTCCGTACCGAATGGTCCATTTCGGCGTAGCACGCAGAGTGACGCCGCACACCACGACCGAAGCAATGACTCGGTCGAGTGGCGGCGTGCGTGGTGAGCGTTGGTGCAGACCCCTTGTTGCTTTGGACTTTACCTTGTGTGTGTACTCTGTGCAAGCCAACTCTCTCGGCAGTGTCGTCTCCACCTACATCAAGAAGTAGTAGAAAGGGACCGAAGTATCCAAAGATTTGAATGTAATTGATGCAGGTGTGTCAATGCGTATGGTGTGTGAAGAGTTTTGAAAACAAATATGGGGCAAGGGACACTGGGGGGGGAGTACCATTGTACATAATTTGGAATATTGGATAATTCGGCAAGGCCAGAGCCCTATATGTGTCGAATTAACAAGGGTTTCTTGTATATTTTATTTTATTTTCCGGACCTCATTCCCAATAGAACTCTTTTGTAATACCGGGAATGCATTGTCGTGTGGAAGAGGAGCGACTTGTACTCCGGTCGTTCAGAATCATCTTGCGGAAGGCTGTTCTCGGTGGCGATACGTGACCAGTCAGGAGGACACGGGGCAAAAGGACACGGGGCAAAATAATGCGGCGGTGTTCCGATGTGTTGCAGATTTGCTGCCAAGACGGTGAGCTCCTCCAGCCTGCTGCTTGTGACTGTGGACATGAAGTCCGAGGGGGTAGCTCAGCTCTCCGTCAACTGTGAAAAAATGGTCGTCAGCTCCATGCTGTTTCAGGAGCTGAAGCAAGTGCTGTCCGAGCCATAACCGCGTCAACCCATATCAACTACCAAATCTCCCGGTGATGGGCAATTCTCAATCGGCTATCTACATCCGGTCCACGTTATTTAAGTATGAACATTTTGTTGTCAATTTGAACTTCACGAAATCAATTTTAAAATTCACTTAAGTTATGTAAAACCAAATATATAAAACAACGCCATTGAAAGTTTAAAGTGGCTAAGTGGCGTGTTTTAGGGTTGCGATCGCGCTAAGCTCGCGGGAAATTCCCCCCAGGGCTTCAGGGGTGAATGAATACGATCGGTCAGTCGGGTGCAGCTCGTTCGCCTTTGCTAGTTGGGTAAAACTATCGACCAGAATGAAGTATTTCTCCACGCTTAAATCCATGTCATCGTCAGTCCACAGCTGGATGAATGCCTCCCCAACTTTGTCCCCATCTCTCGCGGTTCTTCTGCGCTGTAACAGTTCGCCTCGCAGCTGCAACGCACGAGCCAAGCGCGTGGCTCCGTCTCCTCGGTGGACGTCCCCTCAGATCCATTCCATTACTTGGTCCCCGTGTCGTCGTTTTTGGCCATGGGCCATCTTTCCTGCTAGCAATGACGTCCTGCCAAAGCCCACTTGGTTTTCACATCTTGAACGTGGTGCTTAACTAATCGACGCGTTCCTCTTGTCTCTCAATGTGCATCTCTCCGTGCTCCTTTTGTCTACTCTTGAGCTTTTGTTCCATTTTTATTGTTCATCAGCTCGTTTGTTTCTAAACCACGTGCTCCAGCAGGCGGTACCCGCTGAGTGAACACGTTCGTCCAGAGGCCACATTGCTCAGTTACCTTTCAACATCAAGTCCATCCAAATTCACTCCAGCTTACTCTCATCCACCCTTCATCATTTTAATTCCAGTCCATCTTCAAAAGCTGTCTTGGTTACAAATGCTCATCCATGTTTTCCACATCTCTTCAGTCATATTAACTGGAAATAATAATACATTTTACATTGATAGGATAAGCATAAGATGTAATTTGTATTTATTTTGCAAGTTTAAGCAATGTATTGGGCATAACAGGTAATCCTTATAGTCATTGATACAATATTACCAAGAAAAAAATATTCTGTAAGTTATTTCAGATAGTTTGAATTTTACCAGAAAGCTAATTAAGAAAAATTAATTTAAATTGTACAGTCCATAGGTGTTGCCAATGTATGGCTGGACACTTCTGCTCTCTAAAACTTTTTCAGATTGGAAACCGTTATGGTCTTAAAACACGTGTTTTTGCGCACGAGTGAATTTATAGAAATGTTTCCCCCGCCGATAATCCGGGAAACCCTTACGTATGTTACGTAGATAAATCTTGAGAGGTCAATATGCTGTTGTGCCACTTGTACATGCCGCTGTGGGGGTGGACGGTCCAGGAGAAAAGTCATTGACGACAAGTCAAAGCAATGTTCTGCTCAAATGAGCATTGAGGCATTTGTGCTCACCTGTTTACATCCCTGCTGAACCAGTGGCGGAAATTCCACATTACCTGTAGTGGCGGCGAGTCTCTCCATAGGACAACTACTGTTGACTGGCCCATCAAGTGGCACTCATTTTATCGACACTGGAGGGTAATGGGCCGAGTCCGTCCCCCCAACCAGAATTGTAACTCTCGCAGCCTTGCAATGGCGAGGAGCTCTCCCTCCCGCTGAGCCACCACCTCGCCAGGTGAGCGAGCCACTGGTTCGGGGTAATGAGCCGCAGGATGGCATCGTTCTCTATGAAGCTCTCCCGCGTGCCGTCGAATATCTCCAAGCTGAGTCGAGCCTCACCGCAGGAAGTAGACACCACGGACCCAACGGTTTACCCGACAAAACTGCCGTTGCACGTGCTACATGCGGCAGTGGAAATGGGCCTTGGCTTAAAGTCTACGCGCTCATTGTGTTTCTTGGTTCTCAAGATTTTCTGAGCGTGGAGCATTCCGCAGTGTCTTGCTCCAGCACGTCTCGTTTTGAACACTGCAGGTCGGTCGCGATGAGCCCCGGGCAGACCTTTTCACAGACGTTCAGCATTTGGCAGACAGGTCGAGAGGTCCAAGCGGCCGCCCTCCTTGAGGTCTCTCCCGAGTCTAAAAACTGCATCGGCAGGACTCGATGTCGGCGGCACCAAGCGCATGTCCCGTCCTTGCCTAGGAGCCGCTCAAGCTGACCGTGAAGGTTGTGGCATTGTGAAGGCCAATTGTTGTACCCAGTATGGGGGTCCTCACCCCAGCTCGACGACGACGGAGCCACCAAACCTTTACGTTGGTACAACACGCGCGCAGAGCACCGCAGTACAACACGCGCGTTTCGGTAGACCCTTGTATCCCGATTGAAGGTTTCCCAGGTAGGGCCGCGCGCTGTCGCGGGCATCTTTAGCAGTGCGGGATGGACTCTGCAGATGCCACCCCGCAGCAGCAGCAGCAGCGCGTGGCGAAGGCTTGAGACTAGAAATGCCCAACTCGTGGCCCCAACCCACAAAACCACACTCGGGGGATTGCTGCAATGGGAAAACTGTCCTCAGTGCAAACTTTATTGGGTAAATCCATTCGCACGTTCATCCAGACTTGTTCGTCCTCGTTTCCATCGTCGTGTTCATTTTGGCGAGTTTGATGCCCTCCACGTTAGTTGCAATAGCTTTCGAGATTGCCCATCGCTGCCGAGTTTGCTGGGTGCGATGAACCGTCAACTTTTGTATATGGCCATTTGAAATGATGCTGCAGCCTCTGCACATAAATTATACATTTACCGTACATTCCTCTCCTTGGTTGATAATCATGTATGCAAATAGTTGTAGGCAGTGTTAATTGTGTTCACATTAGTGACGAAACTATTCATCGGCGAAGTGGACGAAAATCATGGAGAGCGACGGTGACCGCCCACCACAGACCAAAGTGCGACTTGCCGTGACGAGTCTGAACCCAGATTATTCAGTACGAGGAAGTCCAAACATGGCGAAATATTTTCCGAGTTCACTATTTGATCGACCTGGTTGATGGGGGGCGAGATCTGACACTTAAATCAACGTTCACGAACCAAGAGTGGACTAAATTGTTTTTTGCAAATGAGAACGACTTATGACTAAATTCCACAGGTTTGTCAGGTACGGGGCTAAGATTACGAAAGTAATTGGGGACGATATTAACACTGCTTGTAGAGTTTCCCCCTTTCCGTAGTTTGTTACTTTTCCAATGTGATGTAATCTTGTGATTTCAAACCCTGCATGCAAGTTAATAAAATGTACACAAAAAGTGGTCGCTTTGTTCACTTTGGGAATGTCACCGTTTTGATATTCCTGTCGCTGCTTTGTGTCAATGTTGAATTAAAGAGTTTGGAAATGTCCATCCAGTAAATATGACATTGAAGCATGCCAGAAGTAAACCTTCCCATGCAATGCTTGATAAAATGAGCACGAGTGAAAAGCCATGGGTACTAACAATTCAACATTTCTGGCAATGGCCCTCTTCTCATCGTGGAGGCCAGAGGCTGAGTCAATGACAAGGTGCGCAATGGAGTCCTTAAAGCATAGTGCAGTCTCAAACTATTCAATCTTTGGCCTTGCATAATGGGCCAGGATATTTTGTACCACCAGAGATGGGCGACACTATTGTATGACATGTTTTTTCACAAATCACTTTTTGCATTTTAAAGAAGCTGATACAACTCAAGTTGCAGCACCTCCAATTAGCACGGTTGGCTAAGTGCAGTGCGAGTTCAACATACTTGGGTCGTCCCATGGTGTCATGGTCATGGATTCGTACAGCAGGCATATAGATCCCACATCGTTTACCAGGTGGTGATGCACGCCTGAAAAGCTGCAGCAGAGATGATTGGTGGATCACAAATGGGAAACTCATTTCAGAGACGGGACAGCAAAAATGTTGACTCCACCTGCTCCATCTGTAGTGGATAGTGTTGTCCCCCCCCCCCCCCCCCTGGCCCTTGTGGATTCTCTCCAGATGCTCCAGTTTCCTCGAAAATGCAAACTCACGAATTGGCTCAAAACACCTTTGGGGGGGGATGGCAGAACTGTTGACGCCAGCTCACCATCCAGCTCCCTTTCCACTTGATCACGGTTCCTTGCGTTTCCGTCGTTCTATTTTCTCCAAGAATGAATATTGCGTGGCAGCACGCCGTCTTTACACCGCCGCAGTTGCCAAGAAACGACGCAAGCACAACAACATATCCACTATCAAAGACTTTATTGAGGCTGTGTGGGTACAAAGTGCCAATGCTGACACTTTCTGGGTCCCCTTGTTGCAGGCCGAGCATCAATCCTTCCGCAGTGGTCTGAGGAAGCATTGCCACACCAGGCCCACCACCCACGTCTCGGCCAGGCCTCGCATGGTTGTGCGCCTCCACATTTAATGCTGCTTCCTACGGAATGAGCAGCCTGCAAACACAAACAAAGCAGTGCTTAAAAAGACGTTCATTTAAAAAGACGTTCACAAACAGGCACACACTTTGGCAGGCACAGTCTATAGGTTTCCATTAAAGTTCTGGTAACGTACAGCATTATTAATTATCAAAGGAATTCAGAAAAGCGTGGAATCGAATTTGCGCTTAATCTAATCAATAGTGAAATCAAACAGCATTTGCATGCAGCTATTTCATTGTTCATTACAGGCATTTAAACAAATGTAATGCTACTCAATTGTCACATTCAAGGTCTAAACAGTCATCTGTTCATACAAGTTTGAATATTGCCACCAGAATTCTTCCTACATATCAACGACACCAGAACACGCAGCTTGTCACCAAGATTTCAAACGTAATGCGTGCTGAGCTATGGGTAACATGAGGTTGGAATGCTCCATAGTGCACAAAAGAAGCTTGGGAGAGCCAGATACAAGCTTGGAATGACATCAAGATGTGAAACACGCCTTACAGGGCCACGCAGGTTAGGTGGGTTTGAGTAGAACAGGAGTTGGCAACCAAAACAAGAGGCATGTTTTTTTTATTCGGAAAAAAAACGATTTCAAGAGCCGCAATGCATGTGAATACAAGGTGGCGGTCCTTAATAAATAACCGTCACGGAGCAGTCCTTGAGCCGCAGGCTGCCGAAGCCCCGGGGTAGAAGATCGCTAACAGGGCGACGACAACCAAAGGAGCGAACACGCTCGAGTGGGCATCCACCGCAGATACGGAGGATGCTCGTGGATTGCTATAGGCAGGAATGACTCGGGATTGATCATGGTTGACGATGCTGTTGTGCTCACCCTCTGTCAGACGGGCCTTGCCGCCTGTGGGCTGGCAGAGTACGGTGGAGCAGCCGACGCACAGAACCACGGTCTGTGCATGGCTGAACACCGTTGTGATCTTGTAGCAGCCTGTTTTTCACAACACGCGTGACAAGAGTGGACATGTCACATCAATCGTAACTCGTTAAACACGAATAATAAAATGCTATTATAAAGAAAACGTACGATTACGATACCCAACACCTCACCCTAAGCCTTAAGACCATAACCCAAAACCTCTTAACCCTACATGAAAACCAAAGCCCTCTAATATTTAATCAACAAAACCCAAGATCTGCATTTGGATGGAAATCTGGACTGTGCTTGGAACAATAACGTGCATGGGGACAGTCGAGCCAGAGATTTAGTTTCTTTCTTCACAATACTAGTCCTAGGATGGGAATTGTTTCTTTTTCAGTTAAGGACCTCCACAAAATTAACTGAATAAAAACACAATTGGCTTATACAACAGAGCGCCCGGTTTACAACCTGTGCTCCCCAAGGCCATGCGAAATTATCTGTGAACTGCTGAAATATTTTTCCCCCATAAAACACCTTATATACTTTTACTGCATAATAGGTCAACAGCTGTACGCGGGTCGAGAAATGTCGAGTACCACTGGCATGCAGAGGTGTTCATGAGACAAGAGTACCACTCGTGGTGCAGCAATGGCTGAGTGCACTTTGCTGTGAGCCCAGCTACCTGCTGCATTCAATACCTCGCCACAGCTAACAGTGGACAAGAGGTGTACAAGCCAGTCTTGAACCACCAGAGACCCCCCCCCCCCTCCTTCACCAATCTACACTACAATGAAGCATGGCCAAATAAACCCAAATACCAACATGAATTTGAGGGGGGGGGGGAGCTTAAACCAAGTGGATTGACAAGACTATTTATTACTCCGATCTATACGTCTCTGGAGTACCACGCCATGCGGCTGTCAACAATAAACCAGGTGTCTGCAGGCAGTAGCTGATGCGAGAGGTACAAAAACGTAAGTTTTAGTAGTTGTGCTGTACAGCTCTCCAATGTGTTCAGGTTGTACCATGCATTCAACAATTTCTCCACGATATCATTTTCGGGCCTTACAAATGGATAATCCCTCATGTGGCTGCAAGCCACATTCAATTAACTCGCATGCTGTAGTTTCCTCACCCCTGCCCTAAACGTGAAAACATTCAGCTGCCCGTAGTTCCTGAAAGCGGCTCCCAGCAAGTGGAGCGAAACGTCGTTCGTTACGCCGAACAAAACCGCGGTACATCCCGAACGCACAGCGACGAGCTGATGCAAGGTGTGGTTGCACGCATTTACCCACCCGGGCATTTCACATCCATAAAGTAAGAGTTGGGGCTCTGCACAAGTCGCTTCTTCTTGTGACACCTCCTCTCCGCTTCGAGGGAAGGGTGAAGCAAGTCCTTTGCGAGCTGAGAAACACAAGCGGCAGGTGAGAGACGTGGCCACAACACAACCACGTGCGTCACGGCTATGGCGGGGCCTCGCCGCTACGTCGTCTACACGATGTCGCTTCACTCAACGCACACTCAGAAAATACTACACCAACTTGACAAACGGGCAGCAACGCATTGAGGCGGGTGACCAACCCCCAATTCCCACGTGGCGTGGGGGAAGCATTCAACTATCAATGTGGGCTGACAAAGGCGGCCGTGTACCCGCACACAGCAAAACAGTAAATGTTAACATACAGCCACACACTTGCTTGTAAGATTTTAACACCTGTGGGTTAAATCATACTAAGTTATTTCGTTGACGTCATAAACCTCATTGGAATCTCTTGTAAAGAATTCAATAATAGAATCATTAAAATTGCCGGTCAAAACTATTTTCACTACGCTTGTTAACCGAGGAAAGGATAGCCGAGCAGTAATCTCAGGAGAAAGGCGGTTTTGATTGTACATCACTACGCGTCTCGCCTCTTAGCAATTCATGCGGAATGAGCCCCATCTCATGTCGCCTCATCTCATGTAGCCCCATCTCATGTAGCCCCATCTCATGTCGCCCCATCTCATGTCGCTCCATCTCATGTAGCCCCATCTCATGTAGCTCCATCTCATGTAGCCCCATCTCATGTAGCCCCATCTCATGTAGCCCCATCTCATGTAGCCCCATCTCATGTAGCCCCATCTCATGTAGCCCCATCTCATGTAGCCCCATCTCATGTAGCCCCATCTCATGTAGCCCCATCTCATGTAGCCCCATCTCATGTAGCCCCATCTCATGTAGCCCCATCTCATGTAGCCCCATCTCATGTCACCCCATCTCATGTAGCCCCATCTCATGTAGCCCCATCTCATGTAGCCCCATCTCATGTAGCCCCATCTCATGTAGCCTCATCTCATGTAGCCCCATCTCATGTAGCCCCATCTCATGTAGCCCCATCTCATGTAGCCCCATCTCATGTAGCCCCATCTCATGTAGCCCCATCTCATGTAGCTCCATCTCATGTAGCCTCATCTCATGTAGCCCCATCTCATGTAGCCCCATCTCATGTAGCCCCATCTCATGTCGCCTCATCTCATGTAGCTCCATCTCATGTAGCCCCATCTCATGTAGCCTCATCTCATGTCGCCCCATCTCATGTAGCCTCATCTCATGTAGCCTCATCTCATGTAGCCTCATCTCATGTAGCTCCATCTCATGTAGCTCCATCTCATGTAGCCTCATCTCATGTAGCCCCATCTCATGTAGCCCCATCTCATGTAGCCCCATCTCATGTAGCCCCATCTCATGTCGCTCCATCTCATGTAGCCCCATCTCATGTCGCCCCATCTCATGTAGCTCCATCTCATGAAGTTCGCTCGCCCCATGCGAGGTCCCGCCTGCGAAGCACTGTGCACAAGGGCCGCGGTGGCCAGCAGTGTGTTATAGAGTCCGCTGTGAGCATCTCACGTCTAACGCCGTCACACGTCTGTCCTCCCTGCCTTAAACACGCGCTGACCAACGGGGACGCGTGTTGGAGCAACTCGCAAAGGCGAGGCCCTCATCCAGCAGTGGATTGACAAAAGACGTCCATGCGCCATGAGGCTCGACATCAGCCCTGACCAATCCACTGCTCGATGCGAGGCCTCACCAGAGTTGCGCGATGCAACAAATCTAAGGAGCACGCGCCGCACGAGGGAGCAGACTCCACCGCTCCGTCTCCTCGTGAGACGCCACCATAACTATCGAATTATCTTTCTCTAATTCACGCGGCAGCAGCAGCCGCCTCCTCCTCCTCCTGCCCATTCATTCCAATGGCGGCCTAGTCGCCATCAACAGCCCGGGCTCGCCTAGGCCCCGTGGGCCTGGGGGCGACGCGGAGCTCAAATAAAACCGCGGCGGACGGCCGAGTCGACCGCCGCGGCTCGGCGAGCTCTCGGGGTCGCCCGGCATCGACTCGCGCGGTCCGAGGCGTCGCGAGGGGAGCGGAGGACGCGGCGCGGGGACACCGCGAGGCCGCGCCGCTACTCACAGGCATCGCGACTCCACGGGCGCGCAGGGGGAAGAGGGAGGGGCCCCACCGCGCATGCGCACACGCCCTGGACGGGTTTCCCGAAGTGAGCTGCAGGGGACGGGGTGGGCGGGGGGAAAGAGGCGTTAATGGTGCACGTGGGATGCGTCACACCAGGCGTCGTGAACGTGACATTGATTATCGATGCCGCCTATCGATTTGTTCGTTACACGCCTATTGAACGTGCAAGTGAGGGGATTAACCGTTGCTTCAATCGCTACCCCCCGCGAGAGGCTTTTACTCATTTCCTGGAATCGACGTGTCGTCACATCCGTGGTAAACACGTGCAGCTGCGGGCCGCGGGCGGTGCAGGTTCCGGGCCCCACGGAGCGGGGCACGGGCTGCTCGTGGGGGCCGCACGGGCACCACGTGGCCGCAGCAGCAGCTGCCATTGCCGTGGCACAGCGAGCGAGTGTGGCACTTGCTGGCACCTGCTGGGTGCGCCCCGCGTCTCTGAGCCCAAACTACAACAACCCGCGGCGTCGTCGTCAACATTTACCTGCACGAACACACTGCCCGTGCGCAAACAGCGCGGGGCTGTGTTGGCAGTCGCGTAGTTTAGCACCGACGCAGAACAAAGTCTCTTGCCCTCGACTGCCATTACGCGATTCGTCGTGGCCACGGGTTGCCAACCAAACTTAGACAAAAAGTGAAAATGTTTTCGAACTTTGTTAGAAAAAAAATACTTTTAAGAGCCGCAATTCCCCCTGAACACGAGACGCGGGTTTCCGACCCCTGTTCATGATGTTGCAAGCAATGCCCCTTATTGTCCTTAATGTCATTTAAACATTTTTAATGCAATGCGCTTATACGAGGCACATCTTCATGCTCCCCGCTTTGGCCATGCAGCACTGGACCGGCGCGGTGAAGTATGGTCATACGAGCTCTCGTATGACCATACGTAAAGAGGCCCCTCATCCAGCAGTGGATTGACAGAAGGCGCTCTACACATGGACTGTATATGCCGACTCGTTATTGTGCTTGGTTAAATAAAGGATGGCTCACGAGACGGGAGGTGTTGCACTGCCTTGCCACGCAGTGACACCGTTTACGAGGCGGTTAAAGGTCTGTTCTAGATTAGAAGTTTTCGTGACTGCAAGGATTCATACTCTCTGGGTTTTTCGGTAAAGTCCCGTAGCTAAAGATGTTAAATAAATTCAATCACGACGTTTCGGGCGCAACACAAGTGTCCTTCTTCAGGTAGGGACAACTGAGCGAAAGCACAACCGCTTAAGCGATGTGCTTTAAGTGATGTCGTGATTTAATTTATTTTAATTTTTTACCTACGGAACTTTACCGAAAAAACCAAAGAGTATAAAGGTTTGTTGTTGATCAACAGAACTCGACCCCCACCCCCTGGATCTGCTGCCATCACTGCCTCGTGTTTGACAGGCGGCGGCTTTCGTGGTTGGGCTTCATCCAGCAGTAGATAGACGATGGCTGATGATGGCAACGACGTCGGGGTCAAACCGACGCCTCGAAGTTGACCTTCCACACATTGCGGCGACATACATGTGCAGCCATGTCTCGCAGCGTGCTCACTCGCACGTGGCCTAACACCACGAGGCATTGACACACACGAGGAACAGCGGAACACGATGAAGATGGCACAGAAGACACTGACACGCAATGACACCAGATATTGACACACACAAGACACGCGAGCTTGTGACGTGCCACCACGCCCACCACTACAACACGCGGCAAGTGATAAACAGTTCCCCGCTGTTACATCAAATGGAGGTGAAAATAATAAACGAATGCTGCTGCTGCTGCGTTGAGTGGTGCAGAAATGAGACAACCTACACCACTCGCGTCGACAACATCGTGGCTTTCAGAAGCGGCGCTTTCAGATGCGCTTCTGTGGCCGTCTGGAACGCTCTCCCTTCCGTAATTGGGAAGCCACTTTAAAATCATCATCATGTAGATTGACAAACTCATTGCTTTAGAACTGACTTTTAACCTCCGATTCGTGCGGTTGGCTACGTACGGTGCTAAAAAAGTTCAACATTCTGTACAAGCACCGTAGCACGTTATATATTTATTTAAAGTGTTGTTTAAGATTTTAATCACATTAACTGACGGCGTTTGGCAGCGGTGCGCAACGTCGACTTGTCTTTACGTTCTTTGTACAGCAGCGCCCGTCCGTCAATCCACTGCTGGATGAGGGCCCCATCACCCCGTTGGCACCGAACGCGAGGGGGGAGGAGAGTTACATAACATAACTTCCCCACGCTCAAAGTGACAACGCTCTTCACAACACAGTCGTCAATAATCAACCCACGCTGGTCGGTGAAAGCCGGGCGCATAGAATGACAGTACAACAATGGGTGTTGCTTCACAGTCGTCGTTGTTGTTCACGTCGGCACTACCCAGCAGCCTGAGCACGACGAGGTGTGTTTGCTTTATTTGCTTTGCGTGGCGTTTTACCAGCCACGCAACTGGCTCGAGTTTATCACGGCCACAGAGGCTGCGTCTGTAGACACGGAATTGTCACAGGAACGCTGAACACGTGAGCACAATTTCCAAAACAGAGTAACATATGTGCGTGGTGCACGCGGTGCTATCATAAAAAGTTTTGTTTTAATCGCGATTGCTGGGACATGCCCAGACACGCAGTGCCCGACACACGCACGCGTAGGTGCAACAAGGCATCTTAGTCGTCGACGTGCAGTTCAACATCTCAACAACAAAACAACAACAACAACCTCACCCCAAGCTGCTGCTGCTAACGACGACGACGACAGCAACGCGTGTGGCGCTTTGCTCGTGAGTTTGTTGCGGGACTCGACGCGCTCAGAGCTGTTTCCAGACCGCAGCCTGGAGGATGCAGTGGGCGGGTGACGTCACCACTCAGCAGGGGGGGCGAGACGCAGGCCCCGCCCCCCCAGTGCCCCGCCCCCCCCCCGCGCCCCCCCGCTACCCCCCGTGCCCCGCCCCCCCAGTGCCCCGCCCCCCCCCAGTGCCCCGCCAGTACCCCGCCCCCCCAGTGCCCCGCCCCCCAGTGCCCCCCCCCCAGTTCTTGTGATGCAGGCGTGGGGGTGCGAGTGATTGGGGGGGTGCGAGTGAGTGGGGGGGGGGGGTGCGAGTGCGTGGGGGTGCGAGTGATTGGGGGGGTGCGAGTGAGTGGGGGGGGGTGCGAGTGAGTGGGGGGGTGCGAGTGAGTGGGGGGGGGTGCGAGTGAGTGGGGGGGGGTGCGAGTTAGTGGGGGGGGGTGCGAGTGAGTGGGGGGGGGGTGCGAGTGGGTGGGGGGGTGCGAGTGAGTGGGGGGGGTGCGAGTGAGTGGGGAGTGCGAGTGGGTGGGGGGTGCGAGTGAGTGGGGGGGGTGCGAGTGGGTGGGGGGGGTGCGAGTGGGTGGGGGGGGTGCGAGTGAGTGGGGGGTGCGAGTGAGTGGGGGGGGTGCGAGTGAGTGGGGGGGGTGCGAGTGGGTGGGGGGGGTGCGAGTGAGTGGGGAGTGCGAGTGGGTGGGGGGTGCGAGTGAGTGGGGGGGGTGCGAGTGGGTGGGGGGGGTGCGAGTGGGTGGGGGGGGGTGCGAGTGAGTGGGGGGTGCGAGTGAGTGGGGGGGTGCGAGTGAGTGGGGGGGTGCGAGTGGGTGGGGGGTGCGAGTGAGTGGGGGGTGCGAGTGAGTGGGGGGTGCGAGTGAGTGGGGGGGGTGCGAGTGAGTGGGGGGTGCGAGTGAGTGGGGGGTGCGAGTGTGTGGGGGGGGGGTGCGAGTGGGTGGGGGGTGCGAGTGAGTGGGGGGGTGCGAGTGAGTGGGGGGGGGTGCGAGTGGGTGGGGGGGGTGCGAGTGGGTGGGGGGTGCGAGTGGGTGGGGGGTGCGAGTGAGTGGGGGGGGGTGCGAGTGGGTGGGGGGGTGCGAGTGAGTGGGGGGTGCGAGTGAGTGGGGGGGGGTGCGAGGGAGTGGGGGGGGTGCGAGTGGGTGGGGGGTGCGAGTGAGTGGGGGGGGTGCGAGTGAGTGGGGGGGGTGCGAGGTGAGTGGGGGGTGCGAGTGAGTGGGGGGGGGTGGGTGCGAGGTGAGTGGGGGGTGCGAGTGAGTGGGGGGTGCGAGTGGGTGGGGGGGGGTGCGAGTGAGTGGGGGGTGCGAGTGAGTGGGGGGTGCGAGTGAGTGGGGGGGGGTGCGAGTGAGTGGGGGGGGGGTGCGAGTGGGTGGGGGGGTGCGAGTGAGTGGGGGGGGTGCGAGTTGAGTGGGGAGTGCGAGTGGGTGGGTGGTGCGAGTGAGTGGGGGGGGTGCGAGTGGGTGGGGGGGGTGGGTGGGGGGGGTGCGAGTGAGTGGGGGGTGCGAGTGAGTGGGGGGGGTGCGAGTGAGTGGGGGGGGTGCGAGTGGGTGGGGGGGTGCGAGTGAGTGGGGAGTGCGAGTGGGTGGGGGGTGCGAGTGAGTGGGGGGGGTGCGAGTGGGTGGGGGGGGTGCGAGTGGGTGGGGGGGGTGCGAGTGAGTGGGGGGTGCGAGTGAGTGGGGGGGGGTGCGAGTGAGTGGGGGGGGTGCGAGTGGGTGGGGGGTGCGAGTGAGTGGGGGGTGCGAGTGAGTGGGGGGTGTGAGTGAGTGGGGGGGGTGCGAGTGAGTGGGGGGTGCGAGTGAGTGGGGGGTGCGAGTGTGTGGGGGGGGGTGCGAGTGGGTGGGGGGTGCGAGTGAGTGGGGGGGTGCGAGTGAGTGGGGGGGGGTGCGAGTGGGTGGGGGGGGTGCGAGTGGGTGGGGGGTGCGAGTGGGTGGGGGGTGCGAGTGAGTGGGGGGGGGTGCGAGTGGGTGGGGGGGGTGCGAGTGAGTGGGGGGTGCGAGTGAGTGGGGGGGGTGCGAGGGAGTGGGGGAGGTGCGAGTGGGTGGGGGGTGCGAGTGAGTGGGGGGGGTGCGAGTGAGTGGGGGGGGTGCGAGTGAGTGGGGGGTGCGAGTGAGTGGGGGGGGGGGGGGTGCGAGTGAGTGGGGGGTGCGAGTGAGTGGGGGGTGCGAGTGGGTGGGGGGGGGTGCGAGTGAGTGGGGGGTGCGAGTGAGTGGGGGGTGCGAGTGAGTGGGGGGTGCGAGTGAGTGGGGGGTGTTGTATATGTTGGTTATCAAAATTTGTTATGTTGTATGCGTGCGTGGGTGAAATTATTATGTTGTATATGTGGGTTATGAATATTCAGTGAAAATAATAATAATTAAATGAAATTTGGCCAAATGTGTAATTATCCGGAAATATGTTAATTTATGTAATTATGCACATTTTAATTATGCCAATTCGAGAGGTAATCGTATTAATTATGCGAGTGGGTGTAATTATGATAATGCAAGTCGTTATGATAACCAGACCCCGCCTCGGTGATGAGGGTGGGTTATCGATCGGAATAAGGCAATTAATCGTATGCAGTTATGCAGGTGTGGTGTAAGTATGCAAGATTAACTTAGATTAACTCGGCATCGTTGTCTAGGTTCGTCTCATTCTCGCTTTAACATTCCCAGAGTGTGTATTCGTGGTTATATTTTAGGTCCCCGGTTCACCCCGTTATCGCTTTAACATTTACTGAGTATGTATTAGTGTGTTTATTAAGGTCACCAAGTTCAGATCTCAACGCAGAAGCAGATCTTATGCATAGATTTCAGGAAAGAATCACACAACCACTTCTGTATTGATCAATTTATTACTAATTCAACCTTAACTATGATATAGTATGCGAACTCTCAATCCCGGAACGTCAACACGGCATCAATACAGTATCATCAACGATTGTCTGATTTCACTTTGACAACGGCACATGGATCCCGCATAACGCGATGGTTGTTAGTGAGAGAGAGAGTCGTTAAAATATGCAAATACTAAGCTAAGAAAACCTTAACGTTAATGAATGATTATACTCAATATTGTTCACGCAGTACCGCACTCCTTATTGATCATACGCAACCCTTATCACGTTGTTAGCACCTTGGGTCACGGGACAGTTGAATATTCTGTAGAGGATGCGAGTACGTGCGGCGATTATGACTGAAAGATACTTGAAAGATTATACGGCGATAAAAAAAACACAATCAAAAACAGTTATTATTCTTAAAGGCATCAATCTCAACAGATACATCGGCAGGTTATCTGACAACAGAACGGCTCGGAGTAAGGGCCTGCGACGGTGCTCCTTTTCCGAAGATCGTTATCTTATACCAAGTTTACTAATTGGGGACCAGATCACCTGATAAGGATCCGGTGGGCCACCACTCCCCACGTGAGCGTGGCTCGGCGGAAGGAGGTGCCAAGAATCAGTTCGTATTGATGGATCTGTTGGGAATTTATGCGATTAAGAGTACAGCCCACTAAATATTAAAGATAAAAATTACGAATACTTTTATAAACGACGGATGGCCATCACTCGGTCTCGTTGTGATGCCTTCCCAGCCACAGATGGCTTATGGGTTCGAGTGTGTTTGAGTGGTAAGAGTTGTCTTGAATAGTCAGTGTTCGGAGTCGATTCTTTATGTCAAACAGACGCCTGGTGGTCGTGTGGTGAGGGGGCGGTGCGCGTCATACGTATCAGTCGCTCCCCTGTCACCGTGGTGAACTGGTTCGGATGCCCGTTGATACGCTGTCGCAGTTCGGAACCCGGTCGGTAGGTGGCGCCCACAACTCGCTCGCAGCGTGCAGTGTTGGGTCGTCGTGTGCACGGAGCCTCGTCGCCAAACCGCGACCCTCACCACTCCGGCGGCAGCAGAGACCTCCGACTCGGCAGAGGTTGACCCACGCAGGCCGAGTTGAGCTGTCAAGCGGGTCTTGCCCGCCTGCAGAGGAGATGGGGAGCCGCTTGAGTCGAGCCCCGAGAGCCGGCTTTGGTAAGCCGATCGAACTCGGCTGAGTCCCAGACGAGCTGAAGATGAGTCGAGCCGACCCGCTGGTCGCACTCGCTCCTGAGCCGACCCTCCCGGTCGAGCTCGCTCCTGAGCCGACCCGCTGGTCGCACCCCCCCCCCGTGAGCCGACCCGCTGGTCGCACTCCCCACGTGAGCCGACCCGCTGGTCGCACCGGTTTCCAATGCTCAGGATCCTTTCCTTTATGCCGAAAAATCCCCCTGGATCCCGCCCACAAGGCGGGGCTTCTTTCGATTTTTGCTGTCAGGATTTGTCCGTAGGCAGCTGTGTCCATGTGTGTGTCCGTATGTCCGTATGTCCTTGTGTGCATCACCCACTGAATATTCCGTTGTCACACTCCCTCCATAAAACCCACGAGCAAACAATCAGATGTTACAAATTGCCTCGAGGTCGTCTCTCTGTCTGGGTGCAATATTATCTCTTGTCTGGCCTTCTTCATGAACCCAAAACACAGACGTTACAAATCGTCTCATAGGCGTCTTTGTTCGTGTTGCACCACCTGGAGGGAGGGGCAACACTCTCTCCGACCCGGCGCACAAAGAAATGGTTAAGAAGTTTTAAGTTAACATTTGTCCCTTACTATTTCACAGTTATGATTCTGTATGTAACCTAAGGTCTGTCGTTTCCCATCGTGGTGCTTGACTCAAGTGGAGGTGTTTCCCCGAGCGTATACACACTCCTATCCCGCGCTGCGGAGATACAAAGACGGCCGGGATCTCCCTTTCTCTCCGACCCTGGGTTTAACATCGTTTTTTATTATGTATTTATATTCGACCTGGTGGTGATTCATCCCGTTATCCTGGCTTTTCATAAGTTTTACTTTTGTCTTTTCATGCATATGCTTCGGGTCGAGTTGTATAGAAAGTATTAAAGTATGGAAATACCATTTCATATTGACTTAATGATGGTGATGGTTCAGTAGGCGTAACTTGTGACCTGGTTTAATTGGAGTGGGTGTGAATATCAAACTTTAGCCTACCCTGTTGTTAAATTCCGACTTTAACGTTACTTTAATAGCAATACAGAATGATTGAGCTTTTTGTCTTAACTAGGCGAACGCGAACTTCTGGTGACCCCCGCAGCCTTGTTGTTCAGCTGGGTCTGCATCCTTGAGAGATATACAACCCTCTTATTCTCGTCTCACCGTGGCCATCACCTTCTGCTCTGGGAGTGTTATTCTTAATTTCAGGTCCAGGGCCCCCTCACGTTCAGACGTGCAGGGTTGTTTAAATCAGCTCCCTCCCCTGTGCACACAGCCTTGAGCTGACCCACTTAATTTAATTTCTTGGCCTTCTTGGGTGTATCTTTGCTCCCTCAGCTGCAGGAGGACAAGGCGTACTTCTACCTCCCCCCTGTGTGCACGTGTTCCAACTAGCTCGGAATCCCTAAACACACAATCAGTGATGATTCCTGGCTTTCTGTGGTTGTGATTTAGACAAAGGCGCCTCTGTTTTCTTCCATTGCCTTTGAGTCGACACTGCCCTATTATTTGCCCATGTGCTGAGGTCATAGAATTCGTTTTGACTTCAGTAATATTAACATTCAGTATTGGATTAGCAAATGGGCAATGGTTCATTGATGTAGCTCGCAGCCTGGTCTCCAATTTGAGCGAGCGCGAGGATCGATACTTTAGCCTACTCTGTTGTTGAATTTCGAATTTTGACGTTACTTTAAAACCATGCAGGATGGTTGGGCTTTTTGCCTTAACTATGTCTGGCTGACACTCCCACTGTCTCTGCCGCCTGCACGGGTGACATGTGCCCGTTCATCAGGCCTTATCTTTCCTTGAAGCAAGGTTGCAAATTCTGCCATCCTAGCCCTCCTCCAGTTCATTACTTAACAACACCTGGTGTTTTGCAGTTTGCTGCGCTTTGGTGTGTATCATTCATTAAAAAAACAAGTAAAAAGATAATATATAAAAATATCATCAAATATTATTAATCTCAATTTTGGAAGAAGGGTTAGTATACAACAGGGGTGCGAGTGAGTGGGGGGGGGTGCGAGTGAGTGGGGGGGTGCGAGTGGGTGGGGGTGCGAGTGGGTGGAGGGTGCGAGTGAGTGGGGGGGGGTGCGAGTGGGTGGGGGGGTGCGAGTGAGTGGGGGGTGCGAGTGAGTGGGTGGGTGCGAGTGAGTGGGGGGGGTGCGAGTGAGTGGGGGGTGCGAGTGAGTGGGGGGGGGGTGCGAGTGAGTGGGGGGGGTGCGAGTGAGTGGGGGGTGCGAGTGAGTGGGGGGGGGGGTGCGAGTGGGTGGGGGGTGCGAGTGAGTGGGGGGGGGGGGTGCGAGTGGGGGGGGGTGCGAGTGCGTGCTGCGTGATCTGTCTCCATCAGCTCAAGCATCCCGTAAACCACGTGACACGTGCGAGGCCACTCCCACTCCCCGCCCCCTGTGAAAACAGACTCCGCTCCTCCGTGCGACTCACGCCTGCTTGCTCCTCTGTTCTCCCTCTCTTCCTTTCTCTCCTCTCATCATGATCATCACTCACTGTCTCATTCGCGACATCTTTGTTCGATAATTCCCCCCCCCCACCCTCCAAAAAACAAAGATCCCCCGTATAGCCTCAACAGACTGTTGGGGAAAGCGCTGTGGGCGAGCATCTATGAAGGCCGGCACGGCACACGAGGGGGTGGGTGGCCAGCATCGCGCCCGGCCGCCTTTGTCTCCCCAGTGGTGATGTTTGCACATCACACCAGTTACTCATTTGAGGCTTGCCTCTTTGTCTGTCTTGGGGAATTCTTCCTTGACATCCATTCAATGTTTTCCTCATTACCTACTATAATCACCCAGAAATGTCTGTCCGTCCCGCGCGTGACGTCACTCCACATGAGGCCCACCCCCCCCCTCATTAATATTCATGAATGTATGGATTTTTACACTAACGCAGGTCGAGCTGAATTAAATAATTTATGACGCAAAGTCGCTTCAAATCTGACGTTCTTTACAGAAAGTGACGGTAAAAAATTTATCAACGCAGCACAGTGCTACATCGGTGCGTGACGTCACTGCAAAAGAGTCCCCTCCCCCCATTATTAATATTCATGCCCGCGTGGAAATGTACACTAACACACGTCACGCACTCCACATGCCGCACCCTCCCCTCATTAATAACCATGAGCGGTGACGTCACTCCACATGCCGCACCCCTCCCCTCATTAATAACCATGAGCGGTGACGTCACTCCGCATGCCGCACCCCTCCCCTCATTAATAATCATGAGCGGTGACGTCACTCCACATGCCGCACCCCTCCCCTCATTAATATTCATGAGCGGTGACGTCACTCCACATGCCGCACCCCTCCCCTCATTAATAATCATGAGCGGTGACGTCACTCCGCATGCCGCACCCCTCCCCTCATTAATATTCATGAGCGGTGACGTCACTCCACATGCCGCACCCCTCCCCTCATTAATATTCATGAGCGGTGACGTCACTCCGCATGGGGTGGGGGAGGGAGGCGGCTCCTCCCTCCTCACCGAGAATTTCACTCTTTCGGTAAAGTGACGTGGATAGGTTGAAATAGAATAACAAAAACTACGACGTTTCGATCGCAACACAAGCGGTCGACCATAGTTTTTGTTATTTTCTTTGAACTTATCTACGAGACTTTACCGAAAGACCCAAAGAATATAACTTAACCCTCATTAAAAAGCCAGAAACCCTCATGTCACGCGAACTCCGTCACGCTGTTGAGACATAGAAGGAAATGACGTCATGATGAACAAGGGATATAACCGTCAATCAAAATGTCTACGTGAATATGACGTCACTGTCTGCTTTTCGCTTGAAAATTTCATATTTACTGCAAAGATGACAACTCATTTCGTACAATCCTCTCCACAACGCCACTGAAGCCACGTTGTGCCTGAACGAGGTGGCCGCTGCGAAACGTCAGACCCCCCCCACCTCACGTCACGTGACGCGCGTGGCATTCGTCGAGACGCGTCACGCGTCACGTGCCAGGCGGTGACGTGTCCCGCGTTCGGAAAACCTGTTAACATCACGATGACGTCACGGACCCTTCTCACGGATACTCGTCGTCAGTGACGTGCGGACGAATTGACGGATTATTTGACGTCTCTGTGTTCAGTAAATTGCGTCACGGATCCTTTGATGATGTCATCTCGCGAGACATGTTAACATATCAGAATTTATATTTATCCTGGAGAAGGGTAATTGCCTGAAATGTCGCCTATTGTCGACTTTTCAGGCCACACATTGTCATTGACCTAATATTTGAAATGTTGTTGTGACCAGCAACATGACGTCACATCTCTTTTAATGACGCCACGCCGCGGCGTCCGTCTCAATCTTTCAGTAAAAATGACGTCACGAAACGCTGCGATGAGGTCACCTCGCGGCTCCGACCACCCCTCCCCCCTGTTCGTCGTCAGTGAAATGACGTCACGACCCGCGCCGGTGACGTCACTGCGGAGCAAAGATGGCGAAGGCGTACGACTACTTGTTCAAACTTCTGCTCATCGGAGACAGCGGCGTGGGCAAGACGTGCGTGCTCTTCAGGTTCTCCGAGGACGCCTTCAACTCCACCTTCATCTCCACCATCGGTGAGACGCCGAGAACGGAGAAGCGTATCTGTGCGCGCGAGCGCGGGCCGTCTCGGTCTCAAGGTGCACCTAGCCTGGCACAAGCGCCGTGGTGTCGTCACCACCACTCGGTGGCGAGTGGCGTTTGTTGTTGTGGCCGTGTCGGTGCCGCGGTTGTTGACGGCGGCAGCTTTGGCAACTCGTTGGTTAACGAGAGGCGGCCGACAGTGGCCGGCAGGGCGTGCCCGGTGGGCGAAGCGGACGTCCACAACCTCGTACGTGTACAACGTTATCATCATCATCATTATTATCATACTCCTTCTTGATTCGTTATATTACTTGTACAGCCACCTTGTTACATTCCTCGCACGTGGACAACCTCGCACGTGGACAACGTCATACCCCGGTGCGCCGCTCGGCGCCGCCTCGAAAGTTGACGGCGAGAAGCTTCGACGCGTGACGCTTCGGGCACCGTCGGGGAAGGCGGCTGCTTCTTCTTCTTGTGCCTCGCTGTCACCGCCAAGCCCACGGGCGGCCTGCTTGTTGTGCATGCTGCCTGCCTGTTGTGCATGCTGCCTGCCTGTTGTGCATGCTGCCTGCTTGTTGTGCATGCTGCCTGCTTGTTGTGCCTGCTGCCTGCTTGTTGTGCATGCTGCCTGCCTGTTGTGCATGCTGCCTGCTTGTTGTGCATGCTGCCTGCTTGTTGTGCCTGCTGCCTGCTTGTTGTGCATGCTGCCTGCTTGTTGTGCATGCTGCCTGCTTGTTGTGCATGCTGCCTGCTTGTTGTGCATGCTGCCTGCTTGTTGTGCATGCTGCCTGCTGCTGCTGGTCGGTCTTCGCTAGGGCTGTCCGAGGAGCCTCAACCCTTGCCCGGTGGTGGCTTCCGAGATCCGACGAGAATCAGGCGCGGTCCGGGTGAAGCGGTGTTCTAGCGAAAGTGGATACAGGCCCCCCAGACACGACATAAACAACCCAACTCGGATGTTATCTCCGTGCAGGCAGCGGACACGCGCCGAGGCTGTGGTGCTGCCCGGCAAGCGTGTCCGGCGAGAGTTTGAAGCTTGGCGAATGAGCGGAACAAGATTGACGTGAAAGTTGGGGTAGAGGGGGTGCCGATGTGAGCCCTTTGTAGACTGCCACTGTTTTTAGATTGTTCCCTCCCGTCGTATCTTTTTAGCATGTTCATTAAATGACAGATTTTTTTATTTATTAATATAAACGTAGCAACTTTCGTCTCTTACAAGATGCACAGTGCTGTTTGTTCCTGGCCGCTTGGCAGGTTCGGTCCTCCTGTGGCCCGCTCGGCCACCCGTGACTTAAAGGAGGCAATCGTGTGACGCAGCCCCTCATCCCCTGAGTTTAAGTCTGAAGTGTTTATCCTCTTCCTGATCGGTTTGGTTTGATTTATTGTGGCACGGGGAAAATCCCACTGGGCAATAATGAATGCCCATTTCCGACGAGAACCTGGTTACACAATAGACGCATTGTTCAAGCAACAACAAGAAACAACGAACACAATGTTGTACATGGTCAACTTCCGAATGGCACGGTCGTGCGACAATGTGGTACCACCAGCTCGTACGAAAAGGTATTGTGTGGGCTGAAGTAACTATTTGACGTTTTGTTTACGTGACAAATCCCTTATTGGTTTGCCGTATCGGGTGGTGGAGGGTTTTGACACATTTATACTTACGCGATCTAACCCAAAAACCTTTATTCTGAATTTCTGTAACACTTTTTACGTGCGTTGAACTTCATTTGCATCGTACGTAGCCAGTGGTCCTAATCGGAGGTGCGGGGGGAAGGACAAGAAATTCAACACAAACAGCAGTTCTAAAGGAATTCGCTTTCGATATAGATTTTAAAAGTGCATAGCTCCAGTGGCTTTAGTAATATCGGAAGAAGAGCGTTCCAGACGGCCACACAAGCGCATCTGAAAGTGCGCGATGCAGTATCCGTCCTTACAAAGACGGGCACTGCATCGCGCGCTTTCGGATGCTCATTTCTTTAGAACTGCTTTTTGTGTTTAGTGACTTTGAGGATGAAGATGGCCCAATGCCTTTCCCTGCGTAGATCAAGGGGAGCTCGTTTAAAGTTCAGTGGTGATGGATTCTGTATGGGAGCATCGAGGGCAAAACGGAGTGCGGAGTGGGAAAATGGAACCAGACTTTTACCGCTCGGCCAACACCAAGTCTGTAAATAATATCACAGTAGTTCAAGATTGAGAGTATAGTGCACTACCAATATATAATTGTAGTTTGGGTGGATTGCACAGTTTATTTCTGTACAGGAAGTCAATTTTCACATTTATTTGTTTGCAAATAAATAGCTTGTGATCGAGGATGACACCTAGGTATATAAATTTGTCGACAAGTTCAGTTTGTTGAAAGTTGAGCGCCATACATTTCGAAGTGGGGACGTTAATTGACCGTTTTCTAGACAACGCCAATAGTTTAATCTTGCAGGGGTTAAAACGTTTTAAATCGTCTAGTTGCATTCAGAGTAAGTCAATGTGGTGTTTATTATCCAGGATGTTGAAAATAAATTCAGGAGTGTCTATCACCGCCGGTGTTGTGCTGAATTTTTTGCTAAAGCCTGATTCCCTTTGGATAAGCCAGTATATTGTATTTTAGTAGCTTTTTGAACATTTTGATCACAATAGGATGACATCAAAATCGCTCAGCAGTTATTTGTGTCTCCAGTGGCACCTCCTTTAGGAACACGACACACAATCAGTTTTATATTCCTTGGGCACCAAAGAATCCTGGATGGAGAGGTTACAAATATGAGAGATGGGTTCACCAATGAGGTTTGTGCCACACATTGAAGGGCAAAGGCAAGAGAGATCATCGGCGCCACCCACGAATGAGCTTTGCAATGTAAATAGCATATCAGCCTCCGACCGTCCGAGGCAGAGATTCACCTAAAATAAATATGGGAGCAGTGGTGAGGGGGGGGGGGTCTTGGGCAAACTACTCACAGGGGGACCTCGCAGAAAGGGGTATTTGATCCGCAGGTTTTTCTGAAGATATGACCTGCATACGGGAAGTTGGAGTTTCACATTCATGATGTTGGTAGCAGCAGCCAAGCTGGTATCATTGAGTAAACGCCTTGACAGGAGACCACTGTCCTCGACTTTACCTTCAATAGATTTTTATTGATTTACAGAAAAGTTTAGGGTCACCAGTAAGGTGTCGGTTTTTCGATGTCTAAACGAGACTACTAACACATTTTCTCAGGTTTCATTCGTTGGTAACATTTATAAATATTACACTGGATGCCTTAAAACACCAATAATACACAAGTGTTTTACAACAGGAGTATAATATTTAGTTGTGTAGTCTTTAATCATGAACAGTGGATTTGTGACATTGCATGATCACGACATAGAGCAGTCATTTTGGGGTGTCCCATGCAGCAGTGGATTGACCGTGGCTGGTGATGGTTGTTTTATGGTTTACTCCCTCGCCAGGGCAATGTGGAATTTCCGCTATTATCTCAGGGCTGTAAACAAGAGATGAGGGTCTCCCCAATGCTCATTTGATTAGGTTTCAAATGTTTTCTTGTAACATTTTTGTGGCGTTAAGTTGAGCTTGCAAGTTACAATTTCTCTCCACTGCTGTTTCATTACAGGTAGTGTGCGAGTTTATAATACTGTAATACTTTTATAAAGCACCTTTGAATGATTATTCTGGCAGAAACAGGGGAGCCAGTTTGTCTTGTAGATTACGCATAGAAGACTCGGTGGGGCCTTAGGTATAGGCGGATACGTGAAATGGTCGGATATTTGAACACCTGTAGAAAGAGATGGTTTACTCCTTCATTCACAAATTGGTCACTGGACACAAATAGTGCAAACTTCTTCAAACATGGGACAATGCTTGATTGTGCTTCAGTAGTGAGTGAATGTACACAATATTAAGTAGAACATGACCGTGTGAAATAGACTTATCAACACCCATAAGAGAAGCACAGTTACACCTTGCGCAACTTACTGCACTGGGCGCAGGTGGTTAATTAGGTCAGGGTTGTTGTGTGATGGTCGGATATGCAAAGTACGTACTGTGTTGTCATTCGAGTCTCAAGTCTTGTGCTCATGATGATTCTGCCTTGGCTTGTTTCACCAACTCCTCAAGTATTTTTAGTGAAGCGTTTAGTGTCAACGCACGGCGGGGCAGCAAAGGAGTGCCGTGCCGAAACCCACGGGTGGAAGGAGAGGTTTTACGTTTTACACAAACGTGGGTTTTGCGTTTAATTTTTTTTGCCCATCGGGTATCCACAATGCATCAGTTGATGAAGTGTTGTTGTCGTGTTTCCGCGACTTGCTTCGGTCAGCGTGAACTCCGGCTGGGTCACCGCTCCATGGGATGTGGCCCGGCACGATAGCGCTCTGCTGGAGGCAATTGTGACGGGGAACAACGCCATCGTGTATGGTTTATTTATTTATAGTTATTTAACATTCCGTTTGTCGCGTTCACAACTTCTCAGTTTGACTTCTCTGACTTCATTCAAGTTTGTCAGCCTGACCGAGACAGCTGTCGAAATGTTTGTACAGTGTATCGCGTGAGTTCGTAGAGCTATTTATGTTTAAAGTTAATACACCGAAGGAGTTTTACCCACAAATTCACGTTTAAATAAGTAGATGTATGTGTTGGACCTAAGACTATCTCGGTAGCACCTGGTCTCATCAGATAATCTACGCAGGGTTGACTCACACAAATAGGTTGTCATTGACTTCGGTGATATGTGGTGTATAGTACAGGGCAGTGCTATGATGATTTCAGTGCAGAAAAATTCATTGTTTCTGTACTTCTACGCTTCCGCGTCACCTATCCACAAGGACCAGCTTGGTGAAGTATGATCGAATAACCCCTGTGACCCACAAGTCCCTCATTGAGCAGACGATTGGCAGAAGGGCTCTATACATGTGCAATTGTTGGACTGGAAAAGCAGTGTTGAGATACATTGTCCGCACATCCGATTAGTACGGTGCGAAAAAAGTTCTGTATACATAAATTGTCAAGTTATAATAAACTCACGACTCACCGAGCTGAACTCATTGGGCATCAGTTCTTGATTCCTTGGTGCGTAAAATATGCGAGCTTGCATAAAACGAGGAGGCCGCCCTATTACACACGCTCCAAATTAACGGCAGGGGCCACACCTCCGTGAGGTGTTCACTCGGGAAAGCCGCGCTTGCTGGTTGGGCGTTGTGTGTGTGTGTGTGTGTCGATGTCGAGGTGCAGTCGAGCGGTGATTAGGTGCTCGTGTTACCCAGCGCTAGTTTACACGCAGAATCGGCCCACGTCTGCCCGGATTTCTTGGTGATTACGTGAATGAAAGCGGGACGGACTCTTCGGCTTAGCGTGGCAGTAGTTTGGCAGCATTGCTAAGCGGACGCGTAAACGACTACTGCACTCAGTCGAAGAATGCAGGAAAATTCATACAGACAGCTTGGTCTTGACCAACCTGTTCTCTTATTTGATGGGTGTGCTTTTATGGCCCCACTATAATGGAGGCTTTTACTGTAACTGTTTATTAATTTGCTTCTACGGGTGGCGTCATGTCTGCATTGTGTCTGAACCATGGCAATGTGTAAGTTGACAAATGTGCCATTTCTTTTTCAAGGCATTGATTTCAAGATCAGAACAGTCGACTTGGATGGCAAAAAAATCAAACTTCAAATATGGTGAGGAAACCAGAGACTAATTTAAATGAATTGCTTAGCGTCATAAATGCTTGATGTGTTTATTTAATATTTAATACGTTGTATTTCGTGACAAATATTTTAAGCATGGGTGGATCGCTCTCCAACATACCGATGTGTTGAAGCAACCGTAAATTTGAACGTTTGTCCACGAGACAACTCTATTTGTACATGTCTGGTGAGGGAGGGTGTACACTCACATTGGCATTTGAACTCGCACGGCGATCTGACCCAGAAAAAAAATTTGAATCGGTGTGATGTGTGCAGAAAATAGTCCGTGACCGATTCAGTATTAACATTTGTACATGCTGTCAAATGTAAACTATGTTCATGATGCAATTCTAATATTTATCTTAATTTTTTTTTGCAATTTGCTTGTCTTTATCCTCTCGTCAAACCAAGTTGACTGCACTTCACACCTTGTAAAATTTTTACAGAATTCTATTTGTTCATTATTCAAGATGTATCACTTTCTCAATGACGATGGCCCCGTTTTCTGCTTTCTTGACGCGCGTATTTGCAGGGACACAGCTGGTCAGGAGCGATTCAGGACCATCACGACGGCGTACTACAGGGGCGCCATGGTAGGAGCGACTTACGGGTTTTCTCACTGATGATGCGACGCCTGAGCAGATTGAAATTGGCTGCGCGCTGCCGTGGAGCGGCTCGGCCGCACTTGAAGTTGGGGGTTCCCCACTACGAGCCGATGGCTCCTGGTGGTCACTGTCGATCACAAGACAGGATACACTAAATGTCAATGTATTCCAATTTTAGTTTTATTGGGTGCAGTTGTGAACAACAGCCATATCAAACATTAGTACATCTAACCAGCATGATCATTGGTTCACTGCAGCTCAAAGACTCAGTCCCTACAAGGCGTGCGGTGAAGTTAGGAGATTTCCATGTGCTCGGCCTTTGAAGGCCTGAAGACCAGAATTGGTAATTTCGCCGACAATGTGTTCAGGGGAGGCAGTTCCATATCCATACAGCATGGCCCGAAGATTCGTGGGGCAGTGGTTGGTTTGTACAGGACTGTGACGGCAGCAGCTTGTCGACTCAGTACTGAGCCGACTGTGTTGTGCACTCCCGTGTATTTCTAAAGATCGGCATCATCAGCGTCCTTGGGCGGCGTGACGCGGCCTAGCGGTTGTGCGCTCGCTGCTCGTTACAGAGGTTTGTGGTTCGAGTCTTACGGGCAGACCTGGTTATTACTGCGGGCGTTTTAAACGCAAAAAATACGCATCGTCTGCTTCACAGTTGACGTTAAAGATCCTGCCATGTCGTTCACATGAGTAGGCCGTTATGTGCCAGTATCTCGATACAAATTTTGGCAATTTTTTGTAAAAATTCCCCACGAATTGCTTGTACATAGCAATTATCATAGCCCAATACTGTGGAAGCTTGGCAAGACCCTCTTATCATGCGTTCTAAGTGCCATGCGTACATTAACAATGTTTGTGTGTTTTGTGCTTAGGGAATTATGCTCGTGTACGACATCACAAACGACAAGTCGTTTGAAAACATTAAAAACTGGATACGAAATATCGAAGAGGTAACAACACCACTGATCAATCGCACGCAAGCATTTTTTGTATTTAGCTCGTTTTTAAAATGACATTGGATGTTGCGATTATAAAGGCTGTAATAGAATTAAGTAAATTGCATGACATGTTCACGGTTCAGTTGCTACTGTACTCTACACATACAAATCGATTTGTGTTATGCTTCTTACAGAAGCAATGCACAACTGTAGAAACGGTCTCAATCTGTCGTGAACGATGATGTTACCGTTTTAAAGAAAGTACATTGTGTTGGTAGTGAATGTCACAACCGCACTCGCCCGCAATGCGCCCGAGCTCGTCAGATCTCCGAAGCCACATGGGGTTGAGCCTGGGGAAGTGCGTAAAAATGTTTAATACTCTTCAAATTATATTATGTAGGCCCCTGCCCTGGGACCATGTGGTTAGCAGCAGAGGGTCGTACAGCAACATCCATCATGACATTGTACTTCTATGTTCCCGCTTGGGCTCCCCCCACGTTCACCAACTCGCACTGACTAGCGTGGGCTAAGTGTGTGCGGCCATTTAACCCCCACAACCTGTAGGCAAAAGGCCTGCAGGTTGTGCTTGTATAGGAGTCACTTAGCAATGCATTTATGGGGATCCCAACTTGGTGCACTCATCTAGTTTGTATTCGTGTTATTTCGCTTGTGTACCCAGGAAAGCCTCAGTGAGTCTCAAGACTCAGGAGGATCCTGCCTAGTTTTTTTACTGAAATGGGCGATGTTGCTACGTGGAATCCCAGTTTAATACTGTTGCAGGTATTTTTTTCCGGCATTGGGATGGTTAGCAAATACCAGTTACATTATATGATTCTTTTTTTTACTATGGGAAGAAACCAGAAAAACAAATTTACTTATCTCAGTCGGGTGTTAGCCGCTGAGGGCGTAACTTGTTTCTTCTTATTCCATTCCTGCTGCTCCGTGCCCCCTCTACCGTTCCCGTTCCATTGTCATGTGCGCTGATGTATACCTTATTGAGGGGGATATTGGCACTTAAAATAATGATTGATTGATTGATTGAGACTGGAGAAAACCGATGCAGAACAGGGAGGAGAATGTAAACTCTGTTTAGAAAGGCGCCCGAGGTGGGAAGCGAACCCATTGCTGCGAGGCACGAGTGTTGCCACTGTGCCCACGTCACCTCCATGACTCCGCACGCCTCTTTGTCTTCTCCAGCACGCCTCCGCCGACGTGGAGCGGATGATTCTAGGGAACAAGTGCGACATGAACGACCGGCGGCAGGTGTCCCGAGAGAGGGGCGAGAAGGTCAGAGCGAATTTAAATATCAGCCCTGATCTGGGCACTCGCACGCACCTCGCCGCTTAAACGTTGGCGACGCACCACGGTGGTGTGGGGACGGCCACTGCAAGTAGCACTACGCTGACTGGCGTGCAGCTTGCCATGCGCCCTCGTGTGGGTGCACTGAAGAGTGTTGCCCCCCCCCCCCACGTGCGTGGATTTTCTCTGGGCGCTCCGGTTTCCTGCTGCGTGAGTAATAAACACGCTCTGCCTTAATTGGCTTGAAACACATTAAAATGAAAACCCCTGTGTAGCAGGACTCTCCTCAACGGGAGCCCTACGACTTGGGGTGGCGTTCCTGGATAAGGAAATACATCGATTGTTGTGCTGTACTTGTGTGGTTACACGCCTGTGCTTCTCACCTTCACCGACACACTGACCAGCGTGGTGAAGTATCCTCAAATAACCTCCACGGCCCGTACAGTGCAGGGAGGTCATCTTCCAGCAGTGGATTGACATACTGCTGATCAAGTAAAAGCGATAAAGTAAATTATACGTGTGGTATTTAAATGTTTTTTAGATTGCAAAAGCCTGTTTTCTGTGAAAGTCGGTTGAATGTCAATCTTTGTGTGAGAAAAAGAGCATCATAACTCTTCGGATTTCTCCAAGATGAAGAAAAGGTTCTGATTCTGTGTTACATTCTGACCACAGTTTGCCTCGGAGTATGGGATTAAGTTCATGGAGACAAGTGCCAAAGCGAGCATAAATGTGGAGGAGGTAAGCAATCATTTGTTTCATTTATAAATTAGCTTTCACCATTCATTTAGCTTGGGGCTATTACGTATGGGTGCTATGGGTGCCGTTTCACAGACGGATATATTCTGCGAGGAGGGGGGCGGTGTTGCCACGTGCAATATTAAATTAGTCATTTGCCGGTCGTTTTTTATAATTCGGCAAATTTGTACCAATGGCACCGGCACACGATGGCCTGCTAGTTTCCATTCATGTCACGGGATCTTTTACCGCCCGCTGCGAAGCTGAGGGCGCGTTTATTTCTGGTTAATCCACCCACAGTATTAGCCCAGGGTGTTGGCCTGCCGCATTACAATCTCGGCAACAAACGGCGAATGCACAACTGCTGGGCCACGTCACCGTTTTAGTAGCAGAGCACAGCGTGTTGGGGTTGTCAACATCTTGTTTTTATTGACATCACACACACATACCAGACCCCGTACAGTTAGACACCAGAGAGGTGTGTTATAAGATATTAACTTGGTATGAGGTTTGCAAACTATTCACTTTCTTAACAAAGTCACACATTTACTGATGTATTCTACAATTCCCCATGAACAAATCACCTCGAGTGGAATGATCTCATCAGATCTTGGAAGCTAAGCAGGGTTGAGCCTGGATCGTGCTTTGATGGGCAGCCACCAAGCTCAGAGGGTGGCATGGGGCTGCGGGGACTTCAGGGTAGCGTGGGTGGCAGAAGAGCCTTGAGGCGCTACGAATCCGGCGAGCCGAGTTCGTGTCCCGCTCACGGCCAACACCAGTGACGATTATCTGAACTGGTCCTACACCATGTACTCATTTGAGACAGACAAAAGAGGCAAGCCTCAAATGAGTACATGGTGTAGGTGTATTAACATCGCCACCGGGGAGACAAAGGCGGCCAGATGTGATGCTGGTCACTCACCCCCTCGTGCAAATTATTGGCCTTCATAGGTGCCTGGTAACAGCACTTGCCCCAAAAAGGATGAGTAAAGCGACATGGGGGGGGGGGGGTATCTTTGGAGATGAACTAACCCTACTTGTGTATAATTATATTTAGAAATGTCAGAGTGGTATAGATGTGGTAAGGTGATCTCTCGGAGCCAATGCCGCTGTTGTTGTTGTGTGTTTCCGACAGGCTTTTTTCACCCTAGCAAGAGACATCAAGGCAAAAATGGACAAGAAATTTGTAAGTCCTGTGCACAGTGAGCAAAGCCTTTGAAAGCAAATTCAAACTCCTTTGCACTTCTGCATCGTCGACTGTGAACTGTTAACGTTAAATTCTGTCACTTTTGAAGTGCAGAGTATTTATGATGCCAAAATGCTGTTGTCACGAGTTTGAGAAACACGTTTTTTCAGTGACCTATAGTTGAGTGGAAGATCTCTAAAATAAATGTCAGTGTGTATACGTTTACATTTACTGTGTTATAAATGTGACATATTTGTATCTATAATATCTGAATCATCACAGCAAGGTATCCATGGCGCTGTCTGAGTACGCATTTTGAACCTATTAATTGTTGGGTAGACCATTAAATCTATAACCTATGTATGCCTTCTTTATAGTTGACTTTGCTGCAATGTATCTTCTCTCGTGTGCGTGGTTGGCTGCATCTGCTCTAAATGAGGGTGGCAGGGTAACGGTTATTCCTGCTGTGTAGGGGTAACTGACCACGCCGCACATGGGATAATGGCTGTCCCGCTAATTTGGTAGGATTGTTTAACCCGTTCCGAGACATCTGCACGTTGCAGGGTGGGCCCCATTCACCGCTGAATCTCGTAACACGCAAGCGCTTCGTGTTCATTTTATTTAGAGATGCATAGCACCGTTGATTTTAAAGACGTATGCGACCACACTCTATGATAGCTGATGCTAAATTGTGCCACATGCCCTCCCGCATGGGAGCCTCGGTACTGATAAAGGTATTTTAGTTTTCTTCCGATGACGTACACGTACATCATCGGAAAGGGTTAACAGTGAGGTCACTGAGTGGGCACAGCTGAGATCCTGGGTTGGATTCTGTGTTTCATCCACACCGTGGTTAATCTGGGTTCTCGAGTGTATGCGAGTCGTAGGTTACCGAGCAGCGGTGACCAATTCACGAAAAATAAACCACATTGAATGAGATGTTTTAGCTCTTCGGCAAATTTAAGCTCTGAAAATTCAACAAAAACGGTTTGCTTGAGGTGCATCAACTACTCTTTGTAATGCACATATGGGGAGTGGTAGTGTAGCGGTTAGCCCTGTGTCCTACTTAACCCAGCAAATTCGCATTCGTTTCCCGCTCACGGCCAACACCACCACCACTAACGATTATCTGAACTGTTTCTCGGCCTCCCCGAGGTTGACTTGGCATCAAATTAGTACCTGGCGCGGTGTGTAAACAAAGGTGGCTGGGCTTGATGTTGGCCACCCACCCCTTCGTGCGCTGTGCTGGCCTTCATACAACACTCATCCCATCAGTCTGTTAAAAGGCTATATGTTTATATTTTGTATTTGTAAAGCAATACAATTTACAGTTGCAGTATTAGATTTCTCAGGATTGTGTCGGTTTGGCTGATGCGGTGCTCATCTATGTAAAGTCAAACTTTGCTCATTGGGAGGATGATCACTCTCCTCTGCTGCTCCCATAGTTCACAGTTTGAATCCGGCAAACCACCCTGGTTAATACTGCAGGTCTATTAACAATTCAATGCACATCTCCTGATTACAGTGAAAAGAGTAGGCCATTGTGTGCCGGCATCATGGTACAAATTTGCATAATTTGAAACATTACCCACAAAGCATAGTACTCAAATGTGATCGCACATAGTAACATCATCGTTAAACTATTGCACACTGTGTCCGTGAAGCACGATGCTTTTGTAAATATCCCTGCGCAATAATATTGGCTTGAATACCACATTTTCTGAATTATTATCATAGTTTGGAACTCTATTCCCCTGCCATTCTTTCTGCGGACTCCCTGCTCCTGTTGTGAGTCCAGGCTTTTAAGACCTTCCTCGTCGCATCTGCCCATGGCTGTGACTGCCTCTCTCTCGAAAATAAATTCTGCACTTTGTCTTGAGATGTAGGCCGTGTTCAGGTGCTTCACAAATACAACGTTGTATTTTTATTTGTTTTACAGGAGGGCATTTCTCACCAAGACAACAGTGTGCTCCAGATGAACCAAACGCAACAGCCAAAGAAGTCCAGCTTTTTCAAATGCACACTCCTGTGACTTGCTCGATTTATAAGACACGGGGGATGGGGGGGGGGGCAACAGCAAACAAATGGCACTGAGAGAATAAAAAAAACAAATTTAAGCAACAACTCTACGAAGCCGCATCTCGGCAGTCTTCCAGCACCTTCCTTAGCGTGGACTTCCCACTGCATTGAGAGCCTCGTGGTGATCTGGACCTTGCTGCCACCCGACTACTGGAAGAGACATCAAGATCGATCATTAATTAAATCGGCTGTTTGAGGATGGGAGGGGGGTGAAATCAAACATCTTAATTTCGTACCTAACGTTCTTCCATTCCAGCCACCGACAGTCATCTGTGGGAAGACTCTAATTGAGACTTTGAACAGGGGTGGACGCATCTAGATATATTAAGCCATACAGTTGTGGACCTTACACTTCGATCAGGTGTTGTTGACGTTATTTTGCGGTGGCATTACGGTGCGAGGCTGCAGGAGCTGCATGAGTCTCCGTGTGAATCTTTGTACATAGCGCCCACAGTTGGTGTTGGCTGTTGTTTGAAGTGATTTTCACGACGCTCTTAAAATGTATAAACAGTAACTATCATAACTTATGAGTTATCCCTTATACTGACAGCAATATTTCTAGTTTGGCATATGCAGACATCTAAAGTATTCTTTTTTTCATTTAAGGATTTTTTTCATAAGCCACAATATCAATATCACAAATATTGCACCCATTGCACACTGTTTAAGGGCCTATTACAGCTTGATAAATGTTCTTGTAATAAGGATGAGTCATCAGCACTTATATATAAATATCAGCATTAGCCCTATCTGAAAGGCATTAAATGGTGTTGCATTGCAAATTGGATGTACATGTTATGGTTACTTGAATGTTGATCTGCCTTACATTTTATTTGCTGTGCCTAAAGTCTACAAGTTTACAGCGTGTATGAAACGTTGTGTGTGCCTGTACAATGGTTTTTAAAAGAGACAGACTACATTCTTCATCTTTGCCGCATGATGGAGCATTCCGTGTGTGCATGAACTGCTGCCTTTGTAAGATCTCGCAGACATCCCGGAGAGCTGACTTATTAAATATGCCGCCAGTTTTCCAAGATCTTTGGAGAAAAGCTAAATTTTCACACTCGAGGTGGTTTCCTGGAATTGATTGGTTCGAGACAAAAAACAACAATACACTTGTGAAGTTAGTTAAAACATCGTTTTGGACTGTGACTCTTGACAGTTTTTGTGCAGAAGAGGGAGTGTCATGGCCCACGCTTCTCCCCCAAAATTTTCTCCCTGACCGTTTACGCCTCCCAACTCTTTGTGCCGCTATGGCCAGAATTTGAAAATGTGATTATTTTGCATTCCAGTGTTCCATCTCGAGAAGTGACACCGAGAAATCACGACGGCATTCTCGCGGTGCTTGATAGTAACCGCTGTGACGAACACTCGCCTCACACTTTCTCCCCATAGTTCACTCTTTCCTTACTCGGCATTAACAGCTGATGCGCTTAAATTAGTTCTTAAGACGTTTGGGGTTCATTTATGAATGATGGCTGTTGGGTTCCTAATGGCATACGTCTGCATTGCATGTGAATGCGTAGTTCTAGGTGGCCGGTGGTATATTCAGAGATGTCTGTTTTAAATAGAGTGCTGCGATGGGAGAAATCCTCATTCGGTGGTGAGCACAAACACTTTGTAAATGCCATGGTAATGTATTAGCCATGGGGCTCGTGTAGGGGCGATGTGGGTTCCAGGCTTTTTGTACAAGTGGTATTCCTCAGTGCTTACAAAATAATAACTATAGATGCCCAATAACCCGTTAGCAACCCCATGTTGGAGTGCAAAAATGTGGGGAGCAGGATAACAATATGCATTTACCTGGTTGCATAGCACCAACCTTAGCTGCCCAACTCTTTTAAGTAATGCGATAATGTTACTCATGGTTTGTCGACGCTGCTTGTCATAGTTTATATCGTAGCGCTAAAATATACTGTATGCATATATTGTTGTGTATTGAAAACCTGCTTTTATATTGTGGGCAATGTGTGGGTTTTTTTTTGTTTGAAACTCATGTTTGGGTACAAGCAGAAGCGATGAATGATTTGACAGCGTGCCCAGCGGTGTGGGTCGCGTCGCGAGGATTTATCTCGTTCCCACCGCGCGCCCGATACACGAGCAGCAGCATTGTACCCCACTGGTCATGTTTTATCGTCACTTGTCTGGTGTGTAATGAAGCCTCCATGATATATCGGGGACTTGCATGAATAAGGGAATAAACCATGAAGACATTGGGAGGGGCTACAACAGTCATGATTTGTATCCCTTCCCAATAAACTGATGTCAACTGTTGATATTCACCGCATACATTTTGGCCAGCATGCACATTTATGTCACGGAGAATGTGGTGGTGCATTCACCAATTTTCGAGTAAGACGTCCCAAAGTATCATTAATTATCCCAGGACTTCACAACGGCCATGCGTAATCTCCACATCCGGCTTAAGACGACCCGCGTGCGGGAAGCGTGTCGGCTCTGACACGTGAAACCCCGTATTACACCAGTTTGGTCATACCTGTTGGGGTTTTTTTGGGAGGGGGGGGGACCAAGCATGTTTGTGGTCGCTTCAGATCTCGTGTACCACTGCGCTTGAGTCCGTGCTATCACCGTAAGCGTTTACATTTTAATGAACCCACACGCCTCTCTGCTTTTACGATGTTTTGAAAGTTGTCTGATGGCTGTGTCGTGGAAGTCGCCGTGGCTGGCACGAGGGATGGAATTGGATTCACCGAGCCCTCGTCGCCTGACCCCGAGCCCTCGCCGCCTGCCGTCTTGGCGCCCCGGCCCACGAGCCGTGGGCTCCGAGTGCGGTGGCGCTCGCGGCACTCGGTCGACGCGCCAGTGACGGGTGCGGGGCGCATGGTCACGCGTTTACCGTCCATGGGACTCGTTGTGAAAACGCCACTCACGTGGGCGTCCAGGAGGTGCCGTACCCTGACTTGCCAGGAGAAGGCGGTATAGCAAAGTGGACGAATGGCCATCTTCGCCAGCTGTACAGAGATCGTTTTGTTGCTCACACGCGCACGTGGAGTTTATCTGAGTGCTCCGAATTCTTCCCAATTGCGTATAAGCGCTCGTGATTTTAAGTAAAAGCCCAAGGGAGGTCCTTCCGGAGACTTCTCGCGCTGTCGAGGCCGGAATGAGTTCACTGCCCAATGCAGTGACGCCAAGTCATTGGTTGTGAGAGGAACGTACCAGTCTGAGCATTTCTGTTTTAATTGCACCACTGCAAAGGCACACTGATTTGTAGACGTGTCCGTTCACTGTGGACATGGACAGCGCTTTGATCAGTCCTTTGCTGGATTGATGGCCTCCCCATGTCGTGCGGGATTTGGGAAATATAAGACCATAATTTTCACCACGTTTGACTGGATTGTTGAAGGCCGGGAGCAGGGTGGCGAGATGTTAACTACCTCGCCTGGCATGCAGGAGGTCGTGGGTACGATCCCTGACACCTGTATATTTGGAGTGTGCATTTTCTCTCTCCCCGTGGATTTTTTTCCGGGTCTAAGGGTTTTTCCTCCACATCTAGAATCAACACGCGTTTAGAGTATTTGGCTGCTATAAATTTCCACGCGATAAGCCACTTCGTTGAGCTATTATTTGCCACCAGGTCACTTCTGAAAAAAGAGCTACACCGCTCAGCGGGCCTTACCTGGTAAAATAAAAAAAATAGCTTTAATAGTTGCAGAGTTGTGGTAGCACATTTGTGTTGTGTTCAGCAATGCGTTTTGCGACATTGCCCTCTGCTGGTCACGAAGCACAGCTCCAAACGGTGGTGGTGGTCACCCGCTGCTTTGCTTTCGATGAGGCGCATTCCGAGTGAGTTGGTCATCGGCATTTATTGTGCACCGAATACAAATACACACACGTGACAAACCTTACTAATTGGTGGTGGCGGGTGTAACAACACATTTACGCGATCAAACCCAAAAAAACCTGTATTGTGGACACGTAGCTGTACACTGCTGGTTACATTATCACTTTATCAGAGGGCGCTGCTTCATGCAAGCGTGAATCTCTCATCGATACCCCCACTCATCTCTTAAAATGAATGTAAATTTGCGTTAATTATGTACGTTACCAGGATTCAAACTTAGTCACAGCTCTGCTCTTGCTGGAGTGAGCCGGCTCAAAGCCATGGGCCGGTTCTGAGCATGATCTTGGTCCATGCTCAGGATGTCTGTGAGCCGAGCCCGAGCCAAGCCACGAGTCTTTGCAAAGCGAACGAGCGGCTCAAGCCTGAGCTGAGCCGAAGTTACGAATCGGCTCTTCGTAGACGCTCATTCATTCATCGTATGCAGACATTCTACCGTTCAGCTGCTGTTTCTGTGATGAATTGTTACTCTCTTACACGTTGAGCTGTATGTACATTCGGAATGCCTGTAGTTTATACCTATGCAAAATGAGTTTGATTTGCTATTGCACGCAGTAGGGACACATCGTGTCGTGAGTGATCTCGCCCTGACACTCTCCAGACGGTTCTAAATGCTGCTTTGAGGTCATGGTTTGCCGAACGCGCCTGCTGGTTTTCTCTTCTTGTTTTTAATCGTGTAAAGACCGCCGAACGTAATAAATGCATTTGCATATAAAGCGCGTCGTGCCTTGACGATTTGATGCAATAGAAGCGCGGAAGAAGGAAGAAGGGTGGTGGCGCAGTGGCCACACTCGTGCCTCGCAGCCGGAACGGCCTGGGTTCGATATCCCAATTGGGCGCTTTTCCGTGTGGAGTTTGTGTTCTCCACGTTCTGCATGGATATCCTCTGGGTTCCTTCCCATAGCTAAAACACACACACATTGCAAAGGGTATTGGCCAGACATCCCAGCACCGAATAGTTGCCTTCAAATCAGTGAATTTATTAACAGTATGTTGAACTTCTTTCGCACCGTACGTAGCCAGCCTTGCTAATCGGAGGTGCGGGGTGGAAATGGGGCCGGAACGGCCCGGATCGCCGTGGTGGCAGTGAAATTTGAACCCGGCTGGAAGGAATCAAGGATTCATATTTGTATTTATTTGACTCCCAGATAGAACCCTGGACTGACGGAGAGACCAACACACTGTAGAGGGATGAGTTCCCCCAGTAATTTATTCTCATTTCCAGCCCTGCTTCAAATGACTCAATTCTGATCACACACAGCAGCAATATCGCTGCCCTCCCTCACTGTCAGAGAAACTCGGCAGGACCCTCTTGGACAAAAGCCGTGAGACTCGGTGAGGCTTTCCTGGGAAAACAAGTGGAATGGTCACACAAACGGGGTGCGCATGAGTTTGGTTGAACACCGACCTGCCCAAAAAAACAAACACGAGTTCGCATCTCAGCTCAGCAGAATTATGATGTATTATAATGATAACATCTGCTATGTAAATTATCATTCGTCATATCTGCAGTAAAGTTCACCAATTGTGGGGGTGGAAAGGATGGGGGGGAACTTGAATGGGGTTTGGATGCAGTGAGGGGGTGAAGGGCGGGGTGAAGGGCGGGGTGGAGGGAGGGGTGAAGGGCGGGGTGAAGGGCGGGGTGGAGGGAGGGGTGAAGGGCGGGGTGAAGGGGGGGGTGAAGGGCGGGGTGGAGGGAGGGGTGAAGGGCGGGGTGAAGGGAGGGGTGAAGGGAGGGGTGGAGGGCGAGGTGAAGGGAGGGGTGGAGGGAGGGGTGAAGGGCGGGGTGGAGGGAGGGGTGAAGGGCGGGGTGAAGGGAGGGGTGAAGGGAGGGGTGGAGGGCGAGGTGAAGGGAGGGGTGGAGGGAGGGGTGAAGGGCGGGGTGGAGGGAGGGGTGAAGGGCGGGGTGAAGGGAGGGGTGAAGGGAGGGGTGGAGGGCGGGGTGAAGGGAGGGGTGGAGGGAGGGGTGAAGGGCGGGGTGAAGGGCGGGGTGAAGGGAGGGGTGGAGGGCGGGGTGAAGGGCGGGGTGAAGGGCGGGGTGAAGGGCGGGGTGAGACACTTGAATGGGGAAGGGGGTGGGGAGGGAATGAGATGAGGGGGGAAGGTACCGCAGCTCGGAGCGAGTTTACGTCACATGACGTCAGAGTCGTCGCTATGGCAACAGAGCAAATGGAAAAGTGATGGGAGATTGGTGGAGTATTGAGTGGGGGGGGGGGCGCGGGGGGTTAAACTGGGGGTGCGGGGTGGGGGGTGGGGACAGGGAGGGAGGGAGGGGTGGCGGGGAGGAGAGTGGAAATTAACAATCAGTTGAGTCAAGGAGAGGGAGGCGAGCGGTGTGCAAGGACGTGGTCATAGTCTATAGGGTGATGGTGATGATGATGACACGACTCTGTGTGCTTTTTCTGTCCTTGCGGAAAGCGGCGGCAGTGGTTTGCGCACTGCGCTATGAACCTGGACTCCCGAGTTCGATTCCCCGCCTTAATTGGTGCTCCTACACAGCACTTGCCCTGACAGTCTGGTCAAGGCTATATGGGCGACCTTTGTCTTTTGGCGCCACGTATGGCGGCATGGGCTCGAGAAGAGACGCGCTGATGCTGTGCAGGACGTGGAGCTGAGTGGCCTTGCCGATGGCCGGTACCAGCGGTGTCAAGCTCGGCCTCTGTGGAGGAGGCTCGTGAAGGACGCCGCTGCTGGGCAGCTGGAGGCAGTCGCCCTCCAGCAACAACGGAGGGCGATGCTCACGAGCGGATAAAACGCAGCAGGTTGACACAGTGGGGAGCGCAGATGGGGGACATATGCCAGTCACCTCACCCAGTTCACCCATGGCACCTGCCGGGTCTGTCCCGTGTCCTCCTGCCAGCAGCGACCCTTCTGCACTTCACGTGGTAGCCTCAGGATGCACCTAGCCTGGCACAGGACGCCGTGGTGACCTCACCGCGGATGTCCACGCGCTTATCTTTGTGTATCGTCGAGTGCAGCAATGAAGCGAATATAAATCAGTGCAAAAGCAATTGCGTCACATGGGAAATGGAAAATATTGCATACACACAAATCATAGCCAGTGACGGCTGGTCAGACCGGGTGAGCAGCAACAGGGGGAGGAAAAGGTCTGACTCCCACCACCAACCCGCACCGACCAGGAGTGGTGAAGTATGGTCAAACAACCCCCACGACCCCGCACGGTGTGGGGAGGTCCTCATTCGGCAGTGGATTGAGACAAAGGGCTGTGCATGTACACGTGGAGGCGGCACTGCAGTGGGCATGTGGGGGATGCAGGGAGGAGGAGGAGGGAGGGGTGGAGAGAGAGAGAGTAAAAGATGTATGGAGGGAGAGATTAAGAGAAAACGTGGTTTGGGGATGGAGGGATTGAGGAGGGAGAAATTGAGCGATCGATGGAGGGGAGATAATTCGATGGAGGATGGATTGATGGAGGGATGGATGGAGGCAATGGGTATGGAGGGATTGATTGGATGGGGAGGGCAGGGGAGTGAGGGGAGGGGTTGGAGATGCCGTGCACACACTCCGATTGATGCACGTCCCGTCTCCTAGCAACGGCGAACCCCATCGCTACCCAGCAGCAGCAGCAGGAGCAGCAGCAGGAGCAGCAGCAGCAGGAGCAGCAGCAGCAGCAGGAGCAGCAGCAGGAGCAGCAGCAGCAGCAGGAGCAGCAGCAGGAGCAGCAGCAGCAGCAGCAGCAGCAGCAGCAGAAGCAGCAGCAGGAGCAGCATCAGCAGCAGGAGCAGCAGCAGCAGGAGCAGCAGCAGGAGCAGCAGCGAGGGGACATTGAGCACAGAGAGACGCAAATAGCAAACAGGACTCGAGGGTGCGGGGGTGGGGGCGCTTGACGCCAATAGCGTCATGATCATGCGAAACATATCGAGCGAGAAATCAAGGCCTGATTATGGGCAATATTACAAATAAACGGCCAGACGTATTCCCCCTGGGGACGTTAAATGGTTCGACTTAGAGCGCCCCTTTGTCTACCCACTGCTGGATTGAGGCCTCCACGTGTCGGGGTTGATGAGCCACACAAAGACCACGGCGGTGAGTTGAGGGCTGGCGAGCCAGAGTCTGAAAGCGGCCGCTGGTCTAATCGGGGTTGCGTTTAGAGACCCGACTTTTCGGACTGCCTCGTTATGTTTTCGGGCCACGTTGCTCATCTGAGTCAGAACCATTATTGATTTCACTCCGAGACCAGTTAGTCCTTGACAAGAACTCTCATCGAGTGCAGCCCTCTCACATCGCCGTGACTCACTCCACCATCCTCCTCCCTCCTCGAGGCAGCAGCAACAGGCACAGACAAAGTTCCTCCAGTGTAGCCCACACAGGCTATTGGGGCAAGTGCTGTTAGCGAGCAGCAGCACCGATGAAGACTCCCCAGTGCTGGTGTCAACACCGCACCAGCTACTCACTTGGGGCTACTGACTCGGCCTGGGGGCAAGGCCAACATCGATAGTATCCGTAAGCGGGAAATCTAATTCGGATCGATTTCGGGTTCGTTACGTGCGCAAGTGCGCTAACCACTGCACCACCGCTCCCCACATCACCACCCCCCCTCCCCCCAACACACGCACACCTCCACCTCCCTGTCGCATCATTAGCACGGAGCGGTTGCCCAGCAGCCGCGACACCGCGCTCAGCTCGTCTGTCCGTGCCGGCTGCACGCTCGGCGGTGGAGTCGGCACAGGTGCGAGGGGCTGATAGCGGAAGCCGCCGTTGTTTGAACAAAATCCGCAAAGAGCAGGGACTGGGTGGCGGGCGGGGAGGTTCGGGGATAGTGACCCCCCCCCCTCCAACCCCCCCCCCACCACACCTGCTGCCCCCCCCCCCCCACCTCTCTGCCTTCTCACAAATGACAGATCCTATTCTCATTAGTAATATCCATTTTGTTAATTATTTTTATGATGGCATTTTAATTTTAAACGAAAAATCTAAACCCATGTCATTTGTTCAAATAGAATAACCGTGTGTGCTGATTTTTTTGGCCACCATGTATATGACTCGGACTAACAGAAGCCTTATACAAAGATCCCCCGTATAGCCTTAACAGACTTTTGGGGCAAGCGTTGTCAGCGAAGGTGGTGGGTAGCCAGCACCACGCCTGGCCGCCTTTGTCTCCCCAGTGGCGCTGTTTACACATCGCACCAAGTCCCCATTAGAGGCTGAGTCGACCGAGGGCTCGAGACCGTTTCAGAGAATCGTCACTGGTGTTGGCTGCGAGTGCAACCCGAACTCGGAGAGAAGGGTTCGTAGCGCTGCGTAGCGCTAACCACAACATCCCCGCTCCCCACAACCACGACACAAGACTTATAGTGATCCATAGACTCACATTATAGACCCATTGATTTAAATAGAGACCTACAGACTCGCATAGCAACCCACAGACTCACATAGCAACCCACTCATATATAGACCCTACAGCCTAACATGTGACCTATAAACTATCATAGCGATCCACATACTTACATAGCAACTCAAATACTCGGATAAAGACCGAGAGACTCGCATTCTACCCTTGCGTGTGGCAGCGTGTCCAGGAGCTGAAAGCCAATGTGGAGGGGTGCTGGCCACAGCGAGTGGGCTTCAGGAGAGAGTTCCTGACGTTTTGCGGTTCCTCCTCCGTTGAAGGATCGTAGACTACAGTGGCTTACTATAGGTCCAATATGAATGAAACGTTGGTATAAGGTTGCACTGCTATTCGGGACTAATTACCAGAGAGAAAACCTGGCCATACTGATCAAATAGATAGCCTTCCAGGGTTTCCATTTCCGCAAAATAAAAAAACCGGAACACAATGGGAGGAAGTGAAAGAGGAATATCTCACAATGTCCGACTAGGGGAGAGCCACACGGCATCACGGGAAGGATTTATCCATATCCATTGAGCACAGTTGCACCTTTTGCAGTCAAAAATAATTAGCATTTTACGTTCGTGAAATTCAAATGGTTAAACTTTTAATTTCGCATTCGTTAAAGTTACAAAACAAGTTTGCTTGTAGTTGCATCGGCACGAGTTGCGTGCAGATTGTGAGAGCGAGTCGGATGATGCGAACCAGCAGTTCTCAACACGTGGGTCGGACTTGCAATTGCGACTCACCTTGGTTGGTCTCTCCGAGGTGTCACCTGGTTAAACAAAACACTGATCCTTTTAGAGGGCGGCACAGGCTGCAGATACCGTGCAGGAGATATTTCGAATGCGCGCGGGGAACGCCAGCGCCGTGCTGCGGCGACGAAACACAAAGTTGATGTGGGACGCCCAGGTGGCGAGATGTTAACTCCCTCCCCAATCATGCAGCAGGTCGTGGGTTCGATCCCTCCTAACCCTAGCACCTGTATATTTGGAGTTTGCCTGTTCTCTCCGTGGTCGTGTGGATACTTGTCCGGGTGCTGCGGTTTTTCCCTCCACGTGTATAAACACGCGTTTGAGAGTATTGGGATGCTATAAATTTACACGTGATAAGCCACTTCGTTGCGCTATCAATTGTGGCCAGATCGCTTCTGAAAAAGAGCTATAGAGTTCAGTGGGGGCCTTACCTGGTAAAAAAAAAGTTTAGTTTCGTACTCGACGCTCGTGGTGTTTGTGTGGGAGAGGACGCACTCGTGTCGGTGCGTCTGTATTCGGACTGGATTCGAAGGATCTTCCGCAGGCAGCGTTGATGGCACTTCTCGAGCACGTTGTCCGTGAAACATACTTTAAACCACAACATGAAACAATTGTCCAATTCATATGGGGTGGGGTGGGGGGTAGAATCCCAGTGGGTGCAGATACTCATTCACGCTAACCAAACACCCAAAACAGCAATTACAACAACACTTCAAACAAGATAACATAACATCTACGTTTTCAGGAAGGCGTTCGGGGGGGGGGGAGGCAGAGGGATAGATCAGAGGGAAAGCAGGGCGAGGATACGGCAGGCATGGGGAGACAATAGGAGGACGGGGGTAGTGAATAAAAGGGCAGGACAAGGGGAGAGAGAGGGATGAAGGAGGCACGGGGAACGTGAGGGGTTGGGGGGGGGGTGGCAGGGAAAAAGTGAGACTGGGGGAGGCCGTGGGTGGCAAATGAAGGCACTACAAAATCTGAGGGAAGCAGGGAAGTGCTGGAACAGAGTCGTGAGAAAACTGGACGAGACTTAAGGGAAGCGCGGGGAAGCAGTGAAGGGCTGCGTGAAGCAATGTGGGATGTAGAAAGACCTGGGTGGACGGGGGGAGAGGTATGGGAAGGCATGGGGAGGTCTGTGCCAATTGTCAGAGATGCAGGGTCAACACTTGGGGCCAAAGGGCAGGGGCCCGAGCTCTATATCCACTTCGGCCACGTGCAGGTCGCAGTGGCGCCGTGGCTTCCCGTGCCACGCCCTGTAGCTCTGCTGCTTGTGCTGCTCGTGACACCGGTTGTGCTGCTCGTTGTGCTTCGTGCTGTGGCCCTGCCCCTGTGGGGGATGCGCCCTCTGGGCCCCGTACTCCTCGGGGCCCCGCCAGTCCCTCCCCTTCATCTTCAGCCGCTCTTCCCCTCTCCGCCTGCTGCCCTGCCCCTGACCTTGCCCCTGCCCCTGCCCCCGCCGGCCGTCCCCTTGCCGCGCCTCGGCCCTCGCCTCGCTCCCGGCCCCCGCGGTCGCGTGGCCTCCCCAGCCGCGGCTCCGGCTTGCGTCGGACTCCGCCTGCCCGGCCCCACGCTCTGCGCGCTTCCTCGTCGAGTTCTTGGCGTCCTCGTAGAGCCGGTGGCGGGGGTCGGGCCCTCGCACCTCCCCCTCCTCCTGCTTCCTCTTCCCGTGCTCGGCGGCCGCGTCGCGCGCCTCCACGTAGAGCCGCTCCCACAGGTGCGAGCGCCGCCCCTCGGCCTCCAGCGCCACGGCCGCCGCGTCGCGCTCTCCGCGGGTGGTCGCGGAGGCCGCACGCTCCTCCCGCAGCTCCCGGTGGAGCCGGCGAACCTCGGCCTGCAGCCGGCGGCCCTCGGCCGCAAGCTCCCGCGCCGCCGCCCGTGCGGCCTCCTGCCCCTGCGCGGTGGCGGCCCCGGGGCCCTCCTGCTTCGCCGCCGCAGTGGATCGCCCGGCCTCTTGTCGTAGCTGGGCCAGCGTCGCTCGCAACGCGGCGTTCTCCTGGGACAGGGCCCCACGCTCGGCCTCCCAACGCCTGGCCATGGCGATCCCCTCGGCCTGCAGACGGTGACACACGTACAAAAGTCCCCCATGTAGCCTTAACAGACTGTTGAGAGAGATGTTGTCAGCGAGCACCTGTGAAGACAGGCTCAGCACACGAGGAGGTGGGTGGCCAGCACCACGCCCGGCCGCCTTCCTCTCCCAAGTGGCGATATTGGCACATCGCACCAGGTAATAATTTGAGGTTGAGTTGACCTATGGGTGGCCCAGGACCAGTTCAGATAATCGTCACAGGTGATGGCCGTGAGTGGGAATCAAACTTGGGTTACCGCTGCACTACCGCTCCCCACGTGCACCAACAAAGACACGTACACACACGCACACACATGCACATCGCGAATTCCAGTATGTGGCGGAGCCAGTCGACCGCCGTTCCCATTCCTTCTGCCTCCAGAAAGAGGTGTGAGTGTCCTCACTTGCGTGACAATGTGAGTGCGTGCGTGTCCGTGTGTGGGAGACCACATGTGAACACGTGTGTATGTGTGTGCACATGTCTACGTGTGCATATATGCGAGTATTAATGTGTGTGTATATACGTGTGCCCTGTCGGCCTTCATAGGTGCTCACTAACAGCACCTGCCCCAACAGTCTGTTAAAATGCCAACTGGGGGATCTTTATATGAATAAACATGTGTATGTGTGTATACATATGCCTGTGTGTAGACCTGCACCTCTAATTAGCACGGTTGGCTACATACGGTGCAAAAAAAGTTCAACCTAGATACACTTATGTGAGTATACATGTGTGTGTATATGTGTTTGTAAACGTGTGTACATGTGCGAGTGTGCGCGCGTGAGTTCACCATCACCTGCAGCTGGCGCTCGGTTGTCCCGAGCCGCTCGTTCTCCTGCACCAGCGCCCTCTGCCTCCCGCTCGCCACTGCTCACGCACGCACGGCCACACATGCAGGGGGCTCACAATGGCCGTGTCGGGGCACTGAGCCGGCACCACTGAAATCCTGGGTTCAAATCCAGTTTTTAGCCACCCGTGACGACTATACCGGGTTCTCAAATGTAGCGAAATGATGGGCTCAGACCAGTTGCCGATGGTCTCATATTGAGATCCATAGACTCACGTAGAGTCACGTAGACTCAGATGTATATAGACTCACTCAGACTAGAGTTGTGACTAAATTAGCTTCTCAAGTGCTGCGAGATGATGGTCTCAACCTGGTTACCAATGACTGCACGAAAAAATGACAATAAACAAACAGCAAATAAAATACTCAGAGACCACAGGGCACGCTGCTCTGTTAGCAAGCTCTGGTTACTACATCTGACTCAAAGCCGCAGACACGCATATCAGGCTGAGTGGACCTGGGGTTGGACGGTGTGGATGACCGACGACTGTGTGGATGGGGGCTGTGTGGTTGGGGGCTGTGTGGTTGGGGGCTGGGTGGTTCGGGGCTGTGTGGTGAGGGCTGGGTGGTTGGGGGCGGGGTGGTTGGGGGCTGGGTGGTGGGGGGTGAGGTGGTTAGGGGCAGGGTGGTTGGAGGCTGGGTGGTTGGGGGCTGGGTGGTTGGGGGCTGTGTGGTGGGGGCTGTGTGGTTGGGGGCGGGGTGGTTGCGGGTTGTGTGGTTGGGGACGGGGTGGTTGGAGGCTGGGTGGTTGGGGGCTGGGTGGTTGGGGGCAGGGTGGTTGGGGGCTGGGTGGTTGGGGGCGGGGTGGTTGGGGGCGGGGTGGTTGGGGGCGGGGTGGTTGGGGGCTGGGTGGTTGGGGGCGGGGTGGTTGGGGGCTGGGTGGTTGGGGGCTGGGTGGTTGGGGGCTGGGTGGTTGGGGGCTGGGTGGTTGGGGGCTGGGTGGTTGGGGGCTGTGTGGTTGGGGGCTGTGTGGTTGGGGGCTGGGTGGTTGGGGGCTGGGTGGTTGGGGGCGGGGTGGATGGGGGCTGGGTGGTTGGGGGCGGGGTGGTTGGGGGCTGTGTGGTTGGGGGCTGGGTGGTTGGGGGCTGTGTGGATGGGGGCTGGGTGGTTGGGGGCTGGGTGGTTGGGGGCTGGGTGGTTGGGGGCTGGGTGGTTGGGGGCTGTGTGGTTGGGGGCTGGGTGGTTGGGGGCTGTGTGGTTGGGGGCGGGGTGGTTGGGGGCTGGGTGGTTGGGGGCGGGGTGGATGGGGGCTGGGTGGTTGGGGGCTGGGTGGTTGGGGGCTGGGTGGTTGGGGGCTGGGTGGTGGGGGCTGGGTGGTTAGGGGCTGGTTGGTTGGGGGCTGTGTGGTTGGGGGCTGGGTGGTTGGGGGCGGGGTGGTGGGGGTTTGTGCCGCTCACCGTGGTTGCTCGCGACCACCAGGCCCAGCACCACGATGAGCGCGAGGGCGGGCACCAGCACCGTCAACGACGCGTCCGTGCCAGGCACGGTGCCCCCGGTGCCAGGTGCGGTGCCGTCGGCCAGCGCGGTGGGGAGTTGCCGGCGGGCGAGGCGTCGGCGCAGCCTGGGCACCATCGGACCGCTCCTGATTTCATCATCATCACATCGACCGAGCTTCTCCTGGTCCTCATCAGTGCTGGAGCCGGCGCCCGACGGGGCTGCAGGAGACGCAAGGGGAACCATCATCGCTCGGCTCCATCAACCCTCGTTATCCTTGTTACGATGGCAGGGGATCACTGCCCTCATCGAAACAACAGAGCGGACAGTGCAGGTTTCCGCACCTCTGGATGGTGAATGGTGACACCTCTCGTGGCCGTAGCGGTGACATTGACCCATTACGTACAACAAACGCGAGCCCACAACACGAGTGTTTGCACGTGCGATTGGACGCACGTGCCGTGAGCGCGTCTGTGTTGGTCACTCGTCTTTTCTAGGTATCGGCTCCCACGTGAGTGGCTCAGACGCTGCAGATCGCCGAACTAAACCCACCTCGCTCGCGCCCCAGGGGGAACGGGAAGCAGCCACGGATGCTTGAGGACCCCACGAGGGCATCCTCGCTGCCCGCCCGCGTGCCAGGCTCCGCAGATGCCTTGGGGTGGGAGGAGCGGGGAGCAGGGGGGTCCTGCAGGCCTGCCGAGGGTGACGGAACTGCGGAGTCGGGCATCTCCACGGGCGCCTCAGGGGAAGCGCGAGGACCCGGAACGTCGTCGAGCGCAGAGGGATCCAGCGCGAAGAGGTCATTGTTGTCGCTTCTGCTCACCTCCCGTGTCACCTCCTGGTTCACTTCCCCACACACCTCCTTCATTACCTCCATGCTCACCTCCCTTCTCACCTCCACCTCCTCCATCACCTCCCCTCCCACCCCCTCACTCACCTCACCTCTCTCCTCCCCGCTGAACTCCTCGCCGACCTCCTCACTCACTGCCTCTCTCACCATCTCACTCGCCTTCTCGCTCAACCCCCGTCTCACCTCCCCACTCACTTCCTCCATCTCATCACTCACCTCCTCCCTCATATTGCCACCGACTTCATCCCTCGCCTCATCTATCTCGTCTCTCACCTCCTCGCTCATCTTCACCTCCTCGCTCACGTTGGCTCCCTCTTCTTCCACCCTCTTCAACACCTTGTCCATTGGTTCACTTGTCTTGCTGCCCACCTCCTCCGCTATCTCGTTCACCTCCTCCTTCACCTCTTCAGGTCTGGCGGGTGGCTCCACCTGTTTTCGTTCACTCAGTTAGTGCTCCTCACCGTCACGTGAATGTGATATATGCAACGCTAATGTCCAAAATGTTTACATTTGAGATAAACAAGGCAAATAACTCGGAGCTATTTCAAACACATTTCATGTAAGCTCCGACTTGTCTTAGGGAGAGTCCAGGACACACAGCTTAGGTATGTGACTGTAAGATAGGATGTGCTGCTTTGTGTTTGATGGATGTGCTGTTTTGTGTTTGAAGGATGAGCCACAAGCTTAAGTGATAACATCTGGAAACACAGCACTTTGTTCTAACATATCACTCTCTGCTTTAATAGATGCTACTGTTAAACGTATGTAAGTTTCGAGTAAATATTACCCACGATTCAGCTGTTGTTACTGATGCTGCTGCTGCTACTGCTGTGGTTGCTGTGGTGATTGCCACTGCTGTTACTCACCGTGCACGTGGCCTCGTCGGGGACTCCGGGTTCCCCCACCCCCTCAGGGCCCTCACCCCCGGCTCCCGACGCCTCCCGGAGTTTCCCTTCCAGGAACCCTGCGAGACACAAACTCCTCGATCACTCCCAGTGTGGAGGGCGGCCGCAGCAGCGGTGGCACAAGTGAACGTGAACCAACACAACCGCAATCCTAGTCACCGTGGCGAGATGTTTACTTCCTTACTTGGTATACAGGAGGTCGTGGGTTCGATCCCGGAACCTCATGCCTGCATATGTAGTGACGTTAATGGTGTCACTATGGTGTTAGCGCTAGCCACTGTCACAAGAGTGCTACTGTGCGTCTGGAACCTCTCTCGAGGGCCAGGGTGAGTACGGCATGTGAGCGGGCCCTTGGGGGCATAGTCCTGGTGACGGCCTGAGAGAGGGCAAGTGAGGACGGGGTAGTCTGGGTGAACCCGAGAGGGCACGTGACCGGGACAAGGTAGCGAAGGGGGCTTGAGAGACACGTGATGCTCGGTCGGGATCCTTCAGGAGCATCAAGGGGCAGTCACCGGGAGAGTGTTTGTGGCTTTCTCTGGAATCAACCCTCGGCGCTACGTCTCTCCGATCTTCAGTCTTCGCTCGGCATCGTGGGTCAGTCAGTAACATCCTGACTGACCCACGATGCCGGTTATGTAGTTACCCTGTTGGGGTCTAGTTAGCGTGTGTACGTTGATGTAGTTCGCCCTGTTGGGGCTGTGTAAAAAATGTTTTGCCTCCAAGTCAAGTGTGTGCCTCCGTGAAGAACAACACATTTTTTTGTCGTTCGCATATTCTCCCCATGGTCGCGTGGATTTTTCTCAGGGTCCTCTGGGTTTCCCCTCCGCGTTTAGAAACAAAGCGCGTTTAGAGAATTAGGCTGTTAGAAATGACCACACGATAAGGAGCCGTCCGTAAATGACGTCACGCACCCGGGGGGGGGGGGGGGGAGTCAGACATTTGTGATGATGTGTGACGAGGGGAGGGGGGGTTTGAGAAATGTGATGTCACATCAAAATGTGCAACTTTAAATGAATATAGACAACACGTTCTACTTAATTAGACTTTTTAATACATATTTTCTCCTATAGCATCAGAGTGCAGCACCAAATTAAATACGCACTACAATGACAATAGTTTAAAGCGATTTGAAGCCTGTTTTATTTATTTGGGGGGGGGGGGGGCAGAGCTTTGTGACGTCATATTTGAGGGGGGTCTGAGTTTTTTTGACGCCGTGTGACGAAGGGTGGGGTCAAAGATCGTCAAAAATCGCGTGACGTCATTTATGGACGGCCCTGAAGCCACTTTGTTGAGCTATCATTGATTTCCAGGTCGCTTCTGAAATAGCTCAAGTGGGCCTTGCTAAAATAAAAATAGTTTAGTTTAATCCCAACTCCTCATTCAAACCCCTAAACCATAACCCATAACCCTAACTAAAAACCTTAACCCTAACCCCTCGCACTAAACGCGACCCCCTGATCTCGACCCATCATAACGCTGACCCCTGTGACCCCTGACCCCGCCAGGCAGGTGCGCGTCGTACCCCCCAGGGCGGCACCGCGCGGCGCCGTCTTAGCGCCGTCTCCCTGGGGGCCGCCGCAGGGGCCGCGCCGGCGGCTCCACTCGGCACCCACGCACCCCTCGTCCAGGCCCTGCACCACACGCGGGAGGACACACGGGAGGCCACGGGTCAGCGCCTCTCCCCCCCCCCTCCACCTGGACGTTAATGAAACCCGCGCCGTCCGCTGTGGAAATCGTGGCCGTTGCGTCAGGGGGCCGAGCCGACGCGCAGCGGGGTCCGTGGCGGAGTATCGGGGAAGTTCGCCCCCCCCCGCGGGTCATCTCGCCACACGGGTCCCCCTCACCCCTGTGGCCCCTCACACCAGCGGGCTCCCATCAACACGCGGGTCTCCACCCCACGAGGGGTCCCCCCCTCACCTCGCGGCTCAGCAGAGTCCACCCGCTCGAGTCGCTGTCGCTCTCCGAAGTCGACATCGCGGCGGCGGTGGAGGCCAGACCTGAGGTCGGGGTCAACAAGGAACTCAGTGAGTGTACTTTGTGTGGCTGCACGTGTATCGGCGTGTTCACGTGTTATTCAGATTTAGCTCGAAACACAAAAGGCGGCGAGTGTTCCCCGCGTTCGCTCGACTCCGACCCGCCCGCCGTCCCCACGAGCCGCGTGTTCACGTGGCAAGCCACCAACACCGAACACCCGAGTTCGACTCTCACGCTCACGGACAACGACAGCGGCGAACATCTGAATGATGCGCTGCGTAAACAATGGGGAGACAAAGGCGACCGTGCGTGCAGCTGGCCACCGTGCCGGCTTATCAACACCCCCCCCCACCCCCCACTTAGTATGTTGGGATAGGTCGTCGTTGTTAACGGGCATCAACCCCGCACGCGTCTCACCCTGCGTGACCCCCACAGTCCCACGAGCTGAACTTGTCACTCCGTCTCCTCCGTGGACGTCTCAGGCCGTCGTTGGGCTCGCCCCTCCCCCCGCTCGCCCCTCCCCCCGCTCGCCCCTCCCCCCGCTCGCCCCTCCCCCCGCTCGCCCCTCCCCCCGCTCGCCCCTCCCCCCGCTCCCCCCCCCCCCTGCTCGCCCCTCCCCCTGCTCGCCCCCCCCCCGCTCGCCCCCCCCCCGCTCGCCCCCCCCCCCGCTCGCCCCCCCCCGCTCGCCCCTCCCCCCGCTCGCCCCTCCCCCCGCTCGCCCCCCCCCCCCTGCTCGCCCCCCCCCCTGCTCGCCCCTCCCCCTGCTCGCCCCCCCCCCTGCTCGCCCCTCCCCCTGCTCGCCCCCCCCCCTGCTCGCCCCTCCCCCTGCTCGCCCCTCCCCCTGCTCGCCCCCCCCCTGCTCGCCCCTCCCCCTGCTCACCCCCCCCCCTGCTCGCCCCTCCCCCTGCTCGCCCCCCCCCCTGCTCGCCCCTCCCCCTGCTCGCCCCTCCCCCTGCTCGCCCCCCCCCTGCTCGCCCCCCCCCTGCTCGCCCCCCCCCTGCTCGCCCCCCCCCCTGCTCGCCCCCCCCCTGCTCGCCCCTCCCCCTGCTCGCCCCCCCCCATGCTCGCCCCCCCCCCTGCTCGCCCCTCCCCCTGCTCGCCCCCCCCCTGCTCGCCCCCCCCCCTGCTCGCCCCTCCCCCTGCTCGCCCCCCCCCTGCTCGCCCCTCCCCCTGCTCGCCCCCCCCCTGCTCGCCCCTCCCCCTGCTCGCCCCCCCCCCTGCTCGCCCCCCCCCTGCTCGCCCCCCCCCCTGCTCGCCCCTCCCCCTGCTCGCCCCCCCCCCTGCTCGCCCCTCCCCCTGCTCGCCCCCCCCCCCTGCTCGCCCCCCCCCTGCTCGCCCCCCCCCCTGCTCGCCCCTCCCCCTGCTCGCCCCCCCCCTGCTCGCCCCTCCCCCTGCTCGCCCCTCCCCCTGCTCGCCCCCCCCCCTGCTCGCCCCTCCCCCTGCTCGCCCCCCCCCTGCTCGCGCCTTTGTTTACTTGCAAATGCAAATCGCCTCGGCCTGGCCGCGCGCGAACCCCCGACGCTTTCCTAGCCGCCCTACCGGGAGAACCCTCACCGATGCCGGCAGGCCGAGCCAGACCCGAGGCAGGTGCGGGTGGTCGTGGGAGGGGGGAGTTGTTTAACGGAGCGGCTTGCGCGCCTTCGCGGAGCGGTGGGATGGATGGGGGACCCCGACGTCGCCGCCGTCGCGCGTCTGAGCTCGGATCGCGTCTCCTCCTCCTCCTCGCCTCCCCCGGGCTGCGGGTAACATGCAGTGAGGCGCCGCGGGTCACGTGGCCGCGAGTTACGTCACCGCGGGGCAGACCCACCCCTGCCCCCCCCCCCATTCCCCCCACCTCCGCCCCCTATTCCCCTCCTCGCCCACCCCCCCAAATTCCCCCCTCCCATTCCCCCCCCCCTGCTCCATATGCCCCCTCCCCCACGTCGTCATGGCAACCAAATGTAAACATTGAGTCACGTGACCCCGCCGGCTGAACACGGCGAACTCAACTATTACACTCATCTGAGACTGCGGACGATGACGACTGAAGTCGTTACCCTAGCCTCCACGGTACAAGTAAGACGCCCGGTGTCAGTAACGTGATGCAAATCTGGGTCACACGCACGCAGCAGTATCAGCAGCAGCAATAGCAGTAGCAGCAGCAGTAGCAGCATCAGCAGCAGCAGCAATAGCAGTGAGATGCTTCAGGAGCTCTATGCCACTGTCGAGGCTACTGCTGCTGCTGCTGTAGCTGCTACTGCTGCTACTGCTGCTGTAGCTGCTGCTGCTGCTGTAGCTGCTACTGCTGCTACTGCTGCTGTAGCTGCTGCTGCTGCTGCTGCTGCCACTACGAGAGGGCTTCAGCAGACAGAGAGAGTCCGTGTCGTGTCGCTCTTCCTCAACCTCCTCCTCTGTTGGTGGAGCGCAGCCCGCAGTGGGTTCGCTGTGTGGCCCATAGCTTGGGCAGCATGGCCACAGTCTCACCACTGGCTTGTCTATAAAGTATCTCTGTGTGTCTTCTATGAGTCCCTGTGTGTCTCTATGAGTCTCTGTATGTATCTGCGTGTCTGTATGGGGTTACTTCATGGTCCATAGCTCGGGGCTGCATGTCCACAATCGCCTGGTTTATCTTTCATGTATTCAACCCATGAAGATGTTGCGCGTCAGCCTGTTGTTGATGGTTTGGTGCGGTTCATGGTCACACCACCAGTGTCTGTGAGGAGGAATGTCAAAGCCAGGAGGTGCGATGATGTGAGGGTCTCGAATGAGGCGTTTCTCCTCAACGTCCGTGTTGTTCAACCGCCTTCTTCTGCCCGCCGGTCCCCATGAGCACGGCTGCCGCGTCCCGGTCTGCAGGCCGCGATGATGTCGGACGCGGGCACGGGGCCGGCCGGGCCGGGCCTCGGCAGCCCGAGCCCGGGCAACCCGGTGTTCACGGTGCGCGCCGGGGCCACGCTGCCCGCCTCCTCGCTCTACCGCACCACGGCGCACGACTACGGCGCCCTGAGCCCCGGGCCCGAGGCGGCGCCCTGCGTGCACCGCCCCGCGTCGCAGCGCTTCTCGCGGCACCTCGGGGAGTGTGGGATGCCCCGCGACCGGGCCCTCAACACCACCCTGGACCGCAGCCGCGTCATCGACCACCCCAACCTCCAGCACACGCTCTGAGGCCTCCTGGGGCCAGGGGTTGGGCGATGTGGGACCGGGTCATCTTGACATCTGGGTCACCTTGAGACTGAGTTACTTTGAGTCTTGGCCATCTTGAGACTGGGTCATCTTGAGACTGGGTCACCTTGAGACTGGGTCACCTTGAGACTGAGTTACTTTGAGTCTTGGCCATCTTGAGACTGGGTCATCTTGAGACTGGGTCACCTTGAGACTGGGTCACCTTGAGACTGAGTTACTTTGAGTCTTGGCCATCTTGAGACTGGGTCATATACTGAGTCACCTTGAGACTGGGTCATCTTGAGACTGAGTTACTTTGAGTCTTGGCCATCTTGAGACTGGGTCATATACTGAGTCACCTTGAGACTGGGGCATTATGAGGTAAGATGACTATGCGAGCCCTGGATGGTGTCCTCGGAGCTTGCAAGCGTCCTCCCCCAGATCCTCATTCTGAGGGTCCAGTTTGAAGCCAACTCAAGAGTCCACGGATGGGATCACACACGCACCTGTAATGACGGGCAGTCGTCCATACAGACCGGCTGTAACGTGATTTGTCGACAATACGTGGTTGTAAACAATTTGCTGAATTGTCGTGATTCAGGCTCATGATTCGATTCAAGAGTCGATTCATTGTAATACACAAACACATACTAGTTACGCATGTACATGCAAAGACAATGACCCCCCGTGTCGCCTTAACAGTGTTGGGGCAAGTGCTGCTAGCGAACACTTATGAAGGCTGGCACGGCACGCAACGAGGTGGATGGCCAACCCTACCACCTTTGTATCCCCAAAGTTGATGATTATACACCCCACCAAGGTACTTATTTCAGGCTGAGTCGACCTAGTGGAGGCTCATAACCGGTTAAAATATTCGCCACTGTTATTGGTTAGCTAACTACTACATCACTACACGGACACACATACGCAGACATTTTAGAGGTCCTGGGCTTAATTCCCAGTTTGAGTGATGCGTGATTAAGCTATTTTGTTGTGTGTAGTGAGGTTTAAGTACCGGCCCGGTTGCCCCTTATCTGTAAAAAAAGAAAGAACATGAACTAAATGTGTTTTTTATTTAATTCACCTGAGCCAGGCCTGAGGGATAACATGTATAAATACATGTAGTTGTGTTTTTTGCGCAATTATACTGTTTCATAGGATATTAATAAAGGCCATTGCTCGAAACGTCGCCTATTAAATCATGTATTTTCCATTTAAGGCCACAGTGTTATGATTGACGAATGTGTTGACTTTTTTGTTTTGTTATTTGTGCCTTTGCACCACTGCTAAGGCAGTGGCAACAGCAACATCACCACGGAAATATTCGTAACACCGTGGTGAATGCAGCGCCTGCAATGGCCACAGGAGCCACGTGAATCCATAATGAATATATCACGTGTGTGTGTTGAACCTCTTTCGCACCGTACGTAACCAACCGTGCTAATCGGAATTGACCCCTCCACCGGCACTGCACACGAGGGGGTGGGTGGTCAGCACTACGCTCGGCCGCCTTTGTTTTCCCAGTGGCGATGTTTTCACATCGCACCAGGTACTCATTTGAGGCTAAGATGACGTAGGGGAGGCCCAGAACCAGTTCAGATAATCGTCACTGGTGTTGGTCGTGGGCGGGAATCAAACTCGGGTAGTTGGGTTCATAGCGCAGCACGCTAATCGCTCCCCAATCCCCCCCCCCCCCCCCCACACACACACATACACACTGTGCTGGCCATGAGGAACATTTGACCATACTTCACCACGCTGGTCAGTGAGTGTCGATGGCCGCAATGGAGCATAGAACAAGGGATGTTGCGATGTTGACCACTACTGCCCACAACAAACTTCGCCGACGCGCTTCCGCCAGGATATTTGTCGTAGTATTTTATATCGGTGTGTAATGTTTGAGAAGCAAAAAATATTTGATTCCTACTCAGACCAAAAGGATACATTAGTTCATGGGCCAGAATAGAAATTGGTACCACCAAAGGTAGGAAAACTAAAGTCGTCTCGATTGATTTACAGGGCCACTAAGAGTGAATTTACTTGATAACTGCACTCATTTGACATGATCATTACATAATTCACTTGTATTGGCCACATAAAGATATTTGAGCCGCTAAAGCTATGTCACCTCAGGTGATATCGACAATGAAAAATATCTGGTCTAGGCTCACGGACGAATATGGTATATCAAGAACAAAATCTATTGATTTAAATTGATGAATCTAAGCATAATTACCATCGCTTTTACGTAATAATAAGCAATGACTGGGTTGTCTTCCAGCTGAAGGTGAATGATTGGTTTCAATAATGTATCTTGGACAGGAATTACTGTGAGGGGATGAGGGATGAACTGCCCAGTGATCGGCAGTGGTGACGTTTCAGCACCGCGGACAGCTACCACTGAGTTGTGCATGGGCGCTAGCCAGGGTGCTGAAGGCCGCCGTATCGACGGTGGAGTGGGTTGCACCGTGGATAGCTACCGCTGGGTGTGGATGAGCACGAGCCAAGGTGCTGATCGAGGAGGCTGCCAGGATGCTGAGTGTCGCCGTGTAGATGGTGGAGTGGGTTGTTGTTTTGCCCATTAGCACGTCACATGTGCTGATAGGATTGCCAATGCTGTGGAAAATCTGGCCACTTTTCGCTGAAAAACAAATAGGAGCAGATGTTGCTCTCTCCTTCTCTCTCTCTCTGTCTCCCTTTCCAACCCCCTTTATAATCACTCTCATTTCTCTCGCTCTCTCAACAAAACTCTCACGACTGGCAGCCTTGCCAGACTTACATGTAAGCGCCACGGTGGCGATATGTTAACTACCTCACCTGGTATGCAGGAGGTCGTGGCATTGATTCCGACCCTGACGCCTGAATATTTGGAGTTTGCATGTTCTCCCCGTGGTCACGTGGATTTTTCTCTAGGTCTCCCAGTGTTTCCCTCCACGTTCAAAAACATGCGTTTATAGTAAGTATGTTGAAATTATTTTGCACCGTAGTAGCCAACCATGATCATCGTAGGTGCGCGGGAAGGACAACAAACTAGATACAAACATCTATTTTAAAGAAATTAGTGTTCAATCTAGCCCCATCGTTGAGCTATAATTTGTGGCCAGGTCGCTTCTGAAAAGAGGAATATATCTCAGTGGGCCTTACATGGTCAAATACAAAGTAAAAAACAAACATAGCGCACGTACAGCCCCTTTGTAAATCAACTGCTGAATGAAAGCCTCCCCACGCGGTGCGGATAGCGAGAGTTATTTACCCATACCTCACCGTACTGCTCAGTGCGGGTTGGTGAAGGTGGGGAGCATGGATGTCGGAGCAATTTGACAAAATACCTACACGACGACCTAAACCATACATAAATAAACATGAATCAATAACACAACGCTATGCAATAGCCCATGATGAGCTGTCGAGGAACATTGTAACTCAAGAGAGAGGCCCGAACACTCTTTGACCTCACACGGGCCCGAGGGTGAGATGTCACAATTGTCCAAGAGGTTTCTCACTCATTCGAGCGCCCATCTTCTGTTGAGGGCACCCCGAGCCAGCGGTGGAAATTCCACATTCATACGGCGGGAGTTAGTACATCGAGTGCAATCAACTGTTGAATTCCCACGCATAATTGTAATGAACGGCCTTTCCAGTCCCAAAAACATTTCCACGCTGAGTCTCAAGGCAGCAGCCACGCGGTGAGCCGGCAACTACCAACAATTGCCCAGACTATGCCGTCCTCTATGTATCAAGATGTTATCGGCCACTGAACGAGTTGTTTATAATATGTGGTAAGGAACCAGAGCATCTGGAGAAACCCCACGCGTGCGAGGAAGAAACACTCTATCCCATACGGACAGAACAAGTGGAGTCCACGTATATGCTCGCTGGAATTCAGTTGGAAGTTATTCCGCACTCTGCTGTGCTGCCTTCTCCGGGCTAGTCAGGGTGTGGCTCTTCCTCGGCGCCCACGCAAAGGGAGTTTCGCAACTTCTACGAGCGATCCGCCAACCCTCGCTGCATCCACCCTGCTGGATCACCGGCGTGCATAGCCACCACCGTACGGCTCATAGAGCTCTGCACAGTCGGATTCAATCATCAAATCCTCCAGGATAAATACATATTATGATAATTAAATACGGATTCTGAATCATGTAATGGTGATATCCTGTCCACCTCTCAGCTGAGCTCTCAGCCGAGGCCTACAACGCCGAGAGATTCCCGGGCAATGAACATGCTCAGGCCGGCTTAGCTTCTGAGATCAGAGGCATCGTTGAACCGGCTGAGCACTTGCATGGGAGGCTGCATGAAAATAACAGGTGTTACAGGCTTGGGTAGGCGAGCTGATCGGTAGGTGTGGAGTTCAGCCATGTGTTCTATATATCTGCGTGGAGTCCTGCGTATTACCTCCCGGCATGCATGGGATTTTCTCCATGCACTCACTCTGGTTTCATTCTGACACGCCAACCACTCATGTAATGAACACAAAGCAGGAACCTGCTAAAAAAAATGCCAGAGTCAGCAAAGCTTTCCTGGATAAACAAAGGACGTGAATACTATTATTGTATACTGGAGTGGACATACATTAGATGATGATGGCGCCTTCATTCAGCAGTGGAGAGAGAATATAATGATGATGGCAATAAGGTCTGGCTGCACACAGGATTGAACACGCACGAGAGGACAGTCACCGCGGAGATGGAGCGATGTGATCAGATCGCGTGTGTATGAGCTAGGTTTGATTGTTACATCACGTTACCCGCTTTGGGAGGAAGGTCTTCATCCAATCCAGCAGTGGATAGATCATGGCTGATGATGAGGGCTGGTTGCCAAGACAATTCGGTAGACACAGCTGTGAGTGGTGCGGAGCGCGGGGGGTGGTGGGGGGTGCAGGTGAGGAAACAGAGGAGGTGAGGAAACAGAGGGAGTGGGGAGTGGGGTGCAGGCAGTCAGGTGTGCGCGGTCTTCTTCTGCCCACAAACCCTCCCCTCCCCCGCCCCCCCCCGCCCCTTCGCGTGTGCACTCCGCCTATTTGTTGAGCAAATAAATGAGGTAAATAATGAAATAAAGCACCCACAAGAGTAATTGCTACTGCCCCCGCCTGATTGCTTTCCAAACCGGCAGCTTTGATCGGATGATTCGGTTGTTGGGTTTGGATTGTGGGCAGGGCCGGATTTAGGGGGGGGGCAAGAAAGGGGGGACATTTGTCCAGGGCGCAAAGTACTCCACCGAGTCACGGAAGTAAAATATAAGACACATTTCAGTTCCTAATTAAGAAGAGAAGGTGAAGGCGCAGCCCCTGCAATTGCTCGCTCAAGTCACTGCTGGCGGAAGGGGGTCACTGCTGGCGGAAGGGGGCCTCCGCTACTCGAGGGGGATTTGCGGCCTAACTCTTCCACACTGGCCAAGACGTCTTGGAAGGAGGTGGGAGTAGCTCACACTTTACCCCGCCACACGACGAGACCTGCCCGATTAAATGGCTGTGGTGAACACAACAATGATCACGGCTGCATGGACAGATGCAGGCGGGGCGCGGGGGGGGGGGGATTTCAGAAACCTGCTCCATCGTTTCGGCTGCCGCGTCGGAAGATCGAAATCGAGTCGGCGACCTCTGCATTGAAAGTTCGCCGTGCGAGCCATCACGGCACGTCGACAGCACCCCCGCTATGATTGTGATAGTGAAGTATGGGAATTGACGGCAGGAACTTCTTGACGGGAACACACTTTTTATTAAATCTTTACGTGTCAAAATACAACGTGTGGTCTCCTTTCTTCCGACTTCACACTCCACTAATCTCGTGTAAACTCTAGGCATCTGGCTACACACGATACCCTTCACTCGTGTAGACCCTATGCCTCTGGCTACACAATACACTCGACTCGTGTAGACCCTATGTCCCTGGCTACACACAATGCATTCGGCTCGTGTAGACCTTATGCCTATGGCTACACACACTACACTCGCCTCTGGGTTACACAGAGTCCCGGTCCCGTTAGGACAGCGGGACTAGGTACCGCAGGGCCCTAGGTCTTCATCCCCGTCTTCATTCTTCGCTGGTTACACACTGCCCTCACGCCTGTGTGCATCCCCTTTTATAGCCCCTGCTCACGAGAGACGGAGCTGATGCGTACGTCGACGTGAGCATCGCTCCTTAGTGAACCAATCACGACGCACTCTCTCTACGATCCGTTTTCCCCAGC